ATGATGGCGTTGGCCAAGGTAAACTTTTGTAATGCTGGATTCTCCACGATGCTCTTGATCATGTTGGCTTGAACTCTGTCCATGAAACATGTTTTTATCATAACCAGACTAATGTACAATGTTAAGTTGCACATTATCGCCATCGAAGACACTTTCGAAGGGCTGCCTTGAAGTCTGATCGCAAGAACATGTACACACAACAGTTGACACAACAATTTCCTATTCCCATGGCATGGGTGACCAGCAGGGTGACGTCATTTGGGAGCTTCCCAGAAAAAAACGCTTTTGCGATTAAGATTATAAATGGCGTCCATGCCATCAAGTAGCAACCTGTCACCAAACATGTTGTGCGGAGGATCCGTGAGTTCTGATGGAGAGTCTTCATTTGCTTTTTCAGCTTGCTGCCTTTACCATTCTCACGCTGCGCTTCCATTTTAAACGTATTTCTTGAGGGAAGTCCAGACGTCGATGGTTTACCGTTTGAGAGTGTCATAGGGAAGGTAGAATGATCATCCTTAGATGTCTTTGGGCCTTCCTGTGAGTACTGTCGGGCTATGTTTGCTTGACTTGTTTTGGCGATCGTGGCGCTGAGAGTTTTGAGCCGTACCGCAGCAGTCTCCTGTGCCGTTATTATTTTCGCATGTCTTCGCACAATGCAAAACATCCTGGCATACAAAGCGATGACAACAGCTTGATGAGGCCATATCAAGAGGGAAATTACTACATTCCCATAATCAGTAGTATCAAAAATATAGATCAAATGGTTACTTTGAAACGAAAACATGTCAAAAGATTTCTCTGACAGACCAATGCGGAGTATCAAAAAGACAAGCACTACAAGAGCGACCATTGTTGTACTCAACAAAGCCCTCTTCTCATTGATTATATCCTGGTATTGGAAAGGTCGCACCACATGCAAAAAGCGATCGAGATTCACAACAAATATGAATGATGCACTTGTAATCGAGGCCCATCGCCCTAAGATGGAATAGATTTGGCAGACAATGTCCCAAGCAGGGCTATCTTCCCAACCTATCCTAGACACAATAACCGCAGTGATTATGCAAATGGCAGTCGATAGGTCTGCAAGTGAGAGAGCAATTAGGAAGATCTTAGTTCCTCCAGCAACCTGCAATCGAGGAAGAATTATTAAATTGACAATATTCCCAGCTATGCCAAAGAAGGAGATCAACGACCATACAATAGCGAAGGAGAGATTTATCTCGTAATACCCAGCTGCAGCTGGTCCTTTGTTTTCTGTAGAAGTATTTAAGAAGGTTTCCATGGTTATTTACCGTTCCTGTGTGGTTAACGATCTTTTGAAAGAAGTTATTTAACTTGGTGGAAGTCCAACAGTACTCAAAACACGGACCAGAATCGCTTGGAAACAGAATATTTATTTCCTCGAGTTATTCTAAAACATGGTAATTTGTATTCCGTTCTGGTTGCATATCAAGTTTGGATGGGCCTTTTGATTCAGTGTTGCGATTGTATCCTTAAAACGAGGCAGGGGTTGTTGTCTTGTAGATAGTTACAAGTGGTCCTCGATGTTGACGTTTTAGTCATTACCCCATATATTGCGGTTTCCGTAAATTGTATATTTCCATAACGGTGATAATGAATGTCAGTTAGTAGTGGATCATTGGGTTCCTTCCAAGACACCGATGCTCCCAACAATTTTGAGCAACAAGTACAGAGTGATTGTGTTTGGGAACGTGACGGCGGAAAAATACGTCATATCCCGTAAATAGGTGTTCAGATATCGAACTAATAAAAAGAATCCTGAAATATTAGACTCGATGCTCTGGATTCACTATTATGCTGTTTAAAACAAACATATAAAGTTATCCTCCATACCATTAGGCACAATCAGTCAAGTCATGTTCCTTAAGGATGTACACGGAGCTTGTGCGATACTGGTTCTGGCCTTAACATGACAGTGTCAGTAACTTTTTGATGACGCAACTAGGTTTATATCAGTGCTCTGCAGTTCCCGGATCGAATCGGATTTGACATATGTATAACTACATCTAGGTATAAAACATTGATTAGTTGTGATATAAAAGTGCATTCGCCTCTAGCGTGAAAAGGGGCATTACAGTGTTCTATTGTCCCAAGATCTGATACCTGTGCTTGTCTGTAAATATGTAAAACTGCGTGGGCAGACCCACCGGTATATGATTGATGATTACCTGTTTGTTGTCAACGCAAATTTGATTTAAAAAGTAAAAACGTTGAAATGAAGTACTATAATAGAGCAGATAATTAACCGATAAATACGAAATATTGAGATCTGTATTGGTCGCTTTTATAATGTGTCACGGGCAATATATGGTGCTTGCTCGTCAAGAAACGAGGTTAATCCAGTTGTAAGCTTCTGACAAACATGAATTGACTTTTGAACGATGAGTTCATCTTTTCAAAAACGCTATACCATGTGTTTCACGGAAGGAAGCAAAAGTGCTATTATACAGTGTAATAACACTAAAAAAGAACAGTACTATTGTATTTTTATTCATTAGAAAACTTCCTTCACATGGTATATGAATATTTTTTATACAATACATAGACATAGTAATTATTAAAATATAAAGGAAAAATTCATTGAAACAATATAAATAATTGTAGAATTATATATTCATGAATTAGTTTAAATTAGATTAAATGTCCACAAAATCACAAACGGTTATTCATATAAAATCTTTTGAGTGGACCTGCTTGTGTATTGCATCAATCAAAGCAAATGATATATGGGTAAATCTGTTTGGATTAATTATAACAAAAAATACAATGTAACTCATTTTGGGGTACAGTTCGAATTGTTAGAAACCTATTGTCTAGTAGTTACTATAATTCATTTTGTGTCCCAATCAATACCACAAGGTTGGTGACGAAATTGCTTCAATTTTTTGAAAATTCTTGCGCTGAAGGAGGAATTAATTTCCTAAAAAATTATTGAATAAAATATTAGAAGAGGAATCTCTCGATCCGAAAACCAAATTTACTGTACATTAGAGCTTTAAAAAAAATATGATGAAAGTCAGCTTTCACTTCTAGAGACATGACATTTACATTATGATAAACCCTGCTTTGAATAAGGTTTCCCAATTGCCATTCTTCTGGTTGTGCTTACGATGTTAGATGTCGTCTCTGTGTTAAGACACAATCAGATAACGCCCACGAGACGGACATCCAAAGACACATATTGGTTGTTCCGGAAACGATTGTATTTCGTATTAACACGACTTTTATCCATATTCAATACTTTAGATTTGTAAAGAAATTGTATCAACCGCATGTAAGAATTTATTTAACACTACTGGTGGAACACGAACCATTATCGTAACCAAAGTCTGCATGATTCAGTAGTTGTCAGGGCGTCAATCCGGGGGGGGGGGGAGACAGGGGACACGTCCCCCCACGATTTCTCCTAGGAGGGACATCATATCAAATGTCCCCCCCCCCCATGTTTTTTTTTTTTTTAAAGAGGGACCACCAGGGAGCAAAGATTTTGTATACAAAATCCCACGAACAGGCAACACAAAAATAGTGCCTCTTACCCCCTACCCCCACCCCCGCCCCCCTCTAATTCACTGACAGGCTAATTCCGCTAAATATTTCCTGACGAATTGGGCAACAACAACAAAATTATTGTGTCCCTCCCATACTCAAGCTCAAATTGGCGCCCCTGGTAGTTGTCACAGTTTTATTGGTGTTTAAAGCTCAACGGATCATGCCATATCGAAACTATGCATAATATATGTAATACCATTAACGAATCTCACTTTCACTGGGTCACACTATTTGCATTTCATTTCGCATTCTAACAGTTGGCCTGATTCGTCTGACTAATTCAACAAAGCATACAATCTCTGTCTATACATCGTCAATCTAATTATCCATTTTTTTCCCGCAAAATTTGCTTTTAAAACTTTTCCATGGCATCGAGGGGCATCATTCTGAAAGGTTGCAAGGTAAATTGTATGGAAGTGATCCTTGACGATGTAACTGACTTTGTTATGCTCTGATAGATCTCTTCACTCATTTCCATGGATGACATAGATCCATTCCCAGAAATGGGTATTATTATACAAAAATATTTTAAAAAGTAATAACTACTGTACGTATAGCGGCTTCTTGTGCAAGTTACCATAGTCGCTTGATTCAGTTAAAGTGCAATGCACTCTTTAAAAGGGGTTTATTGGTCTAAAATGTATGAGTTGGTCTGTATATACCACAAGTATGGAAGTATAATGAGATTTAACTCTACACGAAATTATATTTTCCACTCAATATATACTTTCCTCTTTTAATCATGAAAAATTAAGAAATCAGATTTATTTTCAAGAGAGTGGTTTGTCTTGTGCTGATTGAAAACACATTTTGTAGAGTCATGGCAGTGTTTATTCGACAACCTATCTTCAGAGAAACTTTCACTTTATCACTCATTCCTACTGACTTATTGTGTGTTTGCTGTTTTCCACTCACAATTTTGTAAGATTTTAGATTCAGATTCAGATTCAGATTCAGATGAGTTCTCCAGCATTTTCAATCGCTACCACCACCAAACCATGATACCAACTGCAACACCACAAACAATGAAGGCGTTGGCCAAGGTGAACTTCTGCCATGCTGGACTCTCCTCGATGCTCTTGATCATGCTGGCCTCCCCGGGAACCTCCTGGTCGTCATCGGGGTTGAATCCAAGAAACCAGAACAGATATTTCTTCCATCTGGGTGTATCTGGATGTGATTGACAGAAATGTAAAGGAATTGGCAGATTTTGTGTTTAGATATCAGGGAACAATGAAGGAGTACTTATATTGAGGATAAGCGAATCGGTGATAAACAAAAGAAACTCATAAATTTGTAGAGCCTGTTGAAATTGTCAGATATCTATTGGGATAGCCACACTACGATGTTCTCAACTATGTTAATGTGTCCGTATGATCTAACTTATGCATACAAAACAAAAACAACATAGAAACTCATGAATTCATAGAGTATGTTGAAACATCTGGCAGACTACAATGTTCTAAGCAATATTAGTGTGTCCGAAAAATCTAGTTTGCCATCGTTGAAAGTTTTATGAACAAAATGTAGATTGTCTTCCCTTCTTATCTAAAATATTAAGGCTTTTCTCATTGATACAACAAATATATCCTTTTTGGTACTTGCCTGATTTCTCGGTGTGCTCTTGACATGAAAGGTCAGGCTGTCGGACGCCCTCCGCGGTAGGATCTTCTAGTTTGTTATCGTGCAGTTGGACTCTCTTGCGGACTTCCTTTGACTCTGCATGGTTGTTTGTTTCGTCGCTAAAAGTAAGCTGTTCTGGTTTAGGGTTCATTCCACGGGTCCAGAAAGTCTTGCCTAGTATCTGTTGCAAACAAATGTCAACATCATCATTTAACCTATAGGCACTTAGAAAAACAATCAGAAAAAAATACCCAACGTCTCAGTCACACCTTTGCGTATTTGGCTTGCGTATTGCTGTGTATTTATGGCAAGCCGCTTTAACATTTATTCCTATTTTGATATCAAGAAATTATTTTCTGTTGTAAAGCAATGGTAATTCTTGATATCAAGAAATTGGAATAAATGTTAAAACGGCTTGCCATAAATACGCAGCAATACGCAAGCCAAATACGCCAAGGTGTGACAGAGCCATAGGACTGTGTACGTATCAATTTTTACAAAGTTAAATTGTTTAGGGTGATTCAAATTATTATCGCGTAAAGATCATTGGTTCAATTAAAAAATTCAGTTAGCATTTTGAAGTCAGTAAACTTTCATCTTTGCGGTTGAATGATGGTATTTTAGCTATACACATCAAAAGCATATTCCTTAAAGCTCATTCACACCGCTAAATCGAATCAAAACCGGTCTCTTCGTGGCCATTCATATTAATGTACATTTTTGTTGTTTGGTCTGTTGTCGGTTTAGTGTCGGTGTGGTTGGTGTGGCTGGGGTATTACCTGATTGATCGTAGGTTTCGGCGTCATCAGGCTGACGGTCACAGTGACGACCAGGCACACCAGAGTCACGATGCAATTGTAGTAGAGGAAGTGGACATTCTTGACAATCGAAGGTCGATCGTCCTGCAGTCCACAGGCTGGGGCAGGGTAGACGATGTCCAGGATCATCCGTATCACACCCAAAACAACACCGATGATGAAACCCCAAAAGGCGCCCTACGGGAGGAAAGGTTCGTAGCAGGAAGTTAATTCGTCAAAGGTGTTTGAATCTATGGATAATTTTGAAACATTGCAACAATCCATTTTCTTTTAATTGGCTTGTATTCTTAGATCTTACACAAAATAAAATGGCCCAATCGTTTAAGAGCCTGTATTATGTGTTTACTAATCATTCACAGTTTGAGAATTGTAAAATGACGATAACCAACCTTAGTGTAGATGTTGACATTGGAATAAAACATTTGCTAAAGATTATTTAAAACACAGACAAAACAAGCACATATATTCGATATTATAATGATACAAACGGAATCACAGTTTTTAACCTTAACATTTCTGTGCCAAGTAAAAATGTCACAGGTAAAACATGTCAGAGGTAAATATGACATAGGTAAACATGTCTGACGCTTTTACGTCTAACTTTTGTTACCACTTGTATTATCAACATGCTCTTATCGACCAATATACATTCAAGCGCAGAGTCGAATTTCGTTAAAGTACGACATACAAGAAACATATTATATTCAAACTAAGTCGCAGTAGGCCTATAATATAATAGGCTTTTAACCTGCAGCAGACAAAGGGTTTAATGATACCTTTTCGTTATTTCTGACCCAGACGACCCCGGTGACGAAGCAGACAAATATGGGAGGGGCAAAGTAGGATTGTAGAGACTGGATGTATTGGAAGAGCTGGCCACCCTGTGCTACCTGGACGATGGGAACCCACAGGATGCTGATTCCAACCAGAACAAGGACAAAGAGCCTACAGAAAGACAAGCGGTGAAGGGGAGACTTAAAGACTAGTGACTCGAAAGTGACTCGCTAACATTGCCTCAGATTCTTAAACAAAATCCTGGATTTTGCTCATGCTGCAATTATAGTTATAAACATTTAGGTCAGTCAGGAATCCCATAACTTTTACAAGCTGATCGCCTGTCTGATTATCAAGATATTTATGATTGGAAATTGAAATTTCATTTTTCCGTTTTCCTAACGGTTCGTATAACACTATAATCTATTGGAGAAAATGAGTATGGTAACACCGGTCACTCAAAGATTGTTACTTTTTAGAGGCACTTCATGATCATTTTGAAGCGCAGATTTAACATTGTAAAACGATGCCTTTAATATTTCGTCCGTAGAAAAGGAGCGGAAACCTCTTATATGAGAAAAGCAGTTTAATCAAATGATTTTTATGATGAAGAATCTGGTAACAGTCAGAAATATTGCTATCATAATCTGACGTGACCAATTCTTGATCTACAATCAAGTCCATTACGGCTCCATTACTGCATCAGTTTAATCAACCACTCCTCATGCTAGGAGTCCACTGGGCCGGCGCCAGTTGGCGCCAGTTTGCGCCAATGCAATTTACTGTGGCGCCTAGTGTCGCCATTAAGGTGCCTAGTGGCGTGTAGTGGCTCAAACTGCCTCCCAACTGGCTCGTGGTGGTGCATAACGGCACCGAATTTGAATGTGGCGGCAAGAAAATTTCAAAATGTTTGAAATTTTCGTCGCGCCACTTGCATCGAGCAATCAGCGCCAAGTGTCCGCCAAGTGGCACCAAATGGCGCGAACATATCGCCCTTTGGCGCAAACAATCCGCCTATTGGAATCCACTGGAATGTAATGGCGCGCGCCAAGTTGCGCCAATGAGATTTCGCGCCACATGGCGCCACTTGGCGCCAAGGGACACCTTGTTTGCGCCACTACGCGAGCCAAACGGCACCCGATTGGTGACTACTTCGCGCCAAATGCCACCTGATTGCCCGCCATTCAGCGCCACTTGCCGCCTATAACAGCAGGGCGGCATCGCAGGACTTTCTCACAGTGATGGCGGCAGTTCCCCAAGCTCTAGGGATGAGGTTGTGCTGGGCATCCTCCTGGTCCAACATGCGGACGTCCAGTGCCTGATAGTGCTTCCTGATGAGGTTGTGCAGCATGACGGCAGCTTCAATGAGCAGGCGGACTGTGTCTGGTTCCTGTTTCATCTGGCCAAGGAAGCAGTGGAACCGCAGAACCGGAATACCAAAGGCATTTTCAACCACACGCCTTGCCCCGGACAGCCTGTAGTTGAAGATCTTCTGCTGTTGGTCCATGTTACGACGGCCATAGGGCTTCATCACGTACGTCCTCATGGCGAAGGCATCGTCTCCCACGAAGAAGTACGGCATAGGGTGCTCTTTATCATCATGGGGAAGAGGAGCTGGATCTGGGATGCCTAAAGTGCCAGCTTCAATGCACTCCTTCAGTTCACTGTTGTTGTAGATCTGGGCATCAGACTGATGGCCAACCCCACCCACATCGATCCACAGGAACTGGTACTTTGAATCTACCAGAGCCATCAGGACAACCGAGAAGAACTGCTTGTAGTTGAAGTAAAGGCTGCCTGATTTGTTGGGCTTCTGGAGACGGATGTGCTTTCCATCATAGGCTCCCAGACAGTGAGGAATATTCCATCTGGCTTCAAAATCACCTGCAACCTCAATCCAGCCTTCACTGGTTGTGGGGGGGGGGGGATGACTTCTGCAGCATACTCATCCACTACCGCTCTGGCTACATCAGGGACAAACTTCTGGATGGTTTCCTTGCCCACTCGGAAGTTGTAAGACAGCTCGGCATAGGTGGCCCCAGTGGCGAGATGGCGCAGATAGAGGGACAACTTGAGACCAGGGGAATGGCCTTCCTGATGTGGGTGTCCTTCTTCTGCAAGTGGGGTGTTAGCCTGACCAACAGGTCATCAAACATCTCTGGGGACACCCTGGTGTAGTTCTTGAACTTCCTCCTGTCATTCTCACTCAGCTCTTCCATCAAAGTGTGGTACTGTCCGTTTTCGGCCCTCAACTGTGGGTGGAGCATGGGTCTAAACCAGGCGCGGATCCAGGGGGGGGGCCGAGCGGGCCTTGGCCCCCCCCCCCGCAAAAAAAAAAAAAAAAGAAAGAAAGGAAAAGAAGGGAAAGGGAAAGAAAGAAGAGGAAGAAGAAAAGAAAAGGGGGAAGAAGGAGATCAGGGGGCGAAAGGGCCTTGCCTCCCAGGCTGTCCCCCCCCCCCCCCCCCATCAAAAAAAAAATAAGAGAGAAGGAAGGAAGGGGAAAGAAAAAAGGAAAAGAGGAGATACTGGCGTACTGATAGAGGGGGGGGGGGGGCTTGGGGGAAATCAAATTCAAACGTGGTTTATTTCTAATTCCACAACGGTGGATTACAAATAATGCTGAAATGACATAATTTCCGAAATTTTTCCTCACTTTTTAGTAAATTATACGTTTGTATGTGTTTGTTGAAAAATGACAAATTCCTAAATTTACAACCAGGCAAAAAATATGATTCTTGAGATTCGTACATGTCAGGGCCCGAGGTACGGCGGGGATCGAGAACCTCGAGTCCCCCCCCCCCTCCCCCACTTTTCTTGACAAAGTATATTAAAGAGAAATAAAATAGAATGAGAGCAAGAAAGTGAGAATAGTTAACTGCCAGTGTTAACAAAATAATGAGGCATCAAAATATGCTCATCTGACCTTTATTAAACGCTTAAAACCCCTGAGCTTCCGGGGCCGGCTCCGCCGTCTCGACCCCACCAGGGGCCCTAAGGCGGGCCCCTGAATGCTTATCTGATCGTAATTTATTGCCTTAAACCCCTGAGCTTGCGGGGTCGGACAAGGTATCAAGATGTGTTTATCTGACCACAGGCGCGTAGCCATAGGGGGGGGGGGGCGGTCCCCCCTCCAATCGAAAGAGGACGTAGGAAGAAAAAGGAGCAGACAAAGAACATCTTTGAAATTCAGACAAGGATTAAGAGTATAGAGAACGGTACAACGCATCGTTTTCTTTCTCTAATAATAAAACGTCAAAGCCTCGCGCAGGAGGGGAGGGGGGGGGGGGCTGAATTCAGACGAAGATTCAGAGGCGAGAACGGTAATACGAATCTTTAATGATTTAATGAAACGTAATAGCTACTGCGCTTCGCGCGGGATGGAGGTGAAACTAAATTCCGATGAGGTTTATTTTCGAGAACGGTACAATGAATCGTCTTCTTCTCTAACGATTAAATGAAGATTAAAAGCTTCCGCGCTTTGCGCGAGAGGGGGGGGGGGGACCTGAATTCAGACGAGGATTAAGAGTCAATAACTGTACAACGAATCTTCATTTTTCTCTAATGATTTAATAAAACGTAGAAGCTTCCGCGCTTCGCGCAGGAGGGGGAGGGGGACGGGGACTAATTTTAGACAAGGATTAAGAGTCGAGAACTGTACAACGAATCGTTTTCTTCCTCTAATGATTTATTGAAACGTAAGAGCCTCTGCCCTTCGCGCGGGAGGGGGGGGGGGACTGAATTCAGACGAGGATTAAGAGTCCAGAACGGTACAACGAATTGTCTTCTTTCTCTAATGATTTAATGCAACGTAGAAGCTTCCGCGCTAGGCGCAGGAGGGGGAGGGGGGGGGGACTGATTTTAGACAAGGATTAAGAGTCGAAAACTGTACAACGAATAGTTTTCTTTCTCTAATGATTTAATGAATCTTAAAAGCTTCCGCGCTTCGCGCGGAAAGGGGGGGGGGGGGAACTGAAATCAGACGAGGACAAAGGGTCGAGAACGGTACAACGAATCGTCTTCTTTCTTTAATAGTTGAATAAAACGTCAAAGCTTCCGCGCTTCGCGCAGGAGGGGGAGGGGGACTGAATTTAGACAAGGATTAAGAGTCGAGAACTGTACAACGAATTGTTTTCTTTCTCTAATGATTTAATGAAACGTAAAAGCTTCCGCGCTTCGCGCTGGAGGGGGAGGGGGGGGGGACTGAATTTAGACAAGGATTAAGAGTCGAGAACTCTACAACGAATCGTCTTCTTTCTCTAATAATTTAACAAATCGTAAAATTTTCCGCGCTTCGCGCGGGAGGGAAAGAAACTAAATTCAGACGAGAATTATTTTCGAGAACGGTACAACGAATCGTCTTCTTTCTCTAATAATATAATGAAACTTCAAAGCCTGGGAGGGGGTAACTCGCCCCCCCCTTCACCGACCCCCCCCCCCCCCCCGCCCCCGCATGACGTCACTGTTGGTCGCCATTACGTACCAATATTTGGCTCGCATAATTTCAAATTTGGGCCCCCCCCCTAAGAAATCCTGGATCCGCGCCTGTCTAAACCACCAGTTGTGCTTCCTTTTCTTCTTAGGAGGCTCTTCTTCTTCAGGATTGGCCAGCATAAGTTGATAGGCAGTGGCCACCTCAGCATCTCTCATCATCTTCTGATGGAGCAGCATCATCACTCCAACATTATCAAAAGCCTCAGACATATCAAAATTGTAAATATTTAGTAGAGATGTTGTTCATACAGCAGCTGAGGAGGGTCTGAACCAGGTAGCCAATGGCCGGTATTTATTTAGTCGGCAAGTAGCGCCAAGCGGCGGCAAGTCCAAACCAATTTGGCGACCTTTGGCACAAACTAATCACCAAGTGGCGCAAAGTAGCCGTCTATTGGCGCGAATGGCGCCGACAGGGTGAATTTTGGAATCAAATGGCCGTGTAATGGCGCAAACTGGCGCGAACTGGCGCAACATTTTGGAGCAAGCCGGGTGGCATTTGGCGCACGCCATATGGCACCCAGTTTATTCCACTTGGCGACACATGCCGAGTGGACATTAATTCGGCGCCACAGCGAGCCACTACGCGCCAATCACATAATCTTTGGCGCGAACTGGCACCAACTGGCGCCGGCCCAGTGGACTCCTAGCATCACTTATTATAATATCAACGGACCTCCCTTCAATCTTGTTGTTCCCGCCAGTTCCCACCGTTTCTTATCATTACCACAGTTTTGCATCATATCAAATGTTCTTTGAAGGTGATTACCTGCCTCTGTAATTTGTTTTTGTTTGTTAAATCGCTGTTTATGTTTGGCGCCTTCTTTCACTAATGAAACATCATGATCAATGACTCAAGAAGCAACTACTATTACTACCTAAACTACAATGAGCAGTCTCGTTTAGTCAACGCCGCTTAAGGATGCGCGCTACGAACAAAAAAACGAATCAATATTTCAGTTTTCATAGATACCTTCCTACTATCATTAACTCTCGGTTCTTCGCATTTGGACGAATGCGGCGCCATATATCCATGGTGAATATCGTACTGCCACTGTTGAAGATGGATGTTAATGAACTCATGAGGGCGGCAATCATGACGGCCATCATCAGACCGCGAGCACCTGTAACAAGGCATAACATCCAAGTCACACCAATGAAAAACCGACTCCAGACCGATAACAGTCCGAAAAACGGTGACATCAAGCAGCATATCCAAGAGTCGGTAGGCCGAGAGAGTCGGTATCCAGTCGGCTTGGCAGTATGATTAACATTTTTTTAGATAGCTATGTACCAACCAGGTCAATACAGGGAGTTTTTAGAAATGATTTGATGGGAGAGGGCGCGTGTGTAGACAATTTGCGAAGATCAATAACAACAGTAATATCTCATCAACAATTACTAAAACGGTTAAAGGTGTAAATATTTTCATTGGAAAGACGCCGATAGCATTGAACAACAACAACAAACAAGTATAACATCCTATTAAAAGCGATAATTGTCAATTTTTAGACCTAATAGACGTAGTAAAGACATTTGCTTTTGTCAGACGATGTATCATATGGACATACATGTATCATTAAACTAATTTTAGGAAAACTAAACAGATAAGAGAAGAGAGGGAGAGCAAAAAAAAGTGAGCTCGGAGTGAATAAGGATACATTTACTCAAGAATTGCAACAATATAATCAGAGAGGAAATGACAGAATAAATTGTCATAAAAAGACGACAGGTTAAAGGAAAGGGAGCATTTAGAACAGATATAACTTACCAATAGGCATGAGTCTGAGGATTAGGAGTGGGTAGGCAATATTTGAACACGAAGTCGGGTTTTGGCAGTACTTCATACACGATTCACTGTCCACACATGCTACTTCATCTATATACACATGAAATCGGAATAAGAAATTGTTCTAGAATAGTATATAGAGAAGGTGACGAAGATACGCGAACGTATGAAAACAAGAGACACGCTGATGCAATAAAAACTCACCATTAATTTTGTTCACGTTATTAGAAAGTACATGAATTTGTTTAGACTTTTTTCTCTCGCATATATATATATAAATATTGAATGTCTCATACAAGAAGATTTATTTTATCACCCATTAATAATCTAAGGCTTGAAATCAAAATATTTATTTGAAGGATCATTATCCACCTTTATATATTACTAAGATGAAAGAAAACCCATAAAATGCAATATGGAAAGCTGCTCATGACTTATATTCTAGCTTGTTTCGCAATTCTGTTCAATCAAAAACGGAAACAATTTCATGGGCTGGATCCAGTACGTGTATGAATTGAAAAGGGTTCTCCGACTAAAATCAACGAAATTTTCATCAACAGAAACGCAAAATGTGTAAATATAAAGCACCGGAAATATGTTATGGGGGCGTTGTCACACCCCACTCCCCCTCCCCCAACTCTCTCTCTCTCTTTCTTTTTCGACACCAACGCCCATGTCTACATCCTATTCATTCCACAACTAATGAGTAAGATTCACGAATTGAATAAATTGGCTTGTTTATTAAGGATTTTTTTTGGTTTTACCTGTGTAAAGAACCCTAGCTATCATTCCCGGCATCACGATTAGAAACTGTGGCAGGAACTTAAGATAACTTGCGACTATAGAGGCGCCCTTCGCATGAGTGACGTTCTTTGCGGCAAGGGAACGTTGGACAATCACCTGCAGGGGAAAGTTATCAGTAAATGTAGAATTTACTAACTTTTTTCATTTTTCATACTATTGACGAAATATAACGTGATATTTAACGCGTTTCATATTCTCCCTTTTTTTCTTTCCCCTCTCTTACTCTCCCTCCCCCTCTTTCCTTCTTCTCAATCGTAAATACGAATTACTAATCCCAATTTCATTATTTATACTGCTTTTCCCACAACAGCTTTTCCGAGTACGACCTCTCCAACCACTAAAGTTACTACTGTTTCTATTACTTTATTACTCTTTTACTCCTCATCGTGGGAAATGGAAAACTGTTCTAAAGATAATAATTAAACTCTGGGTTAAAAATATAAAATGATTATGTTTTACATACAGTATTATCTACTTTAATCTGCTTGAAAATTTCAATAAAAAATATCAGAGGAAAATATTAAAATCAAATATCGTTTATTGTCTCTTTAAAAAAAAATTGCTCTAGGATTGATATTTTTGCCAACTTAGACTGGCAGCAATTTGTCAAACTCCTTTATCGAGATAGTGGATTACCTGGTCAGTACACCAGTACCAAGTTCCTATTACCATGATGCCCAGAGCGGTTCCGGGCCATGGCTGATCCGAAGTAGTTGCGTCCCGGATCATACTAAAGGCGTCTTGTCTCGGATATCCGCAGGTAGTATCCGTATCGTTCAGGACAGAGGATGGAAACGACTGCATGTACTCTAGTCTCAGTCGCTCTAGACTGCCTATCTTCATGAAGCCTTTATTTCAAATGATAGTGAAATTTTATGTAAAGTTTTATAAGCGAGCAAGGGTATAGGGAATAATTATGTTAATGCATTCTATGAAAAACTTGCTCCAAATGCAAAAATGTATTAGCATCAAGTGTTTTTTTTTAATTATTAAATTTAATACATTATAACATCATGATGTAACGATATCATTGTGCTATTGACACCATCACACTTTTCATAGATTAATTTTTGCAGTTGGAAATATTGAATATACAGGTAAATTATACGAGTAATGCACGCTTATTGATTTGACAAACATGATTCCGGATGAGGAGTCGTGTGTCTGGCAAACTTTGGTGCAGCAATATGTCCAACTCGTGATGTTCTGCTCAATTTAAGGTAAAGGGTGATCAGAATAGGTAAAAAATTGCTGAAGTTGCGCTTTAAAATGATTTATGAAAATAATGTTCATATTATATTTATTCTTGGGAACCTATAAAAACAAGCTATGCTTTTCAGTAGGTTCCCGTTTCATTTCATAATTTTGATCTTACTTTGTCAACTATGTTCTTTATTGTGCAAACAATTGTTATATGAAATAAAATAAAATCAATCAATCAATAAAATTGACAAAAAATTGGTCGGACATGAAAATTGTCCTCATGGTGGGCAATTATCTTTTATTTCTAATATCAAATTGAGTGTAGTAAAGGAAATATTAAGACGCATGTTGGTTCTCTGGAATTTTTTTTTGTATACTCTACTTACTTGTGACCATGAGAAAGGACCCACCAACAAGCATGATTACAACTTGGAGAGTGTCAGTGTATATCACAGCCGCTAGGCCTCCTGTCAAAGTAAATTGATTGATAGACCATTTTCGTAATGCAATCAAATGTTATGCATAAATCTTTGTTAAGTGCCAAGTTACAAATTATTCCATTCACCTGTTACAAATAATTGTATTTCAAAAGTCAGAATGCGATTTGCATACAATAATTGTTGCTAGGTAAGACAAACATGATGGCTTGTTCCACCTAACAACACGGAATGTAATAAATTCGCATTCTGACTATTAAAATACGAGTATTCGTAAAAGGTGAACAAGTCTTTTGTAACGAAGCACACACCTGGTTAATGATGTATTCTTAATAATTTCGATTATGTGAAAAGTACATGCTGATTTTAATACAAAATTTAGTTAGCACTGTCTTAAAGAATGAGAAAAAATAAAGATATTAGAAAAAATATGAAGACGATAACCCTTTTTAACACAGCAAACGATATTTTCTTTTTGCCTTAAACAAACTGTTCAAAGCGTTTTTTCAAGCGCAGAGCGTGAATTATGTTTAAACAAAATTAATTGTATAATAATCTAAATAGTTTGACGTATAGACCTAGCTGCCTGAAAGAACATTTTACCCGTAATTGTGTAGACAGCAGTAACAGCGAGCAGCACAAATATGGAGGCATATATATTCCATTTAAAGGCCTGTTGAATAAATACTGCTCCAGCAAAAATATCAACCTGTATTTTATAACAGAAAAGAAAAATAGAAATCACATTAATCCTTTGTTCATGTCTTTTCCTTCATTCATAAATATGCTAAATACGTTGAATATTCTTAGAAATAAAGTGGCCCCACAATTTTAAAAAGAAGCTACAAACTCTGATAATTTGTCAATTAACTTTGTCAATTAATTAATTTTTAAATGTGTTACAGTCAGCTTGTTTGGTAAATTCACACGGTAGTAATAGCTTTTTAATGACAAACATGCTGATCCAAGAACACCGTCTTGTACAGGAAATTCATTAACATTCTTCTTTTCCATTCCATTTCTCTAGAAAATGTTATTGTACGAAATAACTGTAACATGATCTTGAAGTAAATTGCATAAATGTGAACTATCATATACTGAACTGTGTTGTGAGGATTTTATGGCCGGTCATTAGTTCGGAAAGTCCTGTAACTACTCATGTATGATTAAAAATAAAGACCTGATAAAACAAACTAAAATTCGTGAAGGTATCGATCTCAGTAACAATCATCAGCTTCAGTTAAGAGGATTACATTATGTAAAAGTGATCACAAGCATGAGGCTTTAATTGAATGTTAAAAACTTACTCATCACCTAAATATAGGACATACTCACTGATATTTTTGTAAATACATACAAGAAGAGTGCCAGGATCGACATCGCTATTCGTAGTCGTTGACCTCCATAACGTACACGGAGATACTCGGGCATGGTATACACCTGTTGCATACAGTAAACCAAATGTTATCATGGCAAATATGTCCTATCAATCATTATTCTAAATATTGAGATCTATTGACCAATATTGATCCTCGAAATTTCATCAACAGTTTAATTGAATTTTCTTAAAACATTCCATTTGGATTTTCCTTATCATGAACAAGCATTCATGTTTGAAAAATAAGAATAGATAGATAGATTATGAAACAAAAAGTCATCCTGACATTTTCTTTTAATCTTTCATTTTATTTTCATGGCTGGTTCTAATTTTTTGGGGTCATCAAATCGTGCCTTAAAAGCAAAAGAAAATGAAGTACACAAACCTTATTCTATATATAATTTTGAGCATATTGTAATATTACTGATAGAAGTATATTATTTATCAACACAGATTGTTGAGCAGTTAATCTGTTTGACATCATAAATGGGATAATTCAACCACAATCCTTATAAATATTTTCGTGTACATCATAGTTGCAGTGCTCGATGAAAGTTTCATAACAAACAAAAGCAAAATAATTACTCCATAAAGACACGAATGGGCCACAAAGCAAAATTCATCTTATTCAAATAGCTTTGTAGTTTGATTTTTGGTCAACACTGCTGCCGGTACTTTAGACCGAATTACAACGAACTTTTATGATTTTATGACGTATCGTCAAATTTGTCACAGTGATTTTTATAATGGAAATTCAATTTGGGTTTTTGACCTACTTCACAAAGCATTATTTGAATGTGACTCAACCAAGGGTTTATCCTCTCACAGATTCTTCGGCACAAACCTTATTCAAGGCATTGATAAAATAGCAGCCACCTCATTATAAGGGCCACCTGTCCCCCGACTTGTCCGCAGTGGTCACCTAAATTGTTTCCATCTAGGAAGAAATTCGTTTTGTAGGACCTGTCTAAAAGGCCACACGTCTACAGTTTTCGTGTTTTCCGTGGGTGGCCTTTAAAGACAGGTTTGACTCTATTTACATGACTTGTTTCTTTGCCCTATTTCAATGTCAACAAAGTATTGTAATGTATTTTCTATAAATAAAAAAAAGATAAAAGCTTAAGCGATTTACCCCCGATGAGACGTACACAGGTAGGAAGATCCAACCCAAAAGAAGAATGGCATATCCAGACTGTCATATCAAAATAAAATGCATTAAAATTCATGGATTAAACAATCAACAAAAAAAGCTGCTTAATATTTTGATACAAATAATATAAACATAACTATTTCAACAATAAGTATAAAGATGTTACAATGAAAATACACTGGTCCCTTAGCCGAAGAACCAACAAAAAAATATTCGACTAAACAAGGGACTGTGCGTGGCGTGACAAAAATAAGAGCAATGATATGTGTATGTCAAGTAACGAAAAATTATTGGTTTTAAAAATCAGACTTGTACGTCTAACAAGAACAATCTGCAATGCATATGAAATATTAAATATGCTACATGAATAATGTGAAAGGGAATGGACATGCAGAAGACAATGCAATGAGAGAAATATAGAGAAATGGGAACTGGGCAGATGGATAGAAAACGAGGAGAAGGAAAGAATTTATTTTTAAAAAGAGTGAGGAAAGGGGAGAAAGGGAACTAAGAAAGCAAGTGCGAAAGGGAGAGTGAGATATGGAGAGGAAGAGAGAGAGGTGGAGAGTGAGAAAGAAAAGGAGAGAGAGTGGGAAGAGAGGTGAAATAAATAGGGAGGGAGAAAGAGAGCCAGAGAAAGAGAGAGAGAGAGAGAGAAAGAGAGAGAGAGAGAGAGGGGGGGGGGGTGGAGAAAGTTGGTTGTGATTCTCAAGACATTTTTTTGTTACCATAACTTCGTATGCTGCTACAGCCAGTCCAGATGTTGCTCCGGTTCCGGCTAGTCCGATAAAGTGTCCGGTACCGATGTTACTCGCAAATAACGATGCTCCAATCTGCCAATTATAGACTTGCATTACGTTAATATCAAGCACAGTACTTAAGATAACAAATGCAGAAGATGTGTAAGCCATACAAAAATGAAGTCAGCCAAAAAGTTGACGGAGATCGCAAAAAAAAATAATCTGATGTTGCATTTTAAAACAGGGGCAGTGAGTAAGCATACTATTATATTATTTTTCTGTTGAATAGACACCAACAGTCTAGTACCTCTTACTCATTGATGCTTGGTACTGATTTTTCAGCATAAACGCACATAAAAGATAACTTTTATCTCATCACAATGCTTTAAAGAACCCACCACGAACAACAAAATTTGTTATTTTTTGCAAGCTCTTATTAACGATTTAAAATCCAGACTCTAGAGGAACGGGTGTTTTGAGTGTCGATTTGATAACTGATGCCTATTCTATTACTTGTGAGAAAGATCAAATTTATTTAAAGGTTAAGACACTTAAGCTTTTCTAAAAGCCACTTACCGGTAACCACCACATTGATCGGCCTGCGAGGAAATATCCACTTGCATTGCCCCTGTTAGTTTTGTACATGGACTGGTAGACAAACAAAAACATTGAAAAATATTAGGTTACGAGTATCTTTTTTTAATATATTTTTTTCTTCAATTGACTTGTATGTATTCTATTTATTAATAATATTTTGAAATACAGGAATGTATAAACTTTCCACAAATCAATCAGTGTTGATTAACTTTGACAGAAGAGATATTCCGCCAGAAATACGAACTTTCTTTCATATGCTGCTTCGTGTATTGAACAACAAAGATCAAAATATCTTTATTTTGAACCAGGGGCGAGTCCAGGCTTTTGTAAAAGAGGGTCACAAATTTCATTTCAAAATTGCTGATAAGCAAATGTATGCCACTTGGGTTTAAATGGGAAGTGGCATGGTGCCCCCCCCCCAATCTGCCAGTGACCGGAAGAACACAAATTGGGGGTTCTTGGTTGTTTTTTCTCTCTCTCTCTCTCTCTCTCTCTCTCATTGCGTTGACATACATTGCTTGAAATGAACTCCATTGGTGTGGACAATGAATGACAAAATTACCCTCAAATATAATTTTGTAAAGATGTAAGGAGTATGAGATGAAGGGCACATGCACAAGTTTGATGCCCTTAAACAAATTCTTGAAATCCATGAAATATAGGCAATATGTAGTGTTCATGCCTATTATGACCGGAACGTATATCAACGGGGTATACTAGCAGTATGTAAAGGGCAACAAAGTATTATTTGACCGCGTTTATTGCTGGTTCTATCTTGATATATTATGGGTGAATCGGCCCATGGCAGAGTCCGGAAAGTATTAAAAACAAAAATTATTATACTCACCCATAAACCGACAATGATGACGAAGATAAAGTAAACGACAATGATGACGATGTCTGCAGTACCGATTTCACCTTCACCTTCATATTCTTCGTTACCGCCTTCCCCCGCCATTTTCCCTTTTAGAGTGTCTAGAAATGCCCTTTAGAAATTCGCCGTTTTACTCTCTATGTGTTTCGTGAAAAACTTCTATAAAAAAAAAGCGACGACAGACAAACCAAAGTCCATGTAAACGATAGTAAGAGGCGGCTTCTATTAGCTTTTACCACGGACCTTGTTGAACAACTCCAAGTTTACCCTCGCGGTCTCCATTATACAGCCTTCACATCAGGGGCGGGGAAGCGACTTTCAAAGTACCGGGGGGGGGGGGGACCAACAAAAAGGGGCACTTTCTGGAGAGAAAAAAGAGCACCTCAAAGGGAAATCTCGAAGCGAAAATATACAATTCTTTAGACATTTGTATGTACCCCTACATCGTGATTACAGTATCAGGGATGATTTCAATATTTGTTTCTCTTTATACATCATACATGATTATTGCTTTGATAAGCATCATGCTTTGCAGTTGGGTGTGATGTTACGCAGTTTCCCAAATGTGAAATCATCATTTCAAGAGTTCAGCGGGATTTCCGGAAACTTCTTTTTCTCTCTCTTTTTCTTTTCCTATTTTGGCCCTCTCATTTCCCTCCATACTTGTTTTTGTTTTTGTTTGTTGGGGGGACAGAAACATTTGGTGCTCGATTTGAAGATTGGTAGATTTCTGATATTTGTTAAATATTAAACTAAAATAGTTCATCAAAAGATAACAACTGGTTTTAAAAAAAAAATATTGATAGTAGAGTTATGAATGCTCTAAAAATTATTAAAAATTTCTGACAGAAATTAAATAAAGGAACCGTAAGTACCGACGCAGTTTTCCCCGACTCCGCTCATACATCAAACACCCACGATCGGCGGCGGCACTCTCGAAACAATGGCTACGTACACATATACCAAATCATCTACTCAAGGCCCTCAAATTCTACGATATTTTTTGTTTGTTTGTTGTTGTTGTTGTTGTTTTTTTTTATTTCTTGATTTTTGATTTTTGATTTTTGATTTTTGATTTTTGATTTTTGATTTTTGATTTTTGATTTTTGATTTTTTTTTTTTTGGGGGGGGGTGAATATTTCATATGTGGCTCCTAGGGGTATGTAGGAAGTTGTTAACGTCCATTTAAACCACCAATCGGAGTATTTTTTCTTTCTCTCTTTGAAATTATGGGGTAATTGTCCTAGGATATAGTTGTCCGGTAGTAATGGTTCTCGAGGGTTATCACGCGGGTTAAGTTGTCCGTAGGTTGTGATTTTAAAGGGGAGTTGAATACGTGTACGGTTAACCGAGAGTAATAGTCCATGGGTAGTTTCCTAGAATCATCTCGTTTTGACAATAGTGATGTGGTTTACATCAATAATGTTCCTTGCGTATATAGCCTCGGCCTTATACTCGATAGTTGTTATCACGAAGCTTAAGGATGGAAAGGATGATACTTTATCAATAGGAAGACTGAGGCTGAAAAAAATAGAGAGAGGGGGAGAGGAGAGGAATAAAGAAAGGATGACGTAAAACAGTAAGGGGGAAGAGAGAGGGAGAGAGATGGAAAGAGAGAGAGAGAGAGAGAGAGAGAGAGGGAGAAGGAGGGAGAGAGAGGAATAAAGAAGGAAAGAGGGAAAGAGAAGAGAGAGAGAGGGATCTCTGTAGACTCAAATAATGCACACTAACCAATGGTTTAAGGTTCAGGATTCAAAAGTAGGGGAAAGAAAGGGAAAGACAGAGAGAATAAGAAGGAGAATAAAGAAAGAAAGAAGTGGAAAAAGAAGTATAAAGAGAGAGAGAGAGAGAGAGAGAGAGAGAGAGAGAGGGGGGGGGGGGTAGCGAAAAAAAGAGGGAAGGGGAGATAGGGAGTTCTCTGTACACTCAAATAATGCACACTAACAAATGCTTTAAGCTTCAGGATTCAAATTTACTTTTTATTGTTCATTGGATTATTAAAATTTCATAATTTCACTTGCATTAAACAGATTATTCAATATACGCAAAATAAAGTCCAAACTCTCATGATATTCATGCATTCATTTAGGGAAAGGGGTACAGTTAAAGTGGATGTGAACATTCAACAATGAATTTTAGTCACAATTACAAACTTCTTATATTAGCAACTAGAATTAGGTGATCCCGTGAAATCAGTCCCACATAACATGATATATTGCATACTCATGTTGTGCTTTTGTTCATTAAAAGTGGGAAATCATTGCATAATAACAAATGAATAATGTTCATTCTCGTTGTCGCTATGTTATGACCACACTATACTTTCGTGTTTTAGTGTGTTATCGTAAAAACATCTATTGATGATAACATTATTATGAATAGATCAGCAAATAGCTCAATTATTAAATGAATTTTTTGTTAATGTTGGCACAAATATTAATACAAATGTGCACTGTTGGTCATATAGGTGGAATAATTATTTTTACCCTTATTTAGGAAATGATTTTGACAATGATTTATTCCTAATAGATCTAAATAAAAGTATACATTCTCAGATTTTATTGAATAATTGTTTGCGAGTGTTCGTTGTGCGTGACTGCTAAAACATGTGTGTGCTACTATGCTAATCAACTAGGGGACCTACGTCATTAAGTCATAACTGACAGTAATGAGGATTAATGCCTCACAAAAGGACACGGTTTTTATCCTGGGGCCTCACAGTAACAAGGCCGTTGCTTAGGCAATGAATCATGACTGTACGCAGCGGGGTCTAGGGGACGGGGCCTCCCCCACAAATACAAAAAAAAAACAACTAAGAAAATGCAATTAATAATCATTAATTCATTGCATTTTTCCCCGGTACCCAACAGGAAAAATTCCTCTGTGGGGCCATGCATTATGGTTCAAGGCGTGGCCACACAGAACTTAACTACATGTATTTAATTTATTCCTGGAGACCAGACCTAGATAGGTCAATGGCCTTTGATGGCTCCACCACAGTCTCAAGTATACATTATAGGTGCTTTAAATTCTTCTAATATTGTTATGCTATTTTCTTGTTTTATTGTGTTAATAACATATTGTATGTAAATTGTTATATGTTTTTTTTAATGAGAAGTGGAGATAAATGAAATGAAATGCACGAATACAATAATGATTACGCCAAAGAGTGATTTCTCACCTAAATCTGCAATATTCAGTGCGAAGGATATGCTTGTAACGCTATGTTACATCGACTTAAAATATATGCACTGTCTTCTGCTGTGATTAAAAAACAAACAACACAAAGTTTTAAAAAAATAGAAAATCTCTGAGGCACCCCTCCCCCTCTTTTATAAATCAAACCAAACCCGACGCCCGCTCTACGCCCAAGGTGTTTCCTCAGCATCAATTATTATCCATGACTGTTAAATCCACAAAAATAGCGGCGGTGGGAAGGGGTGGGCGGGGAGGGGACAGCTATGAAGGAGGAAAGGAGAAAATGAGAGAAAGGGCCATTTTAACTTGACTAGTTTTGTTATCATATCTAGCGTAGGGTTTTAAACATTTAAGTTCTAGATTGGAGACTTTGTATCTGGTCTGATAGACAGATATTCCATTCTATTCGGTCGGTGTCTATGTCGTGGGTTCATCTCTGTAGCTGGTTAAAGAGACCTCGCCGTTGCCGGGAGGCTCAAAGATCGCAAAGTCACCATTCGGTCCATTTCCAGTATAGGCCTGGTTTATATTAGTGAGGGATGATAAAGAGGAGAAACAGAGCAACAGTTGAGGTGGAGTGGATGAGAGGAGGAGGAGGAGGAGGAGAGAGAGAGAGAGAGAGAGAGAGAGAATGGGGGGAGAGAGGGGAAAGAGAGCGAAAGAAAGAGAAAGATGGTGAAAAGAACGAACATTTTATTTTAGTAAACCATCTTATTAAAGCAATATCATCATTATGAAAAATGGGGGACTTGAATTTTGAGAAAATCTAGCACTAATCATACATAGTGGTTGTTTTCACAAACCCTCTTATTAAAACAAATTTACTTCTAAACATTAATTTTTCTCAGGAAATCTGATAGTCACTTTGGTCAGACAGGCCTCGTGTTCCTTGTCTAAAATTTGTATTCATGAGGAAGTAAACAGTGACACCTTCTTATCACTACTTAGCAGTGGCGTATCCGGACCTTGACTTCTGAATGGGAAGTAGTTGGTCCGCGTATTTCTGCAAGGTAATTTGGATCCTTGTTCATCCCGTTGTTCTTAGGTAATTGGAGTGAATGGTGTTACAGAATGTATTTTTAAAACCTAGATGGGGTGGGGGAGAAGAGAACTAGGACGTCGATAAGTGGGCATGTTCTTTCCCCTATCTCTCCTTTCAAATTAGTAGCAGATTCAGGGGGGAAACGGGATGACAGAATGATGTCCCTTTAATAATCCAATCTTTATTTCATGCATTCCTTTCGAAGATGAAAAATGTGGACCTAATGTGACCCCTTTTAAAATTATAGGGCCGAATTCACAAAGGGGTTTGACGACAAACCTAGGTTATGTGAGTCATATGACGCGTTTCGACACGTTTCAGACCAAGGTACAGACGAACCTTAGTCTGATACGCGTCAAATTCGGGCCATTTTGTTCTCGTATAATACTTATACAACATCCTTTTTTCTGCTGTTGCTGATAACATTTTAATTCTTAGAGTAAATTAGCCGCTAGAAACCTCTTCCTGTAGTCTCCCCCCCCCCCCCCCCCCCCCCCATTAAACAAAATCTTTCTCTTAACTGAGCCCCTTAGAAATAGATAATCGTGGGTCCACTCCTGCTTTAAATACACCAGTGAGTTCGCAGAGTCTTTGACATACGTACCCTGATGCGATAGTTATAACCAGCGACGACCTGGGAAGAACCACTCAAGGGTTCCAGGGCTGTGAAGGTCCTCTTTGCTATAACCTGAGCTGCCTCTCGTACCTATACATGTGAAGAGTAGCAAAAGGATTGACAGAAGGCAACTTTTATGAGGGAAATTCAAAGTTGGGGGGGGGGGGGCGGGGCAGGGGCAATTGCTAGATCATTATCTTACATAAAGAGAATCACCGAGTAGCGTCCAGCCAGGGAGTTGGGATTGGATCCGAACTCCCTGTTCTAGCGTTTGTTAAGCTGCTAAAGTGAAAACTCCGCTAAAGTGTAACCTGCCGCCTAAGTTTTTGAAAAAGAAGTTCACTTCAGCGAACGGGCTCGCGGCCGTAGCGGTCGTGATGCCGGCGCGCGTTCGTTGTTCGTGTATACGTCTGGAGCTATCTAGCTGAGCTGAGGCCAGGCGCACGCGTGATGAGATCTAGAGACTGACCGTCATGCGTTACCACACTATGGGCGCGTTTATGCTTGATTTTGACGGCCAGAATCAGGCATCTGTTACGCGTTTAGTTTAAAACACGGTTGCGTCTTAAGCTCACTTTTGTAGAATCACCGAAAAACGGCGATCACGATCGCCGATCGTAAACTCACAAAAAGATGCGTTTACAATTTGTAAACGCGTTTAAATGGGGTCAACGCACTGACCTCTAGTGGGTCTACGTAGCATGTACAGTGAAGGTTTGCGAATCCAGCTGGAAGACCAATTAAGGCCACACACTGAGAATTGCCTGGGGGAGCCAGAGAAGTAAGCATGAACAGTGCATCGTGGAACTGCGATCACGATGAGCGTTTACGATGAGCGTTTCAGATCGCTCATTCTGCCTTCAAAATTTAAGCATGAACGCAGCCTATGTCCAGCATCTACCTCCCAGTTACTCATCTGCTCATCCAGTTATAAATAGTCTTTCTACATGTTATGGAAATAGTATTAATACCCTTTTTCAATATGAAATCTAACATATTGTTATTTTGGTTATTTGTTGTTGCGAGATGCGGATGAGCGCTACGTCATTGACGTTCTGGTTGAATTCTCCCAACCGTTTTTTTTCCCCATGAAAATAAGACATACAGTAAGACAGGCTGTGTTTAAATCTTTCAACAATTAAATGTCTTGAATGGTATATAGAGCCAATTCATTGCTTTTTGATGATTAACAATCACCTTAATTTTAATTAAATTGTAATAATATAGTTGGGAGAATTAAGGAGTCGATCAGATCAGTTTTTTCCAATTGTTATTATCAATATTGGTCTGTTTTCACTTAAACTTGGATACCCCTGTGGATGTATTATAAGCAACAAAAAAAATTGCCCCTAAAACACTTCAGCTTTAGAGAAAATGAATAATACAAAATTTACAGGTGCTCCCCTGTCCCCCCCCCCCTCCGCCCCCCTGTGGCACCGCCCATGGCAGCAGGTTACACTTTAACATCAGGTTACACTTTATAGCAGCAGGTTACACTTAAACAGCAGGTTACACTTTAGCAGCAGGTTACACTTTAGCAGCAGGTTACACTTTAGCAGCAGGTTACACTTTAGCAGCAGGTTACATTTTAGCAGCAGGTTACACTATAGCAGCAGGTTACACTTTAGCAGCAGGTTACACTTTCGCAGCAAGTTACACTTTAGCAGCAGGTTATATTTTAGCAGCAGGTTACCCTTTAGCAGCAGGTTACACTTAAGCGCCAGGTTATTTTGTTGGGGGGGGGGGGGGAGGCGAATGGACGTGCAATGAAGGAAGGGGGTGTCTGAGAGGGATGTACCCCCTCAGAGTTTAAGTTTTTTTCAATTGATGCATAAATTGCTCGATTTGGTGCATAATTTTTGCCAAATTAAAAGAGAAAACAGTCGTAAGTTCAATTAACAGGAACAAGAACGCAAGGGGAGGGGGTGTTTGAGGGGGGATGTGCCCCTTCAGATGTGATTTTTTTTTTAATTGATGCATAAATGGCTTGCTTCGGTGCATACTTTTTTTCTTCCATTAATGTGTAGGACTCCCAACACTTTAGAGGGGCTTTAACTTATCATTTAGTTGTTTTTTCAAAATTGTTTCGACGTTTTAAAACTCTTTTCTCACCCTTTAAATAAAAATAAAAATAATGAAAATCAAAATATCTTTATCAGCCATAAAGATTTTGAGGGAGATAGGGTAGGCCTACGTAAGGAAATCTTGCACGAGATGGCCATCTCGCATATCATCATTATCATTATCATCATCACCACCACCGCTCTACGGCATAAAAAGTGGCCTATATGTACCAATAGATAACAAATTGAAGATAAAGCTTCTCTAAAGTGTTGGAACCCCCAAATTGGCCAACCATGTATTGTAATATTTGTTTAATGATGTGAAAGTGGATGTCATTTAAAATGCACAGCTCTGCAAGGATTTTCAAAATAAATGTGTTTGAAGAGGAACATTGATGAAAGAAAGCAGAGTTTAAATGTTTCTGTTGAACACATACTTCAACAAATTAAATAATAATAATAATAATAATAATATGTCTTCTTTACCCAGGGTAGCCTGGTCCAGTGGCGGATCCAGGTGGGGGCCGGACCGCCGGGGGCCCGGCCCCCCTGGCAAATAAAAAAGAAGGACAACAAAGGGGAAAGATTTTTTTTTTTGTGTGTGTGTGTGCTAAAGAAAGCAGCAACAACAATGTTCCTTCCCCCCTGCTAAGCCACTGAACAAAATATCTGACGACGTAATTTTCTAATTTCCAGGGCCAATTTTTTGTGTGTTAATTGCTCATCTGACCGTAATGTATTGCCCCAAACCCCTGAGCTTCCGGGGGCTTCGCACCCTGGACCCCACGTCAATTTGTGTCCTGCCAGAGTCACAAATAAGGTATCAAAATATGCTCATCTGACAGTAATTCAATGCCTATACCCCCTAAACTTCTGAAGGCTCCACCCCTCGACCCCCGCCGAGAAATGTTCAGCGGGACCTGCATATAAGAGTGGGGGTGATGGGGATTTTTTTTCGTCTACCCCCCCCCCCCCCAAAAAAAAAAAAAAAAAAAAACGTTTTTGCCATTGCCGGTGTCAACTTTACGTACCAATATTTGGCTCGCATAATTTCAAATTTGCCCCCCCCCCCACCCCACCTCCCCGAAAAAACCTGGATCCGCGCCTGGCCTCATCAGTACTGTTCTCCCTGAGGGCCCTGCAATCATATAATTACCCGGGTCAATGGATTCAGGCTTACCCGCACACAATGTATGCACATTCTTCACTCCCTTGGGAGCATTCCAGCCAGGCGTCATATTTTTTTTCAAGCGCACACTTGCTAATCTAAGTACATTAGCTTTCGCATCTTTCCGGGTACCCATTAATTAACACCTGGGTGGAGAGTGGCAAATGTAGATCAATGTTTTGCCATGAAATTTGTGGGGCTCCCGAAACTTTAAAGGGGCCTTAAACACCTGACATTTTCACAGACATTATTCTTTCACCGTGAAACAATCATGTGGCCATGTGGTTCGTTACGCTGACCAATACGGTCATCGTATCAAATTGAGCTTTCACTTATGTTTCTGAATGTATGTAATGAACGCACTATAAACACAGCCCCTCTAAAGCGTTGGGAGCCCAAAATTGTCTTAATATTTTATAGCAAAATTTCAGTTAAATTATATAATGATGTGAAAGAGGATGTCATTTAACACACTTCTGCAATGATTTATAAAACAAATATGTTTGAAGACGAATTTGACGAAGGAGTGCCCAATAATTTATTTAGGTTTGTGTTGTACGCAGAAAACCCTAATGTTGTACTTTCATCACTATATTCGTCTTCATAAACATGTTTTGAAAATCCATGCAGAAGTGTGTCTTAAGTGTGTCCATCAGCCTGGTGTCTATCCAATTGTTTGGCTTTCCAACAATGTAGAAAGGCTCTAATGCTCGGCTATAGCAAAACAGCAATTAATAGATAGAAAGAAAAAGGAAGAAGAAGATGAGAGAGACACAGAGAGAAAACAGAAAGGGCGGGGGAAGGAGGATAACGAGAGAGAGAGAGAGAGAGACAGAGAATGAGATGAAAAGAGAGAGAGAGAGACAGAGAGAGAGAATGAGATGAGAAAGAGAGTGAGAGAGAGAGAGAGGGGGTTATAGAAGTGAGATATATTAAGAAAGAGAGGAAGAGAGAGAGAAAGAGAAAGAAAGCAGAGATAAAGGAAATAGAATATAACTAAATAAATTTAAAAATCGTGACAAAATATGATATTTGTCGCATATTTTCATCACGAATTTCACTTCAAAGTTTGTGATTCGCGATGTCCCTTCAGAGCCACTATTATGGTTCGTTTGTGTTTCCCAACAAATTACGGTTAGCGTGTGCTCCTCAATAACGGTTCCACTGTGTATCAGCGTGTATATAACGTATCCGCTGAAGTGAACCTTTTTTCAGTTTCTTAGGCGTTAGGTTACACTATAGCGTGAGGTTACACTTTAGCAGCTTCACAAGCGTTGCATAGGTTGGGGTACGAAGGAATATCGCTTGGAGCCCCGTGTGCAATCTCAGGAGATTTATATCAGATTTAAGCTGATGTTTTATGGTCAAGTTATCGTTCAAAATCGATGTATACATGTAAATGTTTGGTTAATCAAAATAATGGAATCTAGTTTATTCAACCGCTATTTTGGAGTTTTGAAGAAAAAAATGATGGGATTTTCTTGTTGTTGATGTTATTATTTGTTAATATTATCGTTGTTTTGTTCTGTTTTGTTTTGTGTTTTCTATTTTGTTTATTGTTTTCATTTTATTTCATCTCAATTCGTTTTTTATCATGTCTATAATTATGTAGCTTATAATCATATTGTAGCTCTTTTGTTAACGTTTGATCTCCCTTTATCAGAAATACAAAATATGTATTAAATACCCAGCTAAACCATAAGTGTGAACTAACTCCGTGGATAAAAACAACCCCTTTTTCAAATATAGATTTATAATACAACATTTTTACGGATCCTATGTTCTGGAATGACATCTGGGTAATCACATTTCTTTCATTTCCCCACAAAGTCTTAATTCTCAGTATAAGGTAATAATTAAATTGGCAATATCCTGAATGTCTGGACAAAAACCTGTAATGTATACCAATGATGTTATGTAAGATATCCTTATATCTAATAACAAACAATCCATGCGCAACAAGATAGGTTTATATTATTTCTTGATAGAAGGAGGCACAACAAAATATTGTTTTTCACTGTACCTTAATTCTTTGTCAAATATAATGTATCAGTCATATTGTACATTTACTACCACTGCATGTTCTACTACTACTACTACTACTACTACTACTACTACTGCTACTACTACTACGAAGAAAAAGAAGAAGAAGAAGAAGAAGAATAAGAAGAAGAAGAGGAGGAAGAAGAAGAAGAAGAAGAAGAAGAAGAAGAAGAAGAAGAAGAAGAAGAAGAAGAAGAAGAAGAAGAAGATGAAGATGAAGAAGAAGAAGAAGAAGATGAAGAAGAAGAAGAAAAAGAAGAGAAGAAGAAGGAGAAGAAGAAGAAGAAGAAGGAGAAGAAGAAGAAGAAGAAGAAGATGAAGAAGAAGAAGGAGGAGGAGAAGAAGAAGAACGTGAAGAAGAAAAAGAAGAAGAAAAAGAAGAAGAAGAAGAAGAAGAAGAAGAAGAAGAAGACATAGAAGAAGAATGTGAAGAAGAATTAGGGAAAGGATATGAATCAATTCAGCGTGATTATATTCTCTTTGATCGAGGCATACACATGCACATTACATACTCCTTGGTAAGGAGGAAGTAATCAAGGGAAAAGGAAGGCAATGAATAAAAGAGAAAGAGAAAGAGAGAGGAAGGTCCGGGTTCAAATACAGTTTTCTTTAAACTATTAAACCCGGTACTGATAGTCATTCATCTGCTATGTGACAAAAATAGTACAACGGTGTCGCTTATTGTCGTCAAATTGTTGAAATAGCATTGTAGAGACGATGAACAGATAAGAATAATAATACAAATTCGTTGATCATGAGAATGTTCACTTCTATCTCTGACCGCCGAATAATCCGAACAATAGAATCAACCGGATGAAATCAACTGTTAAACGAATTTATCATGAGTCCTGAAATATCAATTTGCTACTCAGTGCTTGTCCATGTAGTATTAAAGAGCAGCAATGGCGAACGTTTGTTGCTAAAATTCAGCAATCATTGCTTAGATTGCTTTTCCCTAAAAACTTACCATGAGATAGATAGAACTAATGATCGACATAAATGTTATTGTCTTAAAGAGAAGGTTGAGTTCTGGGAAGAGGTGAAAAATAATTTGTGAGCGCTACTCATTCTTATTATGCAAGTGTGGAAGAACATCAGATAAGACATGTTCCCTGAAAAGCATGGCTCTTCAAATGCCTTCATATTCCAAATATGTATGTAACATCGTAAAAATCGGGGGCCGGCTTTTTACGCCACGTTCGTGTAGTCCCATATACATCTTTCTGTGTACAGTGTTTGTAACTTTACCAAGACTTGGCCAAATTTCTTATCATTTTGATGATTCCAGAACCTTGCAATACACACAAATTCTTATATGCTAGATGATCAACCTTTTCTGGTCGGTTCCACACCGTTTCTTTCACAATGCAATCGCATGACCAGAACTCAACTTCATCTTTAAAAACAGTCAGGAAGTATTAGGACTTAAATAAATAAGACATAAGGCGATCATGTAAACAAGTGTATTTTTTTCATGTTAGTCCTCCAATACCAAATAACCAAGCAAAACTTTTGGTATAATTTTGTGCAATCTAATAATTCACCATGCATGACATAACAAGCTTTCATATGTTTTAATGTTTAGTGGATTGACCTTCGGTAGGTCAATAAATTTGGCCTTTGTTAGCCCCCCAACCCCTAATAACATCTTGATTTGTATTGCTTCTTGTATCTATGTTCTAGTTTATGTTTACTGTTTGTGATCTTACTAAAATTGTGGAAGTAACTGAACTGAACTGAACTGAAAACTATATTTATTGAACATGCCCCCAACCGCTCTGGGGAAATCAACTCAAAATACCTTATTGCATATCCCACAGAAATCATGTTCGGATTAATTTAGCCGTCAATCCCCCTGTCCACACACAACATTTTCCGTGATTAGTCATGATTAGCTATACCGTTTCGCGATAGTGATACTGTTTCGCGATAGTTTTACGACCAAAATTGTAGGTGTGGACGCTCACTAACGATACGTCGTATGGTTTGGGCATCGTTTCGAACTGAAACTCGATAAAGAATCACGCCTAATCACGGACATTTTGTGTGTGGACGGAACTAGTCTAACTGGGCGGGGCTTAACGTGACCTCGAGCGAAAGGAGATATGAGCTCTCATTTCTGCTTCCAGCTGACCGCTGCGCAGCCAGCTTATTATACATAAATATACTGCATGCATTGTTCCAGTGGCACAGTCAATGCAAATACTAGTACTATAGTGGTGCTGCACATGTGTTTCTGTTTCGGTTTCGACTGCGCAGTAAGGCTTTTGAAATTGCCTTAAAAGTTAATTTTTCGAAAGTCTTTGCGATCTAGTTATTACTTACTCTATTTAGCATGACGTTATATATGTTTACAAGAATTATTTAAAGAAAAGTCGGGAAAAAGCAAACTTGATTCCCACAAGAGATCGACCATGGCGCTCATTGTCAACTTCCGAGTAACTGCAATTCTACTTACCTGATCAAGAAGCCCTTGAAGGTTCTTCACTTCTCCATCTGGAACCTTGGTCCAACCACCACACATTGGTGTCATTTGTTCGGGTATTTTTTCTTGTTCTTGAGACATGATGATGTAGATTCGAAGCTCTCAGCAGACAGATAGATCAAGAAATCAATGTTTTCCAGTCAGTGCCGCTTTTGCGTGTGAAACAGTAAATCGAAACTAAGATCAAGTTGGTGCATTCTATAATCACATTTTTCCTGGGTAGCGAACCGATCATGCATGTCTATTGGCCTATTGTGATATCGGCTACATACGCTCAAAGAGAAGTGTATTGAGAAGCCATTGCAACTTTTTCAATAATTGGGGATGGATAGGGGAGACAACATGCTGCGATTTAACGCAAAACATACCCCCCCCCCCCTCCCCCCATTTCATATCACCTTAATACAAATTGGAATCGATGTTGTATGCTTGCATTTATATGTCAATACATTGAAATCGACTATAATATGTTGTGAATTTGATCAGGGGCGGATCCAGCTGGCGGCATGCAGGGAAGGGGGCCAAAGAGGAGGCCCAATTTAGCGGAGAAACAGACAGCCGGTGAATAAGCGGGGGGGGGGGGGGGGGGGGGGGGTAAGGTAAGGAGCACCAATATGTTTGTTTTGCCCTCGAAAATTTGAAAATCGCAACCCCCCCCCCCCCCCCCACCTTGAGCACCAGAGGAGGGGGCCCCGTCTCCAAAATAAAGGTAAAATTAACGTGTTTTACCTGTTTTTTCCCCAGGGGAGAGGGCCCGGGGCCCCCTGGATCCGCCACTGAATTTGACTATAATATCCCCACAATCTAAAACCAGAAGTTGCAACTAAGGGGAATTAAGGAGCTCATGCCCCAATTTCGACTTTAGTGATTGCAAAATGGATGCCAATAAATTATCGTATTGCATTCAGGAAATCAACTATGATCTATAAGTCCCTGAACAATCTAACCCCAACATACATGGCAGGCTTATTTCAATATGTTCATGAAACACATAGAAGAAACACAAGACGTGCATCCTTTTGCAAATTGTACCTCCCCCCGGCAGCCACCTCAACATTATTCTTGTTCAACATTCAACGTATTGGCAAGTCTAGTTTTAAAACCATGTCTGTAAAAAAATACATTTCCACTTCATTGCACAGGTACCGGAGCTTTTACATGAATACAGTTGTACATAATACATGCTAAAATGCTCTAGTGTCAATGGATTGCTATTTCAATGAATTCATTATATTCAAGCTATTCACATCATAATCAAAATTCCCTACAGCAATACGTGCAGCTCTTTTCTGTAGTCTTAAAAGAATATTTTTGTTTTGTAAAGAACGGTTCCCCCATACGGAACAAGAATAATCTAAGATGGAAGAGCTTTAAAAACTTCCAAAGCTTTATTAAAAAATTTTAATATTTTTTTTATAACTTTACGATTAGCTAAGAGATTTAGCCAGGGTAATAATCGGGAGCGCCAAGAGGGTTAAATCTGACTGACATGAGCGCTATACAAGAACCCATTATTATTATCAGTGTGGATATCCCAAAATAATCTATCATCAATTTCAATCCCTAAATATCTCATACTTCTTACTTGTTCTATTATTTCATTATTAATATGCACCTTCAGACTAAATTTATTGCTATCTCTACGTGTTACTACTCAGCAGCATAACATTACTCTTATTAGTATTAATACGTAATCCATTTTTACAGTACCATTCATTTATAACATATAAATCTGCTTGGAGCTTAGATGTAATGATATTAATATCCATATCAGAAACATATATGACAACATCATCAGCGTATGTAAACATAAAACAATCAGTTATATCATTTATAAAAACAAGAAAGAGGGAGGGGCCAAAAATACTCCCCTGAGGAATTCCTATAATAATTTCTTTTGTTTTAGATAGTTTACCATGATAATAAACTGCTTGTTTCATATTAGATTTTAAAAAACTAGAAAACCAAGTTCAGTATTCAAATTACCATACTGTTTCAATTTGGATAACAAAAGTTCATGGTCAATACAATCAAAACCTTTTGAAATATCAACAAAACATGCACCAACTTTTTCCTTTCATTAATAGATTCATACCAATCATCAATGACCCTATGTATCAAGTATCAAGTATCAAGTTTATTTTGTCTTCCAGAAAACACATGTGACAAAATATAATAGAGTATAATCTTAACAGTACAATGTAGAATAGAGAAAGACGAGGAGACCTTGGTTGAAGCACAGCTTGTTAAGTTAAGGCCCCCTCATATGATGTGACAAAGATAACTGATTCATGAATACAACAACAAATATGGAATATATAAAACTATTTACAAAATACTCTATATACTCTATATACTCTATATGTATGACGGAATTCCTGAGATTTCGATATTCAGTAAAAAGATATGGCAATTTTAGTGTATCATACTTTCTCTTTAAAAAAATGAGTGTGATAATATAGGATTTCCCGGCCAAATTCGCGAGTTTGTCATTCAAATTAATTTGTCTTGCGTTCAAATTCGACGGCTTTAGTGCAGTCAGGTTTATCTCGGGTTTATATTCCCTTTTCTAGTTTTCAAATCTATGGAATTTTCGTTAGAATCTACGTATGTTTCATTCAAATTAATGAACAATGTGCTTCTTTCGCTATTTGGTCATTCGATTTGGCGCAACACGATTTTCTGACAACGCGACGGTGTACTTTTAGCATTCTAATTCATTTGTAGCATTCAAATTAGCACTTTGTGCACCTAAATTGATGGTCAATATACATTTCTCGTTTATTATACACTTTTTATAGCTCATTCTTTTTCTTTCAAGATTGTTTTTCATGTGTATTTCATCATATTTCATTTTTCTTGCATTTATACACTTATACTTAATATATTTATCTGATATTCATCAGCATTTAAGTTTGATTGTTAAGAAGAAAAAAACGACTTGCATCTACGGACCTGATGGTCTCAGTATATTTGTAAATGTTCATGTAAGGAAGTTGTTTGTCTTATGTTTCATCATAAATTTATCATAATTTCATCATAATTTCATTATGGAAAAAGGGTACAATATTGTGACTGGGGTAGGGACTAGAGTCAACAATTTGAACATGATTCATTATTTAGCCATGTCTTTAGCCATCGATCTGCTGGCGGGCAAGTAAACTATGAAACTCTTTAAGAAAAACAGAGGGATGTGCTGGGTATAAGAGACGATGTGAATTACTTTTGTAAAATTCCGAGTCTGTAGTAAAAAGGGGGATTAAGGGTACCCCCACCTTTCCCGGGTATATGAACATGTCCGTGCAAAAATGCCATATCCCTTGATTTCGCCCCTTCTTAACTTTATGTCTGACTACACCCATCTGCATTGTCCTGAAAATAAATAAACGGAATAACAGCTTAGACCCCAATGGCAAATCATGCATTTTAACTGCATTATTTAAAAACTGTAAAAGTTTGTTGCAATTATTCCCCTAACATTCCTAACTTGAATAAAAATATTACGAATACGAATGACAGGTGTTAATTTGAATGATAAAAATTACGCTTCGACAAGTGAATATTAATTTGAATGCTAGTTGAGCAGTTTCTAAATTGAATGACAGATCTATGAAACCCTTCGACCAAAATCCTAAATTAAATACAAAAACTGGAAAATTGAATGATAATCAGGATCAATATGGTTTCAGGAAATACCACTCAACCGATTTAGCCCTTGCACAATTATATGATAAGGTTTCGAATGCTTTGGCGTCTCGAAAGCATGTTATTGGTGTATTCATGGACTTAAGCAAAGCATTTGACACTCTTGATCACAAGGTACTATCAAGCAAACTTCATTATTACGGAGTAAGAGGAGTTGCTCTTGACTGGTTTAATGATTATTTGTCAGGTAGAAAGCAATATGTAAGCTACGAATCTGTAGATTCATCATTATTGCCTATGAAATGTGGTGTCCCACAAGGATCGATACTCGGTCCTTTATTGTTTCTACTGTATGTTAATGATATCTCGAACTCAACTACATCATTACAATATATTATATTTGCTGATGATACTAATGTGTTTTGCTCCAATTCCGATTTTCGATCACTTCAGAGAATTCTGAACACCGAGCTACCTAAGCTGTCTTTGTGGTTTAGGAGCAACAAATTGTCTCTGAATCTGAAAAAAGCTAATTATATTCATTTTCAAAGCAGGAAAAATGCAACTGATAAACCTATACCTGAAATAGTCTTGGATGGTGAATATTTGGAGAAAAAACAAAATACTAAATTTCTTGGAACTATCATCAATGAAAATCTGAAATGGAGTGATCATGTACATTACGTTTCAAAGAGAGTGTCACGCACTGTTGGTTTACTGTATAAGTTAAAACATTATGTGCCTTTGAATATTCTATATATGCTATACAATTCCTTGATTCTTCCTTACATGTCTTATTGCAATATACTGTGGGCAGACTCAAAAGTATATACTGATAAAATGCTACTTTTACAAAAGAAAGCGATTCGTGTGTGTACCAATGCTGGATATCGCGATCACACTGATCCCCTATTCGCGAGGTTAAAAACTCTGAAAGTAACTGATATTAACTTTTTACAAAAAGCACTGTTCATGTTCCGTCTACATAATGATTCCCTACCTTCCCACTTCCCACCAATGTTTTGTTTGAATAGAAATATTCATACATACCCAACCAGACAATCAAATAAATACCATTTATGTAATCCTAAAACAACAATGGCTATGAAATCTATAAGACATTCTGGTCCGGATATTTGGAACTCACTGTCCGTTGACATCCGTAACTTGAAGTCAGTATATACTTTCAAGAAAAGTGTGAAATCAATTTTATTGAGCAAATATTGACAAATCTCTTAAATTAACACATGATATCATATATGTTTGTCAGCATTTCCTTGATATAGCAGGAAAATCCCCCTCCCATGCACCCTCTATCCCATTTTTTTTTTTTTTTTTTGGTTGCAAGTCACTGTTTATTTTTTGTTATTTTCCCCCAATTATGTTCTGTAATTTACTTTACTTTACAATCGTTATGATTTTAAATGTTTCTGGGCTGCAAGTGTATCAAGCTGTCACGCTTAGGCTGTAGCCCTTCTGTATCATCACCTCTTCGAGCGTATGTATCTATGATTTACTGAATGTGGAAATGTAATTTAACTTATGTTTTATACTCATGTAAAGACATTGTCACATTATTGTTATAACCTATGATGATTCAGTAACCAATAAATATTTCAACTATATTTCAACTATAATTGGCATGGCAAAGCCGATCTGCGCTAACTTAAATGCAAAGTAAATGAATTCGAATGACAAACACGCGAATTTGGCTGGGAAATCCTATATTAGAATTCATCCATTGTCAGTGCCTAGTTTTAACCCGACATTCTTTTACAGGAGCATGTTTGTTACAACAAGTAAGAGTGCGTCACTGGTGATTGCAGTGTACAGGGCCATTGCCGCCATTAAGTTGACAATTAATTGTTGAGAAATAGCATAGGAGTGGTATAGTGCTTGATACAGTGGCGTACGCAGGATTTTTTCAAGGGGGGGGGGGGGTTTCAAATCGGGCCCAAAATTTCGCAACGACTCAGCCAGCCGCTGAATAAGGGGGGGGGGGGGGGGGGGGGGGGGGTAAGAGGAAACCTTTTTTTTTTTTTTTGGTCTCGAATTTTGAAAATTTGACATTTTGTCCAGTTGGGGGGGGGGGGGGGTAAGGGCACCTTTTTAAGGTCAACCATTGGCAATTTTTTTTTTTTTTTTTTTTATTAAAAAAAATTAAAAAAAAAAAAAAAAAATTAAAAAAGGGGGGGGGGGGGGTTTTTTTCCAAAATAACATACATAAAACATACACATAAAAAAAACTCGAGGGGGGGGGGGGGTTAACCCCAAAACCACCCCCCTGCGTACGCGCCTGGCTTGATATATATAAGAGGGCAATGTCCTCCCAAATCAGTTTTGCAAAATAAGAAATGAATTGAGAAATGAAGAAGGATGAAATGAGGAAAGTACTTCATCAGCCCCGCTAGAACGTTGAATATAATAAAACGGTCGATAAAAGAGAAAATGTAATAGTCCGAATGAACAACAACAACACCACAACTAATACCACCATCACTACAACTACTACCACCATTACCTCCACCACCGTCACACCGACTACACCACCATCACCCCACTATCACCATCACTACCACCATTGCCTCCACCACCATCACAACCACCACCACCATCACAACTACCACCATCATCACTACCACCGCAATCACCTCAACTACTACCACCATCGCACTACCACTACCACCACCGTCACCACCACCACTATCACCATCACCACTTAATGTTAATTACCACCGTTACCTCCACCACCATCACAATTACCACCACCATCACAACTACCACCACCATCACTACCACCACTATCACCTCAACTATTACCACCATCACAACTACCACCACCATCACAACTATCACCACCATCACTACCACCACCATCACCTCAACTATTACCACCATCACAACTACCACCACTGTCACAACTATCACCACCATCACTACCACCACCATCACCTCAACTATTACCACCATCACAACTACCACCACCATCACAACTATCACCACCATTACTACCACCACTATCACCTCAACTACTACCACCATCACAACTAATACACCACCATCACCACCACCACTATCACCATCACCATCACTACCACCAACATCCTTGCACAGCAATGACAAACAAGGTTGAATTTCGTGTTGTGTTCTGCGTACAGATTTATTTGAAGTCTGCCCTCTACGTTTAACATGGCACTGCAATTAGTATTTTTTTATAATTGTTATTCTTTTTTTCTTTTCTTTGAAATATCAAGGGAACATGGCAAATAAGGGCAAGCGGGAAGCACAAAATAAAGAGAGATATGTTTGAATACCAAACAGAAAATATATGAAATTAATCATTATCATAATTGCACTCATTATTTTCATAGAATCACAGTACTCGGTCGAGATGCATAGAATTGCATACTCATAAATATATAATTTATACATTATAAAAGGGCGTTACGGATTCTCCAAAGTGCTGAAAAAGTGGTATTGAGAATACTTACAAAAGTAAATTTTCAATGCATTTTCCACTTTGTGAGAGTGATAGACGTCGTTCTACCTCTAAGCTATCATCCCACTTACACTTGGCAATTGCTCGATGCAACTTCTTAACATGAAAAAAACAAATTGTTTTGTTTTTATCACAAATCAAAGTGCAATATTCAGGCACACTTTGCATTTTACATCGCACTGACAATCTGCACGCCACTAAACTGTATCATCTACACAATCTGTCCTTCCAATTTCCACAAAAGGAGGACATGCTATTATCGTCCGAAACGACATATAAAAAAAATCAAGTTATTCTTCTTTTAAACTCACATTCCTCATAATGCATGCAATGATTTCTATTTACAGCTTGCCTCTTATATATCATTTATTACAAAAGAAATCACAGGTATGAAAAGAAAAGACTGTGAGGAAGACTAGAGGGCAGTTCAGCTAACTAAATGACTTTTGACCTGTGGGAAAAATTAATTGCCATGTCCCAGTAAGGTTTCGGTTATTAGATGACCAGTGTTAAATCATAGATTAAATAATACACAGAAATACGCAATATATTCCACATTTAGAAAAGTTATTACATAATTAATCTTTATATGCATAGATATAAATAATACTCTTTATCAAAGACAAAATAATCACTAATCTATTACACTTAAGTAATATCTAGACAGAGATATCTATTACATCATACATTATAAAGTTTCAACAATTGAAGTAAATCAATCAATCGATTATCCATTAAAGAAATGAAAAACTGACAAACAATGACAGAACACAGTACAAACTGGTCATCTCTACCAAACTGCTACGGCAATCTATACCTAAATTCTTGCGAAGTGAGCGGTTTTCCATGTCATGTTTTCTCTACGTTTTATCTTTGTTTCTTCTCTGGAGTTGTCATGTTTGTCCGGCATTGAATCGTTTTTCATTCCAAAAACTTTCAAATTCTTGGTTCTTTAATAAAGTTTTTTCTAGTTTTTTTTTTCCTTTGTTCAAATTTATTCCTCCTTGACCGAGTCAATCAGGGCTTGAACATCGATCTCTTCAACAGCGCCCTCATCAGATGCGGAGATGCTCAGGCCGAAGGTGGTGGAGCATTCGCCATTCTCGTTGGCGGCGCGTGCAGTGTAGTTTCCAGAGTCGGTGGAGAGAGCGAGAGGGATACTGAGGAAGTAGCTAGCGTCTTCGGACCAGACCTTGAAGCGTCCGCCATCCTCGATTTGATTGCCATTGAAGATCCAAGAAACTAGAGGCAAATTGGAGAGGAAGATTTTAGAATTTAGGCAACCATTTGAACAACATAGCCTCAATAAAACATGGATGAAGCATATATCCCACAAATAAAGGAAAGAGGTAAATGGGTATAAAAAATAGAACATTTGAAAGGGCTCTCTTGCATCAAGAGTTCATTTTAAAGTAACTTGATTTTCAAACAACAGGATTACAAAGGACTTGCATTTACACTTTCAAGATGTGCTTTGATACAAAGCGTTATGTAAACAGCCACAGCAGAGGCAAACTGGGAAACATTGAGAGAGAAAGAGAGATTTACAGATGGATAAATTTTGAATGAAATGAAATTTAGTTCCAAACGGGGTCACAACATCACCTGGCTTAAAAATGTGAAAGACATGTTGTCTTTGGAAAAATATCCTTGTTAAAAGAAGGTTCTATCTACATATGGCCAATGGCTTTTCATTGTAACCTAATTTTTGTTGGGAAAAACCTCAGATAAACACTGAAAATGGGTGGAGTCTCTACTGAGAAACCTCTTTCACTATGGAAACAAACTTACCGGTATCAGCAGGGCTCTCTAGCTGGAGGCAGAAGTCTGCAGCCCCACCCTCATCAACGGTTTGAGATTCAGGTCTCTGGAGTACTACAGGGCCTTGGTAGCCTGCGCCTAACAGATGGAAAGACAAAAAGCGATTTAGAGACATGCATTACATACAGAGAGAAACGTTACTGCTAAACGTTACTGTACCATAGAGCACATTTTGCCCCATCAATTGCAAGTACTAGTATGGCTGTACATTGTATCTTGAATCACTTCAGGGCATGCTTTATCCTGGACTTGCAAGTTGATGTCCAATTCTTTTCATGAGCCACTTAAGAATGAGAGAAGAAAAAAACGTTCTTACATAAGGGATATTTCAAACTTTATCATTTGTATGATAATATCAAGGATAGCAGAAGACATGCCAAATTTGGAAAGCAAAATACATTTAGCAATGTCAAGAATATAACTATTCTCAACTGTGATTGAAACTTTTGAAATCTAACATATCTATTCCTCTTGAAGTATATGCACAAAATATCACAGAATGTAAACGATATCGGTTCTCAAGGTATAGCAGTGCCAACATTGAGAAATTAAAATAAAGGAGACAAAAATTTCACATGAGCTGAATGCAGCTACAATAATTGAGCTGAACAACCTACCTGCTGAGCCGTCTTCGATGTCCATGGTGCTTGCAGACTGTGCAGCGTCACCGCTCATCCTGACCTGTGCGTCAGGGTCGTTCATGTCAAGCTCCATCTCAGCTTGCATCTCACCCTGTGCTACAGAGATCTCTCCTGTGGTCTGGGCGGGTTCTGTAGTCATGGCAACCATAAATGGAAGAAGAAAAGAATGAAATTATTTTCCCGCAGTGGCATAGCTAAAGGAGGAGGACTAGTACCAAAACAGAATAGCAGAAAAAAACATCATTAACAGGACTGACATGGAAAAACAGAGATGTTGGGAAATGGCAACATAAAAAGAGGATGATATGACCCCCTCCAATCCTCTCTTCACTCTGTGGCATTATCTCCAGCATTTGATCATCTGATGTTTCTGGTGTCAAGGCAATTAACTATCTCCTTGCTGCACTGTTTCTCTGTTTGTTAAAAATTTCTTAAACAAATTTCATCCAAAGTCATCCTTTGCTACCAGAACATCATCTTTCATGTACAGTTAAACCTGCTTCAGTGACCACCTGTCTACAAGACCACCTGTCTACAAGGACCACATTTTGTGTTTCCCTTGAAAATGGTTTCTCATTGAATCATGTACTAAAGAAACCTGTCTACAAAGACCACCTGTCTACAACAAGCACATTTTTCGTTTCTCTTGGGCGGTCACTGTAGACAGGTTTGACTTTACCATATCAATTCAAATAATTAACTAACAAGCATTGGGAGCACTCAGGAGCTAACTAGAAGCAGAAATATCTCTGGTGGTGAAATAGATCGACTGCCGGGCTGTACTCATTAACTCAGAGATGGAGAGAACATCAGAATTATACCAACTCACCGTCTCCTTCCTGTACTGTTTCTCTGTGTGCTGACATGCTGCTGTAGCCTGCCTCGACCTCTCCTGTTGCCTCACCATCGATGACCTCTGACCTTTCTGACCTGCGAGATTCTGACCTCTGCTCAGACACCTCCTCTCTTGATTCACCTTCTGTCGAAAGATCAATCAATAAAGGAATTTTATTTATTTATTTTATTTATTTCTATTCTTTTGACAGGGTAGCCCATTCACCAACAAGTAGTGGTCTTCCATGGGGCCCTGATTTCATATCATTATGCATTAACCTACCATGCCAAAGATTTCTTGAGCTGATGTCTATATTGAATGTATGTTAAACCAAACTCAAATTGTATTCAGTGGGTGACAACTTGTACAAGCAAGTTTGTTCAACATTTAAAAAAATTCTTCAAATGCTTGATCCTTAAAAAGTTGTCTCATGAAATCTTACAAATAATACTTGCTTGTAAATGTGGTGGTATTGTAAAGGTTAAATGAAAACAGAAACAGGTCAAAAAGTACCAAAGGCACTGCTTTTGTTTTTTTTGTCTTTGCTTAAAAATATTCAATTTCAATTTTAAATGCTTCTTACAGGATTGATCCACCTGCCATGAGGTTTAATCATTAAGAGTTACATTGGTTCATCTCTGAAAATAGATAAATTTCCCAATGGATTAAAATAATATTGAAACATTGTTGTTCATAGAGATGATGCCCTCTCCCTCTCTTTCATGAAATCGCGAAAAAATTGACAAAAAGGCATCCTCATTATGATAAAAAAGAAGATGGTCCTCATATCTGGTGCTGAAACGCTATACCAATATGTATAATTGAAATTGGGTTGGAGCATGACACATCTCAATTTTCCTGGATTAATCATGATACGAAGTGGTAATTACTTGTACTTGGATTCTGGGTTTCATAAGTCAAAAATATATCTTCATTCTGTGGAAGCTTGCAGAGAGGGTAGGGTGGGAGAGAATACATTTAATGGAACAGAACAATTCACAAATTCTAGGTAGATGTCTTCTAGATTTGATTCCTTTTGGCACCCTAACAATTTGATGAGGTCTTGCTGACATAGCAACTACAACTATTGTATGGAACCTGAATGTGAAATATGAATATGGAATATGAAAAGAAGAATGCATGTGGCAATTTGTGGAAACTGTCTTCATTGGTACAGATATACAAGTGAAGTTAAAGATCTCTGCAAAGGGCAAACGTAAAACAAAATAACAAGTTTTCTATAGCTGTTCATAATCAAGAAAGTAACAATATAGACCTTTATGGAGGGAGAGGATGGGACAATATCACTGGCCATACACTACTAAGATGACCTGACATTTGTTCTGGTGTCAACTGCTTCAGGCTTTTATTTTTTCAAAGATATAATAATAATAATAATAATAATAATAATAATAATAATAATAATAATAATCTTTTAGTCCACTCCAAATTTTATTAAGTTAAACCGAAAATGGAAATTCTTTTTGCCCAATTGATCGTGAGCCTGGCAGCCACTGAGCAGCGCCAGATCGACGTTGCTCTATCCCTTATTGTTGAACGCCAAACAAGGCAGCAGCAACTCCCGTCTTTTAACGTCTTTTGTTATGACGCGGCCGGGGTTCGAACCCACAACCTCCCGGTCGTGAGGCGGACGCTGACTGAGCCAACACACCGGTATATAAGGTTGGTATTGGGTTTTAGGTTAGGTGTAGGGTCAGGTTTAAGTGCAGTGTTTGGTCCAGGGTTGAAGTTAGAAACGTAGGAAGTGTAGAACATTAACTGAAGAGAAAATGTTTCCAGAGGATAGGTCATAGAATTACAATTAAGGGTGGTTCTCTAAGGGGAATAAACAAGGGGAGAGTGTTAAGAAACAAATTAACAAAACATGGTATAGCGTTGTGGAGAGAAGGGTGGCAGACTTAATTTATGTGTTATGTAAATGTGTTAAAAATGTTTTAATCAATTAACTACAGATATGAAATATGCTTCACTTAAACACAGTATATAAAATATCTACAAAAGGAAAGGAACCATATAAGAGACAGAGAAATTCTACAAAAGAAGATAAAGTTCCACAATCAAATAAATACAGTACAGTATATATTACATATACACAACTCTTAGCAAAGATCTCCCAGCTTCCAGATTAGAAAAGATGTAGCCCTCATCCACTCCCAAGACATTTAACCAGTTGAATACTGAATTATCTAATTCCCATAGACTTAACACGGGGACCACCAGGTTCCAGTAAGCAATGGGTTAAGGCCTAAGAGATGTGTTCATACGAGTCTGATGCCACCTGTGTCCCCACAGAAACATGCATCATGCAAGTCACAGACATTTCATCAAAACTACAGAAAATACAATATACATAAGAAGTCTTACCAAACAACAACACCACCCCTCCCCGCCCCCTCAAAAGGAAAATGTAAGATAGTTAATGCTCTTCACTAACATCTCGTATCTAGTTTAATTCTTGGTTTTAAAATTCTGCTAATTCTAATTCTCATTTGGGTGTTTCCTTCTTGCAAAATATTAACTGAAAGTTTTGCATATGTATTTCCTGTCAAGGAAGTTTCTGTATACTCTGTATACATCATCATACTGTACATCAACAAACAAATGCTATACATAAAGGGCCCTTGCATACACAACACACTAAATATCACTCCGGGACAATTGTACAAGTGCTAGACAAGGGAGACACACATCTCTCCAGTCATAAGATAGACACACACTACTTGTATACCTTGTGCAAGAGTACATTACAACAGGTCAAATCAATTATTTATTGCATTGTGTTGGTTGGGATTTGAAAAAAGGTGAACTGTATATTTTGAGCATCCCCCCCCCCCCCCCCCCCCCCGGCAAGGTTTGTTTCTTTAATGGCAAAATTTGTTGAATGTGAATGTGATATTCATCAAGGCCCATATAAATGAAGAAAAGATTTTATGAAATATAAATAATTCTAAAAGACAGTATGATATACAAAATAATGCTGAAACGTAGACCCAGATTAGAGAAAGTTTGAGTGTACAACAATTGCATTATTTTGTTCAATGCATTTGAGTCTTTCTGTTGCTCAAATTAACAAATCAACTAATCAGATTGAAACATGAATTTTACTAAATTTTGGGGTATAGCCTCTCTAATGGTATCCAAATAAACACACTTAATATATAAGCACACTTACACACAGTTCTGTTGCACATTAACTCAATACAGAAGGGACATTAAAACTTTCCATGCCAAAAACAGTATAGCCCGTAATTGTAAGCTTGCTTTTAATACTTGCTTTCAGCAACACAGTGCCATCAAGTTGATCTTTTAAAAATTTATATTGAATATTTGTTTGTGGATTCATTTCCAATTTTTGTTTGTACTTCAAAGAAAATAATGTCCTCCGCCCCCTCCAAAAAAAAAATAAATTACAAAATAGCCAAAACTATGTAGTTTTAAAAGTTGGCATGGAAAGAATCAAATACAAAGTTTGAAAGCCAGGGCCTAACTACACTAAGAACTGGGTTCAATTATATTTCAAAATGTGCTACTGGTTTAATTTTCTGCAGGATAACCATGTTAGCAACAAGAAAGCTGTAATTATTATTGTTGTTATCATTGTTCCATCTCTATTTGATCATTCAATCAAAAGAACATTTTTAGAATAACTCAAATACAATCATTTCAATTTTCATTTGATTTATTTTCATATTCAGTGCATAATATGTCACTGCTCTGTCTTTTTTTTTACAAAAATGGGTGTACTTTTATGTAAATGTTTTTGTTGACTGGAATAGAAATTAAGCTAGAAATTAAGCTAGCTGTAACTTTGTAGAAATTCTAGAATGATATGTAATGAAATTCTGTATTTATGCATCCCTTGACAAAGTGGAAAAATGTAGCAAAATGTAATAGAACCCAGCCTTTCTACATCTAATTAAACATCACACGATATAAGGTGAGTGGTGCTACACGCAGAGATAGAAGAACCGTTTAAAAGGAACTCCATCATCGTGGTTTGGTGCCCAACCTGACTGCTTGGTCTTCTTCGACTTGAGTCCACGGAAACCTTTTTGGATCAAGAGAGCAGCCTTCTCAGTCTCGGGCGCGTCCAGGTCGATGTCGATCTCCTCTTCCTCTTCTTGCTGCTTCTGTTGCTGTTGTTTCCGTGACGATGACGAGCTACTGACCGTTTCTGTTTCATTTCGTGGTGTGCAACATGTTTTCAATTTCAGATATGAGTACATCATTTATAAGGTAACAAAGAGCTTAATAGATGATCTGTTAAGTACTATTCTAATGATATTTTGTGCGATGTTTAAATGCAAGATTTACTAGTTACCAAAAAAGTTGTGATAAAATGTATTTAGTCAATTATGATTAACCCACTTTTGAAAGTGTTTCTGATCTTACCTTTAGTATGAAATTGCCGTTCTACATATATATAGTTCAATCCAGCTAAATCAATCTCAAAATAAAAACAATTGGAATTCAAAAATAATCACAATGTACTATATACCCCTCCCCTGAAAACAAATATCTGTCCTCTTACACCTTTCAAGGGTATTTGAAGGAGATTATCATCTAAATCTATCCCCCAAAAAATATATTTCCAACTACATATAGTATGAATCACTAAAATCTGAGCACTGTATTACATTTGCATACCGAACAGGGGCCCTACTTCATAAAACTTGTTATCTATAACAACTGCTAAATTTCTTTGACAAATTTGCTCTCAGCCAATCAGATGCCATGATTTCAGTAGCTTATAACAGTAGCTTATAACAGTAGCTTGTAACAGTAGCTTATAACAGTAGCTTATAACAGTAGCTTGTAACATGTTATTGATATCAAGTTTTATGAAACAGGGCCCAGATTTGTCTGAGTTGTTGTTGTTTGAGACTTATAGAAATCTTACCCTCATCGTACGATGACGCCTCTCTCCTGGACTTCCTGGTCGACGATGACGAGGACTCCTCGTAAGAATCCTCCGTCCTTCGGCTGCTCTTGTACTCCCTGAAGCTGGACTCCTCGCCTTCGTCGGAGACCTCCTTCCTTCTCCTCATGGACCTCGTCTCCTGGTGCTCCTGCTTCTTGTTGGGGTCGCGCACTGTGGGAGGAGAATGACCCAGGGGCAAAGGAAATACATTGTAATAATGGTTATGATAATGGATACTTGTATAGCGCTCATTTCCACCACGCAAGGGGCTCAAGGAATCTCGACTACCAATTTTGGTGATTACAGCATAAGGAATTCCTTCCTACTAAGTATCAATCAAACACTTGGCTGGGGGAGGGACAAATTTACGGTCAAAGGTTATACATTGAAATAATAATGATTATGATAATGGATACTTGTATAGCGCTCATATCCACCACGCAAGGGGCTCAGGGTGCTCCAATATTACCCTGGCCTTTTCTGGGGGGTGTTTCACAAAGAGATAAGTTCAACTTAGGATCTTTGTGAAACACCCCCCTGGACAACCAATTTTGTTTATTACGGCATAAGGACTTCCTTGCGACCAGGTACCAATTAAACACGTGGCTTGGGAGTGGCAAGAGTACAATGAACATGTAGATTAATGTACATGTAAGGAACAATAACTTGCAATGGATATGCTACTCTATGAAATATGTCGATCATTAACAGCAGTTTTTGTTTTAATCCTTTTGGATCAAAAGAAGAATCAACTTTCTACAAGGAAAACTACCTTGAAATGATTTATATCAATCTGATATGCAATAGGTTATACAAGATATTCAATATGTTATTATCAAAATGATATAATTATAATACAGTATTATCATAATCCATCCTATATTCTAAACATTAACCATTTTAATATAAATGTGGAATTAAAATTTTTTTTTAAATTTAAAAAGCTCATGCTAATTAAGTCAACAAGATAAAGATGAAAGAAAATGAATGAATATTTAAAAAGTTAGAATCTCACCTGAAAAGATGGGTGCAAGCTAAATGCTGGGTGGGTGATATATATGGAACAGCTTGAATATATATGTGCTTAGCAACACGATCATATTGGAAGGCGTGTAAAATGCAATAGGGTAGCAAAATAATATGCATGGAGTGTACTGCTTCTACTCCCTCATGCAGTAAAAAGCAAAGAGAATTTATGCAAATTGAAATATGAAAAATGAAATCACTATGTATAAGATAGAAACAAAATTAAACAAAAAATAAGAGAGGCTTTTGAGAAAAGAGGAAATAGGATGGAAAACAGAATAGAGATTGAAGTTAGAAAAAAGAAGGTGAGGAAAGAAAATATCATAGGAAAATGGAAAAGATAGGAAACATACGACAAAACTGAAAAATTGGGAGCATGAAAAAGTGCAAAAGAGAAAGTGAATAAAGAGGTAAACAAGAGAGACCAGGAGAGTGTAAAGGAGTAAGAAAGGATGGAGAAAGAAAAATAAATGTCATAGAAACATAATTGAGGATAAGATAAAACATAAGTGAAAAGTAGCAACAGAGAGAGTGGGAGAGAGAGAGAGGAAGGGAGAGAGTGAGAGAGAGAGAGGGAGAGAGAGGGAGCCGAGAGGAAGAGAAAGATAGAGGGAGAGAGAGGGAGAGGGGTGGAGAGAGGGAGAGGGGTGGAGAGAGGGAGAGAGAGAAAGAGAGAGAGAGAGAGAGAGAGAGCCAAGAGAGGCAGATTAATAGGCTGGATATATGTGTGCAACAGGTCATATGCAAAGTGAGCTATGCAGTCAGCTATAGATAGCGTATTAACAAACTGACATGCAGAGTATACGGTATATAACAGAAATAAAGGATATTCGAAAATAATAAATGTATTGAGGCGATCAAAATTAACATGATGTAAAACAGATACAAGTATATGAATCATGCACTTGTGGCATACATTACATGTATTTATTTCAATTCCATCATTCTTACAAAAGTTTTCTCTCAATTACTGGTACAACTAATTCATATCACAAAAGGCATAATGCTTTTCTTAATTACACGTAAGGACAAATTGTCTCTATCTAGCACCAATCAATTAGGAGAGAGTTTTAAAAAGAAATACCGGTAGATAAGGAAAGTTCACATGACTTCATACTTCATTCAAGGCTTTAAATCCATAAATGACATACCTAGGAAAATTCTTGCGATATTTTGGCAAATATCACCTCAAGATAACAGTTCCTGCAATAACTTTAAGAACTAAAAACCACTGGATATCAAAAGTTATGTTTTGTGGAGAATACTATGAATTAAAAGAAAAAAACAATGAAAGGCCATATTAAATCCACACCAAAGTATCAAGACCCATTAGATAATTTTATGTACACGTATACACATCAGAAACATTTCTAGAAGTACCAATTGTACATTTAATACTTGTACAAATGTTTTTTTTCATATCCTGATATTTCTCAGATAGAGTTCAAAGAGAAATGAACCCATCAAAATCAGTATCAATAATTCAAATACAATGTACGTCATACTTCATGTATCAAAATTATGAATTTAGTAATGTTTCATATTAATTTTTTATATTTTTATATAGATTATACACGAAGAAAACAAAAACCTGACAAGAATGTGAAATCTTTGAAAACTTAATGCAAATATTATCTTAGCATAGAATTATTTATTCTCTGTCAAAGCTTTTGCCTCCCGCAAACTTGCTAACTCTTTTTCCATCACATCTCTATTACAAGGAAATACATTTATATCCGAAATCGAAATTACAAAATGATAACCATGTTTTTTCAATATGTGTTATGGAGTGGAGAGTTTGTACATGTGTAAATGCCTTCATTTGCAATACATGCATGGTGCAACTTTGACCAGCATAGATATGAGAATTCTCCATAAGCAACACATTTTGCAATGGTTTGCATTCGCTTATGGGACTTTTGTATCAAAGATGGTATTCAAATTGAAAACACATATACGTATAAGCATTGGAATAACTAACCTAAAGAAATTATGAGCTATAGTTTAAGTGTAGTTTGAACATAGTACAACCTAAAAGTATTTCACTTATGGGTACCAAATCCCCCTCCCCTATCATGAAACTTTCAAGATTAATCCTTATATTTTCTTAAACAACAACATGATAAATAATTCAGCTTCTCCCATGACCATGTCAAAATGTCAGAAAATACCTTTAATAGTACAAGGCAGATGCTTTTAGCATTCTTCTGCAACTTTTGTAAACTATAAAAGTCCTATGGTTGTGGAAAACTGCTTGCCTCTTAAAAAGACAGGTGAATTTAATGTACAAATATCCGGTCTGAAGATATCACTGATCAGTGATCAGCCAGAAAGTTTAGCATAATCTCAACACATCTTCAATATGTTTTTACTAGCAACTTGAGAGTTTAGTATTGAAGGCTCTCATTGTCCCCCAACAATTTAGTTCATCATTTTTCATCAACAGTTTAAGAATTACATAAAGAAGACAGTAAGGCTTTTAAATTGACCCCTACACTTGAAATAATAAATGTAAGTTCTGAAGGGATATATTGTGAGCCAAATCAATAATACTCTGTATGATGTAACTTCTGCATTTAACCTGGGTTATATTTCCAATGTACTTGTACAAGGGGATAATAATAATAGTGTAAACTTGTAGAGCGCATACTCTGTCCAGGGACGCTCATGGCGCTATAGCTCAGCAACAGTTCCCTTGCATATATACTGTAGATATCTGTGAACTGAAGGCAAATGGCATAAATCAACGGCATGCTATGATGCAATCACATGCATGGAAATCTACATGCGAGGGAGGAGGCGAAGCCGCTGCTTCCAGCGATCATCCACGAAGTGCCCGACCTGCAACACCTCATGGTCAAGCTCGTAGATTTCCGACTGCAGAGGGAGGGCTTTACCTTGAACCTTGACGATGCACTCTGTCTCGCCTGAGCCTTCTGAGTTCTGGCAGACAGCGGAGTAGCGGCCGGAGTGTGAGAGGAGGGCGCGGTCGAGGTCGAGGGAGCAGAGGCGGTATCCGTATTCCTGCTTGTAGTCGGTGCTTCCCTTGGGGATAAGCTCACCGTTGAAGTACCACGTGACCTGAGAGGGAAGAAAAAAGAAGGTATAAAGAGTGAATACGGGTAGAGAGGTTGGAGAGTATATATTATATTACATGTATTATATTATATATTTTTCATATAAATTTCAGTTTTACTTTAGGGTTGCCTTTACAGTTAGATAAGGGTAATTCCATAAATTAGGGACCCACTTTGTGACATTTTTGGTGTCCCTCTTACATACGGAACCCACACATATTTGTGGCTCTGAGTAAAGACTTCAATAGTGGAGTGAGATTGTTAAGTATGAGGATGCAATATTATGCTTGGAAATCACTTAACAATCTCACTCCACTATCTACGAGCGACAGGCTGTGGAAAGAAGAGCAGAGGGAAAGAAGAGCAGAGGGAGAGAGAGAAAAGAAGAAAAAAGGAAAAGAAGAAGAAGAAAGGAAAAGAAGAAGAAGAAAGGAAAAGAAGAAGAAGAAAGGGAAAAAAGAAAAAGAAAAAAAAGAAAAACAAGAAGAAGAAACAAAAGAAGGAGGAGGAAGAGGAGGAGGAGGAGGAGGAGGAGGAGGAGGAGGAGGAGGAGGAGCAGTGCAATCTGACCTTAGGTTCAGGATAACCAGCGGTGATACAGCTAAGCTTGAAACCAGAGTTCTCTTGGATGATACGTGACCTAAGCTTGAACTCAAACCATGGGCTGCAGTCTGGCTTGATGTCATCCATCTTGAATCTGTAGATATTTGTGAATAATCAAGTCAGAGTGTGAAGAATTTGAAGAAAATGATAAACAATAGGCCTTGAATGATATTACGGTTTGGGCAGGCCATTTTAGACCATTAGAGGGGCACAAAGTATAGAACCAATTGCAATTTTTGAAAAGAGTTGGGTGGAAAGTTCTATAAAGTAGTACACTTGCACATCCCATATAGTTACACCTAGATGAGAGACTTAAGAGTGATTATAGTGGTTCAGTTTGCTCACCCCCCCCCCCCCAGCAAATGTGACCCTGGATAAAATGATAATTAAAGGGAGACTAAATATACAGATCAATGTTTCATATTGAAACCCTCCATCATTTAAAATGTAAGGGGGGAAAAGGGAAAAATATGAAGCCACTTAGCCTCTAAAGAAATGTATAAATACATTTTTTTTTTAAAGAGCTGATTATAATAACTCATTTCACCCCCCCCCCTCAAAAAAATAAAGTAACGATAAGGGGTAAGGGAAGTGAAAGTGCTGAAACAAGCAAGTGTGAATTTGATATCCATTCAAGATATAGATACAGCAAACCAAGGATGTAGAGATTTACGAGAAACCTTAATAAGAAGATGAAAGAACAGGCAAGAAAAGAAGATAATTATGAAATTTCCCTCCCTTATCCAAATTAAAACATGAAACAAAATATATGTAGAGTTTGCTTTCATTGAGAAAAAAAAGTGTGAATTATTAACTCACTCCAAAATAAATACAAGCATATGATGTGACGAAAAGTGCAAAGTTTATAATTATCCTTAAAAGAAATAAAGAACATAATAAACATAATACTGCCCAAGTGCCATATATAAAATGAAAAAAAGAAGAAGAAAATGCATAACCCCTTAAAATATGGATATGACCTTCCTCAACACCAAAAGTTAAAAAAGAAAGAAAGAAATAATAATAAGATACAGCAGATATGTGTAGATGGAGAGGAAAATAGATGACACATTCTCAAAGAAAGAACCTGGCATGAAATGCCTGACAACCACCGCCCGGCCTTTCATGTCCAAATAAAAGAAATAAACAAAATGGAAACTGTTTTTTTTAAATCCCATCTTATATCAAAGGAACAAGATGTGAAGGTGTATAAAGCAAACACAGAAACAAACATGTGGGCAACACAGAAACAAACATGTGGGCAACACAGAAGGAAGCATACATGTGTAATATATAGAATTTTCTTTTTGAAAGTGGAGATGATGATTGCTTAAGGAGCGAGTGCATGATTGACTCAAAGAAGAGGGAAAAACAGGAGGCTTACCCTTTCCTAATTACAAGAGAGAAAGAGAGAAATACAGAAAACTTAGGCAGTGAGAAATAGATAGCCCCAATAAAAAACAAAACAACAATAACAACAAAGACAGTATTGATCTGATCTGTTTTTAACTAAATTGAATTGGATGACTTTATCACAGTTGGTGGCCAGATCACAATATTTTTTTACAGATATAAATCACAGAACAAATACAGTACACGCAATCATACAACATCAATTAGTCCATCAATTTATGTAAAAGAAGATAGTCAGACAGGATTTAAATTCATGTACATACATATAAATCATATGAAGAGATGATGATGGGCTTAAAGCCCACATTATTTTTATACAAGTTCATATCAACAATGTACAATTTGGCAATTTTCGAGTTGAGCTAACCATGTTTCAGAAATAAGGGCAGCGTTTCATGAAACCGTCGCAAGCATGAGTTTGTTGATAACCCATTTGAAAGGTGTGTATTAAAATGTAACACATGTTTCAATGGATGTCAGTGAACTTGTACTTATGAAAGTTTTTGTGAAACTATGCCCAGGTGAACAAATATCAATATATTCCTTCCGAGAAGAGCTATAGCCAAAATCTGACAGATTTGTACACAGAAAAGCGTTTCGTTCTTGAAATAAAAACAGGCTGAAAAATGATGAAGTGGATACTTCTCACACCCCACTCGACAACAAACTAAAGGAAGTGAGTTGAAGACATTAAACAAAAGTAGAAGTATGTCTCCAAGCTATTTTAAGAACAAAGAAAAACATTTGAAAATAGGGCAGAGAGAAAAAAGAAATATAATTCCAGTCCAAATAATAAAGAAAAGAAGATGAAATGCCCCTATTAAATGAAAGAACTTTAAGGAAATAAAACATACAATCATTACAGATTGTTTTTCATTTCAAGTTTAACCATACCAATCTCATTCCGAAAGAAGTTGAGAAGGAGAAAAATGAATGAAAAACACAAAAATTATCAAATTCATTCAATGAAAGTAGAAAAAAAAAGACTGAACCTTATACAGAATCATAAGGATCAAATGAAAGGAATCATAAAAAAAAGTAGGTAACATCCCTTAGCAAAGAGCAAGGCAGAAAGAGAGATAGACGGATAGTTAGAAGAGACAGGCAGACAGACAGAGAGAAAGACAAAGAGAAAGAGAGAGAGAGAGAGATTTATTTTTAAAGAGAGGTAGACAGAGAGAGAGACAGAATTAGAGGGAGGATGAGAGACAGAGAGAGAGAGAGAGAGAGAGAGAGGGGGGGGGGTGATGATTCACTCCAAAGAAAGAAGAGTGATCTGCTGCTCATCCACTCCAAATGAAAACAAATTAAAAAAATACACATAACGAAGTTTGAAACATTTAAAACTCCTCTTAATCACTCCAAAGGTAAAAGGACAAAACAATAAAAATGAAACAGAAAAGGAACAAAACAATACCATGAATACAAAATTTAAAAATAAGAAGGAAAATGATGAAATGCTGGTAAAAATAAAAAAAAATAAAAAATGGCACGATCAGATCAAATGAGGGGAAAGATAAAAAGGCTTACTGGCTGATGAGGATGAAGAGGAAGGGAGAGAATATACAAAACATTGAATAAACAATGACTCTAATCCATGGAACATAAGAACACTTAGATGTAATAAATACATAGCCAGTTGCAAATTAAACAACACTAATGAAATGATGGACCTCTGCTCTAAAGTTACTAAAAACGAACAAACTAACATTTATAATGGAAGTATACAAAAACACACTTAAAGCCCCACTGCACTACTTAGAGCTACTTGCGCCCTCTATATAGCAAACAATGCTTAATTGGTGCCTGTTGGTCCCCCATGATCCCCTTTTTCTTATGTTAATTGAGAGCTGATTTGATGAGATAACAACCTGTCAGTGACCTTGTAGGGATGTCTAATCCCCCTTGCCAAACTAGTTTTGAATAAATCGGCCTTTGAAACAAAGCTGAAAGATGTCCACTGAAAATGTATGCTTACTGAGAATATTAATTATTTCCAGAGTGTAAGTCAAGGACTAATCATTGGCATAAACTGGCCCTAAATTAGTCTTACGATGGAAAGCTGAGGCGTTAGGTTTCATTTGAACTACAGTGAGTACAACAATGAGATGACAGTTGGAAATAGGGAGTTTACATGTGGGGGAACACTGTTAAGAATGTGTCTGCCAAAAGGCAAATGGACCATATCTCTGTGTCAAATGTGATGACCTATGACCTTTCTGGATCTTTATAGCAGATCAATATCTAATGAAAAGTAGTTGAATTGAAGTCCTATGCATGACTAGGAGCAAGTCTAATACGAGACAAAAGCTGCATGGTGAAGTAACAGATTTGTGTCATATTTGAAACAGATCAAAATTTGAAGATTGGTGTAAAATTTCTACGATTTTCCCCAGTTTCCACGACAACATATAAAGTGAAAGGAACCTACCTTGGTTGTCTCTGGGCAGCCTTCTGCTTCATTGGATCGGCTGTGAATCAGAAGAAAAGAGAATAGAATGAACATGAACAACATGTACAGCAACGATTCGAAGAGGCAAGTGTCCTAGCAAAACAGAACCCAACAGAAGAAAATCAGCAGCAGGTTCTTCCTTTTTTTAAAACAAGTACATATGGCCGTACTTATACAGGAGACATAGTTTCAATATATATCCTTAAGGCTCTCATTTGAGTGATTTCTCTCAAAATAAAACAAATCTTCAAAAATTCCTTTCCCAGGTTCAGCCCGATTTCCGGGATTGCTGGGAATTAACCCTGTAAAATGCATGTCTACATGAAAATCTTATTTTTGGTGGATTGTATTGAATTGAGCTGAATTGAATTTATTTTCTTCCGCAACATACAAATCAAATTACATTTCAGCAGAAACAACATACCCGTAGACAAAATGTTACAATTATTTAAAATGTGTACACAATATAATGATAGTAAATGATGACATTAAAACAAAATGTTACTAATGGCACACTACCAAGATTTATGCATTAAGAATAATGGAGGCTTACGTTCAACATTGACCTTGACGTCAAAGCTAGTCCTGCCAAACGAGTTGGTTGCTGTGACTGTGTAGAGACCGGTATCTGTGAGTTGTGCTCCACTGATCGTGAGACCGTAGTTGAAGTTGTCGAACTTCTGCTTGAATTTCAGGGACTGCTTCAAGTCCTCGCCATTGACTGACCTGCAACATGAAGTATTAAAAAGAGTGGCAAGTGATTCCATTAGAGCTGTACATGTTTAAGTTTTGCTTGAATCTCAGAAATGCTTGAGATCACTGCCATAGATATAACAACCAAATAAAAAGTCAGGTTATTGTCAGAAACTTTTCACAATTTTGCCCCACCCCCCTCTAACAAAATCCTCCCTCCCCAGCCCCCCCCCCCCATAACAAAATCCTAGATTTTCCTCTGCTAAATGAACAAGCTTCAATGTGGAGAAAGACTGATGGGTCAAGGATATGAGGCAAACCCATTTCAAGGCTCCCACAGCCAAGCCTCCCACAGCCAATTTCTCTGAACACATGTCACCAAATTGACAATAGATTAAAAAATAAATAAGTGAATTTATTGAAGCTGTGAGAACTCATCACTTATTCATGCCATTCAAAATTGGCTCACCAATGATCTTGCATTCAGAGGGAGGGGTATGCTGCATTCAGCAAATGAGGACAACCACAAGTAATTACCAACAACACTGTGGATGATCGCTTACCATGTGGTGATAGGTGGCGATACACCAGCGACCTGGCAGCTGAGATTGACATCCCTGTCTTCCATCGCACTGGTGTTGATGGGCCTCTTGATAAACCTAGGCTTGCCTTCCTTTCGGTCTGCAAAAGAAGATGAAATTGATCAAGGTTATACATAAATTTGGGTACTGAGTAATGGAGGCACAGTGGTTCAGTGGTCACACATGGTCTCATAGCTGGCAGGACCCAGATTCAAAGCCATGCTGATGCGCAAAATCCTTAGGTAAGGCATTAAATCCTATTACCGTACCTTGAAAGTTGGATAGGCTTTAGTAAAGCCATACGTCTAATGGTTGCCCTCCACAGGCATATATTTGTCACTCAGCAGTCATGAAAAATTATAAATTAACCCACTGACTACTGAATTCTCATATTCCCCTTCGGTTTAATTCAGGAGCCACCCGTTCCAGTGGACAATGGGTTCACATAATCTTAAAGGGACCTTTTCCACAGATGAAGAGACAGTCAGGTTGCTCCATAATCACTCAAAAGGAGCCCAAGTACAAACAAATATCTTTAACACCCTTGCAAGTTGAATGATCTTGTAAAGTCGCCATTCCATTAAGGAGGCTAGATTCTTTTTCCCAACAAGAACAGGACAAGAATCATTGCACGTAGCCACAAATTTTCCCATCTATCACATTTCATTTATTTCATCTAATGTTCTCTGAATAATGAAATTGGTGAAAAAAAACTATAACTGTAAATAACAATACACAAAATACATCTACCTCTTCTGCAAATACTCAGGAATGGACAAGAAGAAGTTTAATGTGATGTAAAGACAAGAGAAAGATGAAAGACTTACCGATGGATAGGTCTTCTTTGAAGTCTGTCTTGAGTGGTCTCCTCTTCCTTTGTCCACCAAAGTTTGCAATGCGACCCATGCCAATCTTGTGTTCTCCTTCCTGTGATACCAATCAACATAAGAGTCTCTTTTAATTCCTTTCTACGCCACCAACCATTCAAACCCTGATACATCGGTCAAAAATTATCAAGAGGTGAATTTTGACTAAAAGTACCTTGTTTTATCATCAAATTTGGCATATGATGTCTGCTGTCATTGGTATAAATTTCACCGGGAGGTCAACTTGCAGGGAGAAATCATAGAAAGATCACACGCATTAACTTTTTTGCTAATTTCATCATTTTGTGGAAAATGCAAAGGACAGCTTTAATTGATTTTCGTAGGATCCACCTGTACAATTCCTGTGCATATAATAGACATGTATGCCCAGACGTTGTGGGTCCAGACAGGTTCTTCATCCGGAGAGTTGAATTAAAACAGTAATTTGAGGTTTGCTGCGAAAATGTCATAAATATTTAAAGACAAATTCTGATGGACAATATTATGAAAGACAAATATCTAAGATGGTTAGTGCTAAATGATGCATACTTTCCTTGAAATACTATTAAGGCAAAGGTGACGGCTTTATTTTTGCTGAGCGTTCGGATACACAATTCCCCATCCTACCAAACAAATTGGCAGTCCATGGATTTGGTTCTTGGCTCACACAACAAACAAAGAAGGAATACTTGTAGAAGAGTTTGATCTTTTAAGACTTTAAATGAGGAAGAGGACTTGAGCGGGCATGTGTAGAAGACAACTGGGGGACGAATAAAGAGGAAACTTACCAGCCACTTTTCACTCTCGACCAACGTCTTGTGGTTTGCTGTTGGGATGTTCTTTGCTCCTCCTCGGAACTCTTCCTGTTTATAGGAGCAACATCAAAGCGAGAGAAACACATTTAAGATTTATATCTACGGGTTGGTAATCAAATATTTGATTACCTATAACTAATTTCTAAATGAATTAGCTTTAGAGCTCGATCTGGCTCTGGTTTATTGTAAAAACCAGGGACTTATATATTAATGATGGTAGCAATTTTTGCTGAAAAGACAAAAAATGCTCATGGACTACTGGTATAACAATTCATTGTCACAATTTGATGATTTCTTGGCAGAAAAATGCAATAGTCTGGGCCCATTGAGAAAATCTGAAAATAGTTCATACATGTACAAACGGGAGATTCCTGACTTTGGTTGTCGGAAAGGACATTAACTACTGGACTAAATGCAGATTAATATCTTTTAAATTCAGAGTAAAAAAATGGGGTGGAATAATATTCTTTGAGCAAAAAATTAAAAAAACAAAACAAATTTCCATTGAAAATAATTATCTTCATGTGCATGTTCCTTTATTACATGTTTCTTTATTACATGTTTCAATGAGAAACCATTTTCTAGGGAAACAAAAAAATGAGGTGGTTTTTATAATGCAGGTGGTCTATCTAAAACAGGTGATTGCTCAAGCAGGTTTCACTGTATATAGACAACAAATTCACCTGATATATCTGCATTGTGGATTCCAGCTCACATAAACTGTATTACATGTTTAGTGCAGCATACATGTACATCAAACATGTCAAGAAGATTCCCCATAATATGGGAATAAATGCAACATATTATTAATCATGCAGACTATCAACATATTAAACAGATACATCAAATACTCCTCACAAGAAATATAAAGTTAAAAGCTTTCACATAATATGGGGATAATATTTTTCATGCAGTTCTATAGTACAAAATACTGATGAATTCATTACTTGCCAAACTAATTATTTAGTTAGGCTTACAAAGCAACAAGATACATACATCATGTACATGTACAATAATTGGACAAGATTATTCTTGTAACTCAGGGTGCATTAACATTTACACACTTACACAAAACTGAAAATCATGTTTTATGTAACAGAAGCATTAACAGTTTAAAAGCTAGCATAAACATATAGGTATAAAGCCAAGACCTGTGTGCTCTATTTACCTCCACACTGTTTGAGAGATATTCTGCACATTTATGAAATTAAAAGTGTTTTTATATTAATTAAACTAAACTAAATCTGTTTTTCAAATACATTGATGTAACCTAATCTAGCAGCATTTTCTAAAAGATAGGGGTCTATGCAAATAGTTGCATTACTCAAGCAGTGCCTTCTAATTGTTCTAGAATGTTAACTAAAAGCCAGGACATGTTATATAGATTAGAATTGACAGTATTAAAGCACAAACTATAATTTGAATATACATATAAAGCTATATCCCTATTTGAACATGCAATATTACATCTAAATTGAAACCTAAGAATCAATTTCAGTTTAAGCATGCAATACTGTACATCTAAATCCATATTATACAGACTTAAAAATCAGGAGTCCACACTAGCTCTTTGGGGCGGGGTTCCGAATGCACTTTTTAGAGTGTGTATGCATGTATGAATGCTCATGTGCCCCGGGTGCCTATTAACGCCAAGCTCTGAATAAATTTACTAACAGCCAATACACTACATCTATATAAATATATACAAACAATTATAGGTGTGTGACCATGCCATATACACATAAAAATTCCTAAAAATATTTGATCATGCAAGATATCTCTAAGTATAAAATACAAATTATTGAAAATCGCCACACTTACGATAGCCTGATGAAAGTTATTTGAAATTCAGAATAGGAGAATATGGGAAAAGAATATACATGTGTAAGAAACAGATCACTGCAATGCTTTTTTAAAGAAAACAGCATCAAGTTATCAAAATCCTATACTACATCATATTACACAATGATATATTTCGCCATCTACTTATCAATATATGTACCTTGACAGATAACATGTACAAGAATATTAATTATAAGTTTCGCACAAATATTATAACATGTAAATGTTATCAATCACTCAAAAGGTGTTATCTTTTCTTTTTAATATTTTCCAATCACTTTTACCTCCCCAAAATCAAAGGGATCCTTTTCCTGATGATGAAAATAGAACAATCATAAGAGAGAATTTGTATTTTTCAAACATCAGGCATAAAGAAATTACTCCCAGAAATCCTGATGTTCATTACAATTATTGTTACCATGGTAATAATTTTTAAGTAAAAAGGGGACTTGTTAACAAATCCAATATAGGGGACATCCTGACTTGATTTCATTTAGCTTTTTAACCCCTCTGGTGCTACCAGGAGAACAAAAATTTACCACAAATATAACTTTGAGAATTGAGAGTCAAGTTACCAATCTCAGGTACTTTCCCTTTATTTTTTATTTATCCAATACAAATATTATCCCATGATATTAATTCTAAAATACATGAACAATTTTAGAAGTTTGAGAAGGAAGACAAGCATTTCGTTGTTGAAAATAAGTTATAACCGTGGAATTTGGCTAACAGTATGCCACTGAAAGTCTTAATCATCATCCTTCCACTTCTTCTTCTTCTTTCTTCACTTTCCGTATTCTCCTTCCTTCTTCTCCATCGTGTCATTCTTTCTTCTTATCTTGATATTCTTTCTTTGTAATTCCAAACGTACCATTCACTACTGTCGTGGATATATCTTACTCCCCATTCCAAAACCAAGATGCTAACAAGCATTCAATTTCCAATATAACAATCTTTTAATTTCTCTAACGTGCTCTTTTAATGCGTTTGAAGTCCATTTCCAATTTAAAGTTAAGTATATCATAAAATATAAATTCTATTTGTCTATCCTTTACTTTAAATATAACACTCTGTAATTCACTTTCATCTAACATGCTTTTGTAATGCTTTTGAAGCCCATTTCCGATTTAAAGTGCAGTATATCAGAAAATACTCATCCTATTTTCCATCCTTTACTATGAAAGTAATATTCTTTCAATTCTAACCTTACATGCTCTTCCAATGCATTTGCAGCTAACTTTATAGAGCTCAGTATTTCAGAGGTTTAAATGTGACTTACCCTCAACCATGGGTGGTCTAGTGCTTCATGTGCTGCCATCCTCTCTCTGCAAAAAATAATTGATAAGAAAACAACAAATTACAAGTTAAATTTCAACAATGTAACTACATGCCATAGAGACAGGCTTTCATATGTTCAGTTAGTTACAGAATTACAAAATAATTTGTTCAGGATGAAAATGTTGACATCTTGCAGTCCATAAACCACTAATTCAATGCACCTAGACAGGGATCCAACCTTTTGCCTGCTTTGATCAACTAATAGAACAAAAACAAAAACAATAAACTGCCATAGTAGACTTTCGTCACACCACAACACATATAGAACATACATGTATGTGTATAATCCAGATAATGTGACAGCCTGGGGTTTCAATTTGCAACAAATCAACAGTTAAACAAAAATTTAGGAAACTCTCAAAGCAAAAGAAGGAATACAATGCATTTTGAATGCTGTTCATACAATCAAATTCAGGAAAAAAGGAGATTTAAGGTTTGTAACATGACTCTGAGGGCAAAAAGTAGAAATAATATCCTCCAAAACAGTAATGGTTGGTAGCTCTGCTAAACGTAAGGGGGCATCAGGGAATATGGGCCAGAGAGTATACATGTACTTACGACTTGTCCTTGATGAGTAGTCTGCTGATGAAATCTTGTGCCTCTGGTGAGATTTCCCTGAAGGCTGACTTGTCAAAGGACCACTTGCACGATTTTATCCTGTCTGCATCGTTCTCAAACGGATGGAGACCACTCAGACTGAGGAAGAATATTTAAAACAATAATTCAATTAAAGAGATGAAATTAAAGAAACTTTTAAAGGTAATAGAATTTTATAGATTTTAGTTTTCAAATGATCAAATAATTCCATCAGCAAAAACTATTGAATATCAAATAACATCTAATATTTTGGGAAATAAGAATATACAAGCAGATGCCATTATGCATGGAAAGAGGTCAGACTGAGGAAGAAAAACCAATCCAATCAGTTTGAACTGTTCAATGCATTGCTATACTATGTGTGGAGAAATTTTGTTTAAGGTAAGCATGAATGAAAATAATTTACAAGATAACGTAAGTCATAATTTGTAAAATATTTTGATGCTTTATATATATTTATGTGAAAGACAAAATTGAAGAAAAAAAAAAATGTTACCACCAAAAGATATTGAGAAACTCTAATTTGAGAAAATCTAATAACAAATATTTAGGAGAGAAGATAGTACTAATTTGTGAGTCATTAGAATAGTTCCAATCAACTCACTTTTATTATATTCTGTTTAATTCAAACAATCAGATTTAGTGAATAACAAATTACCAATATATTTGAAGTGTTCAAATTTTGGTCCATTTGGGATTTCCAGACATGGTTGATAGACATGAGGTACTCCCAAAAACTTCTGCTTAACACCTACCAACAGAGACACCCCTCTGGTGTCAATACTTACAGCATGTAGACGATGAGACCGATGCTCCACATGTCTGTGGAGAAGCCGAGCTGGTCGCCGTTGAGGACCTCAGGTGAAGCGTAGTCTGGTTCGGCGTATGCGATCTTTACTCTTTCATCGGGATCTAACTTGGCTGCTAGACCAAAGTCAATGATCTTGACGCTATCGCTACGCTTGGTCTGAAACAGTATACTTTGTGGCTGCGGTTGAAACAGATTTCGAGAGAAACAGAAACAGTGAGAGAATGAACTCAGAAAAGAAACAGAGGGATAATGAACTCAGGGGTGGAATGTATAATTTACATTAAAAATTCACTATATTTCCATGTATTGTTATATTCTTACCAAAGATATATTAAAAATATAAATGATGAAGCAAAGAAAACATAGGTAGCAGAGAATGATAAACATGATAGGACAGACCGACATAGAAGATACAGATAGATAGGTAGAACAAAAAGGAGATGGTAAGATGAGATTAGATAAAGGAGAGAAAATGAGAAAGAAGAGATATAGGAACTGAATAAAGGAGAGATATTAAAATAGAGGCAAATAAAGGAGAGGTGATAGGAATTATAGAAGAGAAAGATAGGGAGAGAGATAAGACACATAGAGGAAAGGGAGAAAAAGAGACAGATAAGAGAGAAAAAGATAGTGAGAGAGGGAGAGAGAGGCAGGCAGAACAGAGAGACTGACAGATATATAGAGAAAGAGAAAGAGAGACAGAGACAGAGACAGAGAGAGAGAGAGAGAGAAAGAGAGAGGCAGACAGAACAGAGAGACTGACAGAGACATAGAGAAAGAGAGACAGATGGAGAGAGATAAGGGGAGAGATGGAGGAAACTTTAGAATCATAGGAGAACACATCAAACAGTCTGAGAGAGAGAGAGAGAGAGACAGTCAGACAGAGAGACTGACATAGATGTAGAAAAAGAGAGACAGAGAGAGAGAGAGAGAGAGACAGACAGACACAGAGAGACAGGCAGACAGACAGAGAGACAAAAAGAGAGACAGATGGACATACAGAGAAAGACAGATAAGAATCAAGACTGAGCAGAGAGTGGTCATCATATAACCAAGAGTTGTTCAGAATGAGAGAAGCAGAAGTGTATATACTTACCCTGAGAGCTAGATGCATGTGGTTTTGAAGGTGAATGTGTAGTAGACCCTCGCAGACTTGCCTTGTGTATCGAGCCACAACCTCTTCAGAGAGGGTGCCTCTCTCTTTGGCTCTCTGGAATGCATCTCCACCGCTTATACTGGACATTGGAAGAAAGGAAGGAGATGGATAATAGTTGAAACAAAAAGTGTTTAAAAACATCTGCAATATAGTTATTGTACATATTTAATCTTTCAAACATCAAACATTTCAGTATTTTTTACCCGTTACTTACCACCGGTATGTTTACTCTGCATATCAAACCCACCAACATGTACATGTAGATTCAATACAGAGCCTTCTTTAAATGGGCAATACATATCCAGCTCAGTTTCTAGATACAGTAAACATATCCATTTCTCCAACTGCCTGAAATATTTCCAATGTAATACAAGTGGTCATTTTTTTCTCTCAAGATTTCTGGACCATAAATAAATGATCAATTTTATAACAAGCCAAATTGATCATTTGATATGACATACAAATATGGTTCAGAAGAACATTTGGTGTTCAAGAAGGAATAGGAATTAAAGATCAAGGTTAGTTTATAATCCACTTACAAGTCAGTGATGAGGACAAATTTGTCGTCCATGTCGAAGGCATCATGGCACTGCTGCAGCCTGGGGTGCTGGAGCTGGTTCATTGCCTCGATCTCTTCTTTGATGAAAGCCTTGTCCTTGGGTTCTACGTCCATGAACTTGGCTGCGAAGGTGCGGCCGGTGCCCCTTTCGATGCAGCGGTGGACCACACCGAATGGACCCCTAATCGTAGACAAGAAGGAAAAATAATAGGTTTGGGTTAGGAAGAAAGTTATGATGGTTGAATGATTTTTCATTCTCATACACTAGATTTAACCTGTTAATGCTTGACAATTTGTATTCTACATTTCAAAAAGGCTTCTATACTTTCATTGGCTCAAACTTAGGGATTACTGATATGAAATACGTTAATACAAGTCTCCCTGCACTACACAACTAATTTGCAACATTTAAGTGCAATGTATCACTTAAATGGATCTTATGAGCTTCACTTAACAATTTTGTGTGTTTACATGTATATTGTCCATCCCATACTCTGAAGTTGAAAGGAAGAATTGTAGTGTTTTGGCAATAATATTGGGAAAAACTTTAGTTCAGCTATGGCAAAATATCGAAAAACATGATTGAATCACCATCTCTATCCAACAATCCCATCAAGTTCAAGTTAAAGAAACAAGCAAAGGAAGCACTAGCCCTTCATCTTGCAATCATATTCAATGAAAAAAATACATCATTGTAATATTATCCTTATAATGGCATAGATATCATGTAATTTAAAGATGTGCTTTATCAAAATCTTAAGTCAGGGGTATATATCTCACCTTCCAATTTCCTCTCCTATGTGATACTTGTCTTCTACGTTACCACGGCGAACCTTACAACTGGTAGGCTGGAAGGATTCATCAACTACACAGGAAAAGAAAGTATGGGATGGTAATGAGAAATATGAGATGAGACATAGGAATGGTTTCTTCAAATGGTTCTAATGATTGTATGATTTAAATGATTTACACTGATGGAATATTTCTGAAGTATTAAAAGGAGAAAATATAGTAATATAAACAGGGCACATTTTTTAAGTTGAATTATTGAATATATACAACATATTACGACACATCTAGTAAACAAAAATGGCAAAATTTAACTTAAATATAAATAAATTATATTTAGCTTAGTGGGTTATAAGGGACATATCAAAGGCAGAATGAAAATTGATTTTGGCAATGTTATGGTCCATGATTCAAAATCAATCTAGTATAGATACCTCTAGTAATGTACTTTTTAAAAGTCCTTCTGATCCTACATGGAGTTTAAAACCATATGACTTAATCTATAAGAAATTATGTATTCGGCAATGTAATAGAAAAGAAACTCACCACATTGGTCATAGTCCCTGACAGGTGGAACTTTAGGCCTGGCTGGGGCTGTAGATGGAAAACATGGATATCAAAGGACAGTTAAATAAAGGTGATCGATGAGAGAAGACAGAGGGACAGAGACAATGCTATAACTCATTATTCCCCATGGATCGAAACCCCAGATGGTCACATAGTTTGGAGTTTATGGTACCCATAAATCTACTCTACATATCATTACATATGCAACAAAAGTTGGCCTTGGCAGTAAACAAAGTCAACAAATGCCTGTAAAGAGTTAATTTATCTATATGTGTACATGTAATATGGATATATACATGGTGGCACCAGTATATCAAATAATACATTAACTTATTAAGTGTTTGTAAAAGCACAATATAGCTTTGTTGAACATAGCAAATGGGCTGCTTCTTTAGCCACTTTAGGACAAGGTTTTATACAGAGACACTTAAGGTAGGATAAGGTACACGCAACTACCCTACTCCCCCCCCCCCCAAGTTGATAATATCATTACACATAAAAATATTTTCCGTCCCATAGTTTATACTACTTAAAATCTTCAAATGGCACATTTTGCTCAATTCATCATTTACTTGTCTCATGATAATTAAAATATATAGTTCACCTACCTTCCTCTTCTTCTACGAACTTCCTCTTCTCTGGGGCTGTTTTGGAGAGGAAAAAATGAAAGAAACAATGAACAATTATTGAATATTGTTGAAAGAATTTAATAAACAATTGTTACTTGGCAGGGTAACCTGACTTTGTACATGCTCACGTAGATCTCTAAGAGAGCAAAAGTGTTTACCTGTACATGTACCAGTAGGTATTGTTTTAAGGAACACTTTTCATCAACCTGTAAAAACTACTCCAAATAACTATGTGTAGAAATGAACCACTAAAAATGCATGATTAACGAAAATTAAAACATCTCCGAAAGGCTAAGAGTATTATCTAGCGAGACACTCACAAAAAGAGGATAACCATAAAAGTAAATAACTTATGTATTCATCAACAAATTATCTTTGTGACCTACCAGGCTTTGTGATGGTGTGTGAGCACTCGATTGGCTCTCCACGTCCGTAGATATTTTCAGCCATGACCCTGAACTTGTAGGGCTTGCCGTTGTCTAGGAACTGGACTATGCTCGAGGTGGGGCTCCCTGAGGCGCACCTTGCCCATGTACCGCCGTTGTTGGTGCTGCGGTCGATGACGTAGGTCAGAGGGCTGTAGCCACCGTCGTCCTCTGGTTTTGTCCAGGTCAGCTCGACCGAGTCGTGGGTCACGTCGGTACAGCGGAGACCGGTCACCGTCTCTGGGGCGTCTGTATGTACGTTGTAGATGATTGAGAAGAATGATGAAAATGATTGATGAAATTTAACCAAACAATACTGATAATATACAGAATCTAAGGCTTACGGTTGTACCATGTGAGAGAGAGGGGGGAGGATTGGAGAGTCCTGTAAAGGACTGACGGTAATCTTTCTTTCTTGAGTGTGTATGTATAGTCCTGAAAAGGACTGTCGGTAATCTTTCTTATAGCATCTAATACTGATAATTATGTACAACAGAGAAATGCTGTGGCACGTAAAGCTGCACATTTTGAACAAAAGCATGATTCCAGCCACCAACATTTGCCTTTTCCCTGTCTATGATTTTCTAACGAGGGAAAGCATGCAACAGGGTCTAAATTACGGGATTGTTGGGATGTCAGCGGAGTTTAGCGCGAACCAAGTTAGGTAAATATGATTAAAAAATTTGCCAAATTTAGAAGTTCTTGAAAACAAAACATGGATTTATGTGCTGCTGTATTTCACTAAGCTACAGTATTGCTTGAAATAAAGTAGACACTCTCACACTATGTCACATGTGACTGCATGTATTATTTCATAGACTTTGGTGCGACTTGGTGTTATGTGTCTACTCTATTTCAAGAAATATGTACAAAAGAAAAAAATGGTAAGGTCAAAATGAAAGAATAAGAGGTATAAACATTGTAAAACATACAATTAAGTTAGGAAACTGAGTGCTCTCCTTGAATTCTTGGCACACCCAAAACACTACATACGGGTTCTTCACTAGCTTCTTTGAGTCGGTCAAAGGAGGTGCACACCATCTTTTTCCTTGTATGTTTGATCTCATTTTTATTATTATATATGCATGATTTATTGAAAAAAGAACAGATTTATAATTTGTATGTTGATTATAAGTTTTGGTTGGTAATTATATTTTGTAGACAGACAATGGTGTGCTTAGAAACGTTTGTATTAGCGCCTAATAAATGTTGTGTATTATTATTATTAACGATAAACGTACCAGTGATGCAGATGTCAATGTCACCAGTGTCATCTCCGACCTCGTTCTCGGCGACGAAGGTGTACTTGCCAGAGTGGCTCCTGTCTGATTCTCTGATGGTGAGGGTGACAAACTTGTCGCCCTTCTCGACGCCCCTGGCCATGGAACGGCCGTCCTTGAGGATGGATCCCTCAGCCTTCGGTCTTCCCGAGAAGCTGACCTTGATGTTGACCTCTTCACCCTTGGCGAAGGTCACGGTGGCGCCCTGGTAGCGGAGGGGTATCCTGACTGTGGGCTTGGCTGCATGGTGAAGTGAGAGAAAATAGAAAAGTCAAAGAGAAGAAAAGATGGAAAAAATATGAATAAGGACTTGATCAAATGCAAGGTTAAAAAATTCCCACTTTTTCTTTAAAGAGCAATCCAACCCTTGTGATAAGCTGATTTGTATAAAAGCAGAAAAATAACAGAAACAGAATGACAAAAGTTTGAAATGAATGGGACCAATAGTAAGGAAATTATGAATGTTACAAATATAAGATCACTAAAGTCTATGCAAATTCTCAAATCGGTAGTTTGGTCTGTGGATTGTGATGTAGGACGTGGATAACTCTCCCATTTGCTGTGTACTAATATCACTAATATTTTTTTTCTCCTTAAGTTCCTTCTCCTTTGGAATGCTACTCAAAATATATTATAGATAGCAAATTATCATAGGTCCTTTAAAAAGAATAGACCCTCTTGAACCATGAATTTTTCAAACAAATTTATTTTTAGACATTTTATATGTTAATTGGAACAGATGGGAAAGTAGTCCAGCACTACACTCTCATTAACATTACCGCTTCAGCCAATTTGAAGAGCCCATATGTACAAGTATAGTGGTTGCAACTTTCAAAAATATATAATTTTCTTACTCTTGAGATTGAGCATAGCCCGGCTTGTCTTCTTGCCGCCAGGGTTGCTGATCTCAGCGCTGAACTCGTCCTCATCGTCACGCTCCAGCTCGTTGATAATGAGGGTGGATGTGCCGTCGGCCGTCTCGATCGAAAACTTGTTGCTGTTGAAGAGCTCCCTCTGTCCCTTCCACCTGGTTAATTAGAGAGATTAGGGTGTGGATGTGAAATGGTCACACAAGACAAACAGCAGGACATGTTCAGAAGTACAGTGCAGTTCACATTGAAAACATAATGTTTATGGTACATATACAATGTAGTACAATATAAGGAATTTAGTAATTATCACTATACTGTTATTCAATGTTTCATATCGAGCAAATACCAGTAGACATATTATATTGTGTTACAAAATAATACTTTGTCATCATCACTATATTCGTCAAAAAATCAACACTTCATAAAATGATATTCTTCCTCTATCCAAAGTATATGTGAGACTTCCCCTAAAGTCAGTAGATCCACAAATAATATTCTTGTGCACTTGTATAAAATAAAGTGATGTGGAGAGAGATAGGGTGAGGGATAGAGATAAAGAGAGAGAGAGAGAGGGACAGAGATTGAGAGAGTCTAAGAGAGTCTATAGCTCACCATGTGACATCTGGTGTGGGGATTCCAGAGAATGCACAGCTGAATTTGACTGATTTACCCTGGACGCCTGTTGCTTCCTTCACCTGTTCCTCAAACTTGGGCTTGGTGATAGCTGCAAAGAGCAAATAACATAATTGGGATGACAAAAGCATTCATTACAAGCAGTTGACATAATTACAGTCAAACGTACTTTAGAGGCCACCTGTATAGAAACACCACCCGTCTATCAAGATCACTTTTTTGGTTTACCTTGAAAGGGGTTTCTCATTGAAACATATGCTAAACCTGTACATAGAGATCACTTGCCTGTAAAGACCACTATTCTTGTCTGCCTTGAGCGGTATTTATATACAGGTTTCGCTGTATCCAACTTTAATCCAGAGGAATTTGCTCTTTCATTTGATTGCCAATTTGATAGCAGGGATATTAATACTTAGAAATGTCCTACATAGCATTGTGTTTGTAAAAATAAATGAAGCAGATTTCAGAAGCAGATGCTGACAATAATGCCCTTGGATGAGATGAGAAGGTAATGTTATGGAATTCATAAACAACAATCTTATTTATACACCCAGATTGACAATGTCCTATCTGATCTCCAACAACATAGTATTAACAATTTTCAAAATCAATTACTTTAATGTAGCTTAACAAAAATTGTTGATCATGTTTCTCAAACCGATCAAGAATGGTTGTTCTTCAAAGCCAAATCAGGAACAATTAAACTACTTTTGAGCCAAAGCCCAAAAATGATAGAAAAGAGTTTAATATTAATAGCGTGAGCGAACTCACGGTTTGGATCCCTGATGGTGACAGGCAAGCTGGCCATGGAGGGCTCTCCCTTGCCGGCCCTGTTGACAGAGACGATGCGGAACTCGTACTCCCTGCCTTCCACCAGGTTGGGGATCATGAAGTAGTTCATTGGTATCGGGTTAAGGTTCACTGGAGCCTGGGCATTGAGTAAAAACATAAGGGAAAGAACGGTCATGTAGGAAACTGGATTTATACATGTTTTTCTTATGCAAATGACTTTGTTTAATTTGCATAAAACTGCCGTTAAAAATACGGTGAATGAAATGTAGTTCCTTGATTTATAAGTTTGTTTTGTTATCTTGAGGAAGAATTGTTATATTGTGAGTTTATGTAAAAAAGAAATAAGATTGCATATAATGTGTGATAACTAATTTTTTACTTCATTCAAAAGGTGTTTGTACAAGAATAGCAAAAAGAGGAAGGATATTTTGTTTATAGAATTGTGATAGGTTTTGAGTTTGGGCGCGGGAATCTGCCTGACATAGCAGATACGTAGGGACACATTGCATCTTGTCATGGGCGAAGGAGGTTATGCGTGTGTCGGGCCGTCTGTTTAGTTTTACACCTTTGAAAGAAACGACATGCTAGCGAGGTTTGCTGGAAGCTGTCTGGTCTAGCTGGGACTGTGTTGTTTTTTGGGAGCCGGGAGCTGCTCCGGCTTGTATCTTCAGAGATCTTGGGGTTTTCTTTTACCGCTGATATATGCTGATCTAGTCAATAAATGGGCTCATCACCCAACCTACACTCAACTTCTTTATTGCTGCCTTATCCGTATTACGACAGTCAGAATAAACTTTGAAAGTTCTTCCTCATCCCCAATACATATTTTTGTTTGTTTGCTTTGTCTACTCTGTTTAAATATTTTTGCGTAGTCTGTTTAATATTTTGTTCTAAATGATGGTATACTTTATTAGCTTGATTATAATTTTATCTCAAACTCAAAGGGTAATTCATATACTACCCTTTTTTCCCCTTCAATTCCTGATAGAACAGTACATCTGATTTACCAACAACACTTTTTGGTAAAGTTTCTAAAGAGATACCCCCATCAAGTACATCAGCATGGCTAAATGTATATTCAACGATTCAAATTGGACAGAAATCTGAAGAAAACTCATTACTCCTGATCATCTTACCCATCTGTCCGCTCCAGCTTCGGTCTTCTCGACGATGTAGCCAGTCACTTGGCTGCCACCGTCATCATCGGGTTTGGTCCAGGTAATGCTAGCAAAGTCCTTGCCGACATCAGCGATGTCTGGGCTACTGGTAGGACCAGGTGGATCTAAACATAGGATGAAAATTGTATATGTTTATATTAATAGATACCACACACGCATGTACTGCTGACATAGAGCACTGGGGGAAAAAGTTGATAATCATCAAGAAAAGTGCAAACATTACCGGAATCATCCTTTAGAGAGAATTTTTAAAAATGTTTTGAAATCTTTTCTAACACTAGATTTTATCGAAGAAGTGGAGGAAAAAAAAACAGTTACCAGGGTTCAACCCACATTTTGCCAAAGGCTGAGGGATTGCATTATCTTTCTGTATACAAACATTGTATAATCTTGAATCAAAAGTTTTATATGTTTTTTCCCCTTCTAATAACCATATTTTGACTCATCCTCTACCCACCTCGATCTACTGTCTTTCTTCCTCTATCCCCCACTTTCCCCTTTTACTCTTTCTTAGTGCCCATGCTATGGGGAATTTTATATTTTAATGCCTAAGATGTTAACGTTTATGTATAATTATCACTTACGTATTTCAATTATTACTGTTTTTGGTGTTTATATATGTATTTTTAAAGCTCGTTAAAAAAATGTAACATTTCCATCTAATTTGGGCGATAAAATTGAATCAAATTGAATTGATAGCAGTAGTGACATAACATGCTTTTCTTTTCTCAACAATACAGTGTATACTTTTTAAGGGGTTGATGTTCACAAGGCTAATTGCTCTTTCTGTTAACCCCACATTCCCATCAAATTTTGTTTGCTCCTTCCCTTTGTATTTTTCTTGCAATCGATCTTTTATCTGTATACAGTCAAACCTGTCTATAGTGACCACCCAAGGGAAACACAGAAAGTGGTCTTTGTAGACAGGTGAACTTTATAGACAGGTTCCTTTAGTACATGTTTCAATGAGAAACCATTTTCAAGGGAAACAAAAAATGTGGTCTTTGAAGACAGGTGGTCTTTGTAGACAGGTGGTCACTAAAGCAGGTTTGACTGTATGATGTATGTCATATTTGTATGTTTAATGTTTTTTTATGGAGAATGAAATAAATAAATGAAATGAAAATGAAACATAGCAGAATTCTCTCTCACCATATGGTGCCTTTGCCACGATTGGCTCCTTGGTCTTGAGAGGCGCACTCTGTCCGATATCGTTCTCGGCCATGATCCTGAACTCGTAGGCGCGGCCCTTCACCAGGTTGGTTGGAGTGAAGGTGGTGTTTGGAAGATAGCTACCAGCTAAAGTTGTACAGGACGAAGGGTAACACAAAAAAAGGATGTCAAGTTTGGGGTTGAAGGGAAGTTCACTAATAAAGCATGTTCTATTCCTCTGAATCCTCCTAATCCCTGATTTAATCCTATGTCTTCTCTCACTAATCTTAAAGGGCAATCCAACCCTTGTAATAAATTAATTTGTATGACAGCAGAAAAGTAACAGAAACAGAATGACAAAAGTTTGAAATGAATCGGACCAATAGTAAGGAAGTTTATGAATGTTTGGAATATGAGATCACTAAGTCTATGCGAATCTTAAATCGGTAGTTCGGTCAGTGGATTGTGACGCAAGACTTGGATAACTCTCCCATTAGGTGTGTACAAAAAAATGTCATCAACTTCTGTTTTTCTCATAAGTTCCTTCTCCCTTGGGGCACTACTCAAAATAAATTATAGATAGCACATTAGCATGGGTCCTCTAAATTACAACTTTTAAGAATTGATGACTTTTATATTTAGTAAGATTTAATTGATACTTTCTTCAGTTTGCTTCTCTGATATTTCTGCTTTCTTATAGAGTAGTTGTCTATTTGGGTTGGATTTCCCTTTAACCTTTAAACTCTTTATCCACTATGGACCAAAATCCTAAAATGAGTCACTGTTTTGGAGTATCCTTGTTCTATACACACTGTACAAGTAACAAAAAAAGACTATGGTAATCTACCGTAATAGTCCTTTGAGTTGACCAAACCTGGTAATGATTTCAACTGACCTGTTATCCAGTCTGGGTTCTCCTCATCCTTGCGCTCCACGGTGTATCCCTTGATGGGGCTACCTCCGTCGTTGACCGGTGCCTTCCAGGTGAGGGCGATAGAGTTGTTTGTGATCTCACCGACCTCAATAGGTCCCTTAGGTGCTGATGGTTTGTCTGTAAAATGGACAAATAATTTATGAAGACATATTGTCCTGGATATTCAAAATATGCATTCATTTATCCCATTTGAAATGATATAGCATTCTTAAAGGGACTTGGTAACATTGTTCAGATGAGAGAAAATGGTGCTAAGGTAGTGACTTCAAAGCTAGATGTACAATTAACAATAATCTGAAAGTTTGAGTGAAAACAGATCATTATTAACGAGTCAAATTGGGAAAACTGATCTGATCGATTCCTTAATTCTCCCAACTATATTATTATATTTTAATTACAGTTTAGGTGAATGAAAATCGCCACAAAGCAATGTATTGGCTTTATATACCATACCAGACATTTAAGTGTTGACAGATTTTTAAGAGCCTGCTTTATGTCTCATTTTCATGGAAAAACGGTTGGGAAAATTCAAAAATTGGTTGGGAGAATTTACTGTAAGAGGGTGTTGCACAGTGACGCCTTCAAAGAAAACCATAAATATCTGTTGTTTGAGAATTTGTTCAGGATTTTTCGAATGTTAGAGGGTATGTACGGTAGATGGAACATAATTAGTAACATTTCATACAAAAATCACACGTTTTTTTCATCAACCTTCAACAATGTTACTGAGTCACTTTAAGGAAACATTCCTTACCTGAGACCTTGACATCAAATGTGCAGGAGTCTGAGCCTACGCTGTTGCTCAGGGTCACCTTGAAGGTCTCGTTGTCTTCAGGCTCAGCACCCTTGATTCCAACTTGGACATAGTCATCAAAGACGATCGCCCTGACTCGGCTATCGGCTAGAGAAATGGAGAGAGAGAGAAAGCGGTTTGAAAAGGAGAGCGATTGATTTAAAGGCAACTGCAGACCTACATGTACCCTTTTCTACAAAACTTTTTTAAATCTTCTTATTTTGTCATATTTTGTGTAAGCACTATGATACAGTATCATCATGTTACTGGCCACAGGAACATATGTGTATAAGCACATTAAGTTTCATTGATAAGCATATACATTTTGGTGTGTTTCTACATGATAATATGCATGATCATATGCATTTAAGCGATTCCTATGAGAACATTTATAAGTTAGGTGGAGCGAGAGGTATGAAGTCTAATTTTACATTGTATGGGGTTAATATAGTAATCATATTAAAAACATTACAGTATTTAACCATTAATATTAATGAAAATGAAGGTAATAACATTAATGAAGTTAATACAAGTAACATTATTCAAAATCAATAATATCACATCGCTCGATCTCAATGACTAATACCATCATTCAACATCTGGAAAAACTGATTTTCCTATAATTTGAACCACAAGTTAATACATTGTAACCACCACTGTGTGAACATGGTATGTAAGTTGTTTCAGGATTACATTTAGACTTTTCCTAGGAAAGTTACCTGTGATGTTCTCGATTCCTCTGTGGAGTTGGACGTCGATGTCGCCCTTGCCTTCGAATGGAATCTTGACCTTGAAGGGTTCGCCTGCCTCTGTCTCCACATTCCTGGGTGCTGATCGGATGCTGGGTGGCACTGCAAAAAGAGACAACAAAATATGGTTAAATTATTTACCCCATTGCCTATTGGAACCAAGTGGTTGCTGTATCAAACCTATCTTAAAGTGAACAACAAAATAAACCATTCACAAATATGTCCAAATATTATGCATGCTTTTACTACAAAAGTAACTGGTGATCAACCCAAAACTTACAAAGGCTAGTTCAACACAGCAACGACTACATGTACATTTAACAACAAAATTATTCATACCCTTACCAAGTTTTGTAATTTTCTAAGTATGTGAAAACATGAGCGCTATTCAAGAACCCACTATTATTATTATTAGCATTATTATTATTGTTATGTATGCTTAAAGACACTGTAATGGCCACCAAAAATTAGCCCAAATGGACCATTACACAGAATAATTCAAATTGAAGGTACATGTAGATGAACAGTTTAATACCGAGTCAAACTATTCCTGAGAATCAGACATTTTATCTGAAACATTCATTCAAATTGTTTAACCTTATGGTTAAATGGTTGAATGGTTGAATGTACTCCCAAAATACTGCATCTACTGTACAATACATGTTTAGTAGCACTGAAATAACAACACATATCTACAGAAAGTAAATTTTTGCACAGAATGTGGTCCAAATGGAATCCTTCACTGTTTTATATATGAACTTCCAACTTTCTTGCACATGTAAATCAGAAATTGCAACCCCCCCCCAAAAAAACTAGATGGAATTCGACTGCGCGCAGTCGAAAATGATGCCTCCGTCATAGAGCAATTTTACAAACCAAAACAGAAGACATTTTTCGAATTCAAGTTCAATTGTAATCCATTAACAGGTTCTCAGAATATCGTGATTACAAGCAATTTCTCATATACATATATGACCCTTTGATCTTTGACCTCATGACCCTAAAATCTACTCAGTTCATTGGCTCTGCAAGATGTCCTGAGTTAAATAGTAATCCATCTGTCAGTTCTAATGAGAATGTGTTCACAAGCTATTTTTGCATACATAATGAGCCCATGACCTTTGACCTTTGATCTTATGAACCAAAAATCTACTCAGTTCATTGGCTCTGCAAGTAACATACATGACCTAATTTTGGCAGGAATCCATCAATCGGTTCTTGAGAACACGATCACGAGCTGTTTTTGCATACATAATGTGCGTTGTGGCCTTTGACCTTTGACCTCATGACCCCAAAATCTAATCAGTTCATCTGCTCTGCAAGTAACATACATGACCTAAGTTTAGCAGCAATCCATCAATCGGTTCTTGAGATAACGCAATCACGAGCTGTTTTTGCATACATAATGTGCGCTGTAGCCTTTGACCTTTGACCTCGTGACCCCAAAATCTAATCACTTCATCGGTTCTGCAAGTAACATACATGACCTAAGTTTGGCAGCAATCCATTACTTGGTTCTTGAGATAACGCGATCACGAGCTGTTTTTGCATACATAATGAGCCCTGTGACCTTTGACCTTTAACCTCATGACCCCAAAATCTAATCAGTTCTTTGACTCTGCAAGATACATACATGACCAAAGTTTGGCAGGAATCCATCAATCGGTTCTTCAGATAACGCGATCACGAGCTGTTTTTGCATACATAATGAGCCCTGTGACCTTTGACCTTTGACATCGTAACCCCAAAATCTAATCAGTTCATTGGCTCTGCAAGATACATACATGACCAAAGTTTGGCAGGAATCCATCAATCGGTTCTTCAGATAACGCGATCACGAGAACGGGACGTACGTACGTACAGACGTACGTACGTACAGACGTACGTACAGACGGACGGACGGACAACCCGAAAACATAATGCCTCCGGCTACTTCGTAACGGAGGCATAAAAAGTGTACCAAGGCAGTAGAAACCTATATAAGGGGGTCTCTTTAAAGCCTGTCCGCACTAGTTTGGCCAGGGGGATTAGACCTCCCTGCAAGGTCACTGACAGGTGGCTATCTCATCAAATCAGCTCTCAATGTAGCATAAAGAAAAAGAGGATCATGGGGGAACAACAGGCACTGATTAGGCATTGTTTGCTATATAGAGGGCAAAAGTAACTATAAGTAGTGCAGTGAGAATTTAACATTCTGTTACTTACGAAGGACTAGCAGCTTGGCGCGACACTTCTCAGTGCCGGCTTTGTTGGTAGCTTCGCAGACGATCTCTCCAGCGTCGGAATCCCTGAGGTCTGTGAGGATGAGGGTGTAGGTGGTGTCCGACTCCCTCATCTTAATCCTGGCTCCAGCGAACAGCTCCTCACCGTTACGGATCCTGTATCACAGAGGATGAAGACGGCAAGTATAGTGTCTAAGTTTATACAGGTTGGGTACTTAAGTTTAAGACATTGACTTTGTCAAAAATCTCTCATTTTTCTAGGAATAGAATCATCAGTCTCAGACTCCTATTGTAATTGATGTCTCCAAAATCAAGACCGAACTATTCAAACAGCTCTAGATGTAATGTCTACATGAATCCTTTTCAGTATTTGAACTGTTTCAATGTCCCCAACATCAGACCTCCTTCTTATCTGTGATTTAATCACTGTAAATATCCTGCCAATACACATATTTGTACATGTACGGTGTATATCTCAAATTCTTATCAAGTGCTTGTCTACCGGACACCCAATTCTCTCCATCTCTCTCCTCTTACATCATCTTGCAAACTCCTCTCAAAATCTTTTAGTTAATTGCTCCCTCTTCTTTCTCTCCCCTTTCTACCTCCCATAACCTCCAACCTCACCTCCCCCATCCCTTCTCCCCATTCACCCCCAACAATTCTCTCCATCTCTCTCCTCTTACATCATCTTGAAAACTCCTTTCAAACTCTTTTAGTATGCTCCCTCTCCTCTCTCTCTCTCTCTGCCCATTCTACCCTCCATAACCCCCCTACCTCTCACCTCCCCCATCCCTTCTCCTACTTTACCCCCCACTGTCTTCCCACAGTCTTACCATCTGATGGTTGGCTGTGGTGTTCCAGAGACCCTGCACTCAAACTTGGCCTCTTCTCCCTGGGCAGACTGCACAGGCCTGAATTTATCGTCAAAGATTGGAGCAACACCCTCTGCAAGATTAAGATAAAATCAAATTATTGAAATCACACTCTAAATGAAATTCAGATAAAATACATGTAAAGTTAATGTCAATAGTATTTCTTTTTACATGCTACAAGGGCCAAATGGCACACACCAACAAATCATCAAGATTACAATCATAACAACATCATCAATTTTTGTAAAATTCAAACTGCAAAATCAAAAGATAAATCAATGTATGGCATTCAGTTCTACTTGATCATAGATTTTGGGATAGTCCATAATAGCATTCTTTTAGTATGGATAGTATTTAAAAAACACTTTTACATGTATTAGACAATTCTCATTTAACATTTGAAGATTTTTAATGTGATTCTTATATAAAGGTTAGAAATAATGATGGATCAATGAAAGTTTTCATGGTAAAACAAGAGTGTAACATCTGATCATTTAAAAGTTCAGATTCAACAAGTTCAGTACAAATGGGAGTCTTTTTATAGAGGTTGCCACAATAGGAAAATTTCCCACAATACTTGCTGGTAGGTTTTTCGGTCTCAATGGAATGGGTGCGGAAGAAAAGATATGCATTCTTTATAAGCAGGCAGTCTTTATTTTCAGAACATTTTAACACAGGGCTAAATGACAAGCAATGTTCAAGAAGGAAAAAATATGTGGTCTCTATGAACAGGGGGTCTTCCTTCACATGTGGTCTTTCTACAGAAATTCCTGATTAAGAAAGTCTTGTCTATACTTACTGCTTGGTTTCTCAGTTTTTAAATATATGTGATATTTCAACACAGCTAGTTGCTAAAGACTTTGCTCTGAACTTACTGATTGTTTTGCTATGTCTTTTGATATATGTGCTATTTCTACACAGCTAGATGGTAAAGAAGTTTGCTCTGTACTTACTGATTGGTTTCTGGGTCTCGATGGGTGCGGAGGTGACAGCGGGTTCGCTGGGTCCCATCTCGTTCTCAGCGATCACCCTGAACTCGTAGCCCACGCCTGGCTCCAGACCGTCCACGGTGATGCTGGTGCCCTTGACAGGATACTTGCTGACTGGCTCCCAGTCTGGCGAGCCTTCCTCACGCTTCTCAACAACGTAGCCTGTAGTGTATCAAAAGTGAATTTTATTTTTTTTCATTTCCTTTTATTTCTCTCCTCTTTCTTAACCTTTCAACCCTACTAATCAATCTTTACTTCTTCTATTGCTTCGTCCCTTCCTTCATTCAGCCTTTTCCCCTTCCTACTCATTCTTCAGCTTGCTCTCACCTTCTTTTTTTCTTGTATCCATATCACCTTATTATCCTCCTGCCTTTTCTCTTTTTTGTCTTCCATCCCCTCATTTTAATAAATCCCTTTTCTTTCGGTCAATCTCAACTTTATTCTTGCTCTTCCTCTCATCTGACATCTTCTCTATTTCTGCCTATTTTTTTTATTTTTCTTTCTTCTTTCCACCTTGCTCATTACCCATACTTCTTCTTCAGTAACCCCTATGTTGTCTGTTTCTACTTCATCCTCTTCTTTCTTCCATCCTATCCATCTTTCTTTCCCCTCCCTCCACAAGCGCGCACTCACCTGCAAGCTTGGATCCACCATCTGAAGAGGGTTTGTCCCACTGGAGGTCCACTGTATCCCTGCCGATGTCGGATGCGACAGGTACGCCAGGAGCAGAGGGAGCATCTACATCAAGAACAAAAAATGGAAGGGAAAAACCAATGGTTTAATTATCATAGCACTATGGGTTTCCTTTCATTAAAGCTTTTAGGTCTATCATGTACATGTAGATATTACAAAAATCCACTTTTTAAAAGAAGTGAAACACAGATAAACAGTTTAAATAATCTATATTTTTTTTCTTCTCTTTTGTTCTTCTTGTTGTTGTTGTTGTTGAGAATTTCCTATCAGGCAAAAATCATTATCTGCATAAAACCAAAGTGTGACATCCAATTTTACAAAATTATTACTCAGAGATGCATACAGTATTCTTTTAATACTTAAAATTTAATTTGGGAGCACTGAATCAATAATTTTGATTGGTATGCACAGAGCAGGCTTTTAATGGGACATGCTAACTGTCTAAACATAGTCAAATTTTTTGTATAGATTATTTTCATTCATATTTTCCTTATTTAAATAACCCATCTCTGATTTATACCATTTGCATTTCGAATAAAAAAATCTCATGTTCACTTACTGATAATGGCTTTGGGCTCAATGCCCAGCAGGGTGCGGCTTGCGGGTCCCTTTCCTGCCTTGTTCTTGGCGAAGACCCTGAACTCATACTCTGCGGTGTCACGGAGGTTACCCACTGGTAGGGTGGTCTCCTTAACGTTGTAATCATTCACCTGAGAAGGGTAGAAATTAAATGACAGATTATAATAAGATAAGATTTAATATTTGTTTTTCATATTTGTGTGGTTTTGGTTACAAGAATACACAGAGATTTGTTCTATAGATGCAATTTAAACATTGGGAAGACAACAAAATACAGACACACCTGCTTTAGTGACCACCTGTCTACAAAGAACACCTGTCTACAAAGGCCACATTTGTTGTTTCCCTTGAAAATGGTTTTTCATTGAATCATGTACTAAAGGAACCTGTCTACAAAGGCCACTTTTTGTGTTTCCCTTGGGTGGTCGCTATAGACAGGTTTGACTGTATGTACCAAATATGACATCACTCGCAACCCAGATGTACAGTATCCCATTATTGCATTTTTACAACCTATTCAAAGGAATATATTCGCTATCAATCACTTTAAACTCATCAGGGAGTATAATACCACACCATACAGATATGTATGAACAATACAAAGTAACCAATGACAACCGCACCATAATCCCTTGCTGCCCACATCATTCTCTTATTAGCCACTCTCAAACTCTTTTCTACTTCTTCATGAAGCATCTGATACAATGCTAGAACCACCCTCATCAAAAACATGAACATCACCATTGTAATCCCCTGCTATATATCACGTCTTAATACTGGTAGTCCACTCACAATCCCTCTCTCCCTCTTCTCAACAATGTCTCCTATGATAGCACCAGATCTTAACTATATACCACCATCATTATCAACATCATCATCATTATTATCCCCTCCCCTCTTCCATCTATCACATCTTACCAGTAGCCACGCTCCATCCCCTCTCCCTCTTCTCAACGATGTCTCCTATCATAGCATTGGATCTTAACTATACCACCATCATTATCAACATCATCATCATCATTATCCCCTCCCCTCCTCCATTTATCACATCTTACCGGAATCCATTCTCCATCCCTCTCCCTCTTCTCAACGATGTATCCGATGATGGGTGATCCACCATCGGCCTCGGGAGCTTCCCACGACAGCCTGACGAATCCACGGTCCACTTCATCTGCATTGGGCTTGCCTGGTGCTTCGGGTGCATCTGAGATGGATGGACAGTCAAAAAAAGAAAATCATACATACGTTCTTCAAGACCACATTATAAATTCACTACATTTAAAGCATTGGGAGCCCCAAATTCGCCAAAAGTTTGATGGCAAAATTTCACTTGAATTGTAGCACAATGTGAAAGAGGATGTCATTAAAGACACACTTCTGAAAAGATTTCCCCCAAAAAAATGTGTTTGAAGACAAATATTTGTAAAAGAATACATAATTTGGGTTATCATTGTATGCAGAAAACCTAAATTTTGTATTCTTTCATCAACTTCCGTTTGTAAAATCTTTGCAGAAATGTGTCTTAAAATGACATCATCTTTCACATTGTGACACAATTTAAATGAAATTGTGCCATCAATTTGTGGTGCTCCCAACACTTTAGAGGGGCTTTAACATAGTTTTTTAAATCATTATCTGCTTAAAAACATTCAATCAAACAAGTGAGTCATGATAAGGTTACATGTACTATGATTCAGACAAATTTGCAGGTTTTCTCAATTTGTACTCATAACAATAACCCACCATTCCTCCAAGTGTCTTCAAATCGTACTCCAACTGTAGCATACATACCAAATTATAATATAAACGTGCGTGTACATGTACAAACAATATACATTTGTGCAGATTTAGTACGCGAACATACCCTTCTGCTCCATATACATGTGCATATATTTTTTCCTTACTATACCACCTACGTATGAAATGAATCTGTAACCAAAGTGATAATGGGAGACATTCTCAGAAAAATAAGTCTTCACAAAGTTTTATGTTATATGAATAAACAGATTGTGCTTTCCTGATAAAAAGGGTGCTTTCCTGATAAAAAGGATACTTTAAAGCTTAGGTTAATGAATATATAAATTGGTATACTCTTGCACTTTAAAATGATCATGTTTATACCAAATGGATCCTTGATGGTGATGGCCTGAGATCCCTCTAGGGGTGGTCCTACACCATGCTGGTTCTCGGCGCTCACGCGGAACTTGAGAATGGAGCCCTCGTCCAGGTTGACCACGTCGTAGGTGGTGGTGCGGACGTAGGTGGAGACCTTGGTCCAGGCCGAGCGTCCCGCAGCCTGCTTCTCGATCACGTAGTTTGTAACCCGACTGCCTCCGTCGTCCTGTGGCGGTTTCCATGACAACCTGCAGAAATCTGCAGTGACGTCAGTGGCCGCCAACGGGCCCTCGGGGGCAGATGGTTTGTCTGGAGGGAGAGAGGAGCGGAATTAGAAATGAATAATTTTAGATAAATGGCTTTTTACGAGGTCTGCTGCATGATACATACAGTAAGAAGCTAACCTCTATCAGATTAAATACCTAATGCTCTCATCCCCAAACCATTGGTACAGGAGCCACCCTGGTTCTTGTTGACAATGGGTTTAAATTAGTTTAAATAGTTAACCCGTTGACATCTGATTTCTTCAAGTCCCATAAGCTTAATGAAGAGATCATCTGGTACCAGTAGGCAATGGTAAAGAAAGATTATCAAGAGTCCTTTTCAGGACTTCCCAATCTTCCCTCTCTCTCACATGGTGCAACCGCAAGCCTACTGTACATTTCTTTTCCATTTGTAAAGCTCCTGCTAAAATCAATTATTCCAAGTTTACAATAATAACTACTAAGATAGCTTGCATACTTTGTGCTACATTGCCTTCAATAACTGTATTAAATTTACTAGTATGTGAGCATCCTTTAGACAAGAAATTCAAGTATTACATTCATTTATATAAATTTGTTTTACCTAACTGCTAAGAAAGCATACCTGTATATACGAGTGTAAGTAAACAACCAGGGGACCAGCGGCTTTAAGTCCTCTCTGAAGGACTAACGAAGATTGATGCCTTACCAAAGGGCACAAGCGCATTGGCTTGGTTTGGAACATGGGACCTTCCGGTTAAATACCAGACCACTGCTCTACCACTGAGCCATCGCGCCTCCCCAATTTCTTTACACAGACGAAATGACCTTTGTCTGAATGACTCACCAACTACAATGATCCGTACAGTGGCTGTGTCGGTTCCCTTCTCATTGCTGAATGTGACCGCGTATGTTCCAGCATCGCCACGTTCAGCCTCGCTGTTCGCCATGATGCTGCTAAGCTCAGTGTCCTGTAGATTATATAGTGCAGTAGGAGAGTCAAAGCAATGTCTATGTTGAGGACTGAATGCTTGACAATTTCGTCTGAGCATCATGTAATTTTTTTTCTTCAATAGTTGCTTCTCTTTGTGGTCTAGATATTGGACTCAGAATCGATTCAAAATGTATATTGAGCCAGATTTAAAAACGTTAACCACCTACAAATATATATTTTTTTTAACACTTAATTTCGCAACATAGAGAAAAGAAAAATTTAAAGTAAAAAAACAAAAACAAAATGCAATTTTCAGACACGATGGCGGTGATATTATGACTGAATAGTATACACAATTTTTTTCAATACACATTCATTACTCCTGTTTATTACAAAATCATAAACCTATTTTTTAATTTAAATCCTATATAGCATCTCCTGAGAGCTATTACAACATTATTTCTGTCAAAGTGATATGAGTTAATGCCCCTCAGGCTCTCAGAAGACAATATTCATGTAGTAATAAGAATGATAACTAACATTAAAATAGCACTTAATGTACTCAATATTTCTAAACACTACAATAACAAACTTGCACATGAAATAAACACTCGTCCTTTAAAGAAAAACTTAGGTAGTAAACATGACGAGGTGATATTTATAAAAATGCAATATGTAATAACATCATAATTTATGCAATTATACATGGATAAAACTACTAAGGTAAAGACCAAGCCAGACCTCAAAGGCGATCCTATTAGAGGGTTCAACAGTGATGCCGTTCTTGTCGCTGCGTGACCATGTGATGTTAGGTGGTGGGGAGCCCTCGAATGAAATCTCAACGCGGAACTTCTCCCCTGCGACAGCGGTAACCTCACGGTTGCGGCTAGATGAATCCACCTTGGGTTTGACTGAAAAGGACAAAAGATACATTATTAGTATTTTTTTTAATTAGTTATTTTTTACTTCTTTTTTAAAATATTTTTTACTGTAGGTTATAAAATACAACCATATGAACAGGGTTCTGCACACATATGTGAGGTTAAAGTAATATTCATTTCCTTGGAACTCAAACAAAGATTTCTGAAAACCTGAATTCAGGAATTATATAATTTCTGAAAAGCTACCTACATTGAAAGGTATATCCTTAAAACTGCTGGGAAATATTCTAAACCTAGTTTAATCCCATTTCTAATGCATGTATTTCGTGAAATGTCAAACCCCCTTAAATGTACAGAATACATGCAAAGATTGAAGGCAATTGATCAAGGACCTGGCTTACAAAATTACAGACAGATTTTCTATGTGAAAAGAATCAAAGGAACAGCAATGCATGAAGTAAAGAAAGGAAGTTCTACTACCTGGTGGTGGTCTTGCTGTGATGGCATCGGAGGAATCGCTAGGCTTGCCTGGGCCGGCCTCATTGACTGCCTTCACTCTGAACTCATAGCTGGTACCTAGAAATGTTCCAAACAAAGTTAAAAATTATGGCTCTGATACATCAAAGCCCATGAATACAACTCGGGTTAAACAGGACTTTCCAGGCTGTTGGTCTTATGTTCAACTTCCTACGATGGAAAACACTATTTAAGGAGAACAGATGTAGTCTCTGCAGAAATCTGTACCTGGAGGTGGTCTTTTTTCTACTCTGAAATCCTGTTACATGTACTTGTTCAAAAGAACATGCCATCTTCCTTCTTTTTTCCTAAATATCCCTTTAAGCTACACACGTGTGACTCCTCATCTCTTTTTTATGCACCATCTCACTCTTTTCAGTCTTTTATTCTCTTTCTCCTTTTGTCTCTGTCTCTCTTTCTCTTTCTGTCTATCTCTCCTATCCTTTCTCTCTTCAAGCCTTTCTCTTTCTTTCTGTTCCCCATCCCACTCTGTCTCTCTCTCCTTTTTTCTACCTTCTCTCCCCTCTTTCTTTTTCTCAACCATTACCTCTACAGATATCTCTCTCCATTTCGTTGGCTGCCTACAAAATAGCCGCAAAAATTGCCATTGTACTGTCAATCGCAATGACAACCATATCGAGGGCAGCCAACGATTCTCTATACCTTCTGTAAGCTTGAAGGCAGTGAAGCTCGTATCCTTGACTGGTGCCCTTGTGGCCGTCGACCAGTCACCATGTTCCTTGCGCTTCTCCACAGTGTAACCTACGATAGGGTTGCCACCATCGTTAGAGGGCCTCGTCCATTGGATGGAGATCGTGGTCGAGGTCGTTGTGGTTACCTCAGGCTGTGACGGCATACCAGGTGGGTCTTGAAATGCAAGAAAATATAATTGGTTAGGCACCTGATTTTTCTTTTCCTACTTTTTTTAATTGATCGTTCAAAAGTTTGAGTTCATGTATAAAAAGAAGGAATACAAAATAACATTCCGTTATGGACAGTTAGTCCTTGAAGTATTAAAATCTGGTACCCATCACCTCATAGTTTGCAGTAGCTTATTTTCTTCAATTTTTTTAGTGCTTGCAACCCAGCCAAAAAATGAACACATGAAAATACCTTTCACTTGTTGGCTTACACACTGTATGTGTTTGGGATATATTGTCCACAAAATTAATTCGTTTCACATTCTGTATGCAAAAAAATACATGTAATGCATGAGCAATATAGTGTTATTTAACCACTTCTCTCAAAGCATACATGTACACCCAACATATTATGAGTAAGTTATGACACTTTTATGATTACTACTACTCCTATTAAGGTTAATGCTTCTACTACTACTATTTCTAGTACCACTGCTACTGCTAAAACTCTTACTACACACTTCCTCTACAGTCGCGCTAATCCACTTTCCATCTGAGACTCACCGAATGGATTCTTGGCGATGACGGTCTCGCTCGTGATAGGCTTGCTGACTCCGTACTGGTTCTCGGCCGACACCCTGAACTGGTACTCTCCCCCCTCCTTCAAGTTCTTGACCTTGAAGTGCGGGGAGGGCACAAAGCTGCTGACCTTACTCCAGGCCCCCGTATCCGGGTCGCGCTTCTCCACTACATAGTTCTCTACGTCTTCTGGGCCGTTGACCGGCTGTTTCCAAGACAGCGTTACGCTGTTAGGGGAGATGTCGCTAACCTGGACCGGGCCCTGGGGTACGTCAGGCTCCGCTGTTGGGGGAAGGAGAAGAGATGGAAGTAGATTGGTTATTTTCATAAGTTTATTTGCTTTTTTGTTTTGTTTTGTTTAAAATGTAATTTTTCATCATTGTATTTTGTTTGTTATAGTGCTTAGAGACTTTGGTGATAAGCGCTTTGTAAGCACCGTGTTTATTATTATTATTATTGCTTATGTTTTTGAGACAAGTCACAAGACTAGAGCAAATGATTTAACAATAACGAGAAGAAAAAACAATAATTTTAAGCCACATGCATTCAATACATGTAGCTTGATTAACTCATTGAAATGTGGCATGGAACTATTAATCAACCTCTCTTTTAGAACTAGTACCAGGCACTATTTCATCAATTTTAATTTCATCTGAATATTTCTTTACATCTATTTTCAAAGTGTTTTGATAAGCTCGATACACATCTGTATTTGAGTGGTTGCCTGTACCAAAATGCAGTGAATATACTTGTATCAAAATTGCTACAAATAATCTATAGGGCATGCCAACACATCAAAGTTCATGTCTACAAACTGAGTGCCAAGTGATAGATTACATACGACCACAAATAATCTAACTTAATGAAAAAGGAACAATTCCAGATTTGGCCAAAACTGGCCATTTTAGAATTATTGCGATGGACCATATGACAAATTAAAACAAGGACATACGTTAATATACATACCAATAACGGTAACTTTGACACGTGCGGTGTCGGAACCGGAGTCGTTCTTGACGGTGATGGTGTAGCGGCCGGCGTCCTGGCGCTCGGCGCTGTCCACCTTTAGCTTGGTGTAAGTCCTGGCGGTCGTGACGAGGACGCGGCCGGACTCCTTGACCGGACTGGATCCCAGTTCCCAGGTGGCCGTTGGGGTAGGGAAGCCGGTCAAGGGGAGGTTGATCTCAAACTTCTCACCTCCCTTGACCTTGATGTCCTCCAGGCTGCCGATGTCCAGCTTGGGACGTTCTGCAAAGTAAAGCCCCAAGAGACGGTACTTGGTCAAGTTGAATTTCATTTGTTTCTATCCCCTGATATCCCCAGTCACACTGACGAAGACCAACACTAGGGCCCTATTTCACAAAACTTGTCATCAGTGACAAATGACAGTTTTTGTTATAAGCTAGTGAAATCCTTGCTTCTGATTGGTTATCAGCAGATTTGTCACTAATTTTGTCATTTGTCATTGAAAAAAGGCTTTGTGAAATGGGTCCCAGAAAGACATTGGACCACACAAAAAAGTATATTCCCAATTGGTCAAAAATTGGTGGGTTTGGAGTCAGTTTGGCAGTGTGACTGAGGTTTAACCCTCATCCCTGGCATGGAGGCCAAACCCTACCCAAGATATTATTGACAAACAGGATTAAGAAACCTTGGCCTTGTTTCATGCGACTTGATATCAGTGAGAAATTACTGTAACTGCTACAAGCTACAGATCATTGTATACGATTGGCTGATAGCAAATTTATTACAGATTTGTAGCACTTTTTTTTAAATAAGAAGTTTAATGAAACATGGCCCTGGATTTTTCTTTCCATGACTTTCTTAAATGGTAATAACAAATACTGAACAGAAACATTACTGACTAAGAAAGCAAAATACAAGTCTTAATACTCATAATAAAATAATAATAATATAGCTACGTTTATATTGCACATGTATATATCATAAGGGTTGATCAAGGCACCTATACAGTTGTATTTATACCCGAGCTTTAGCCCAGCTGTCCTACAGCACTAAAAGCATTCAAGTACTGAGTTCCTGCCAGGTACCCATTTATTACACCTGGGTGAAGAGTGGAAAATGTAGATTTATGCCTTGCCAAAGGACACAAATGCTGCAGTGGGACTTAAAACACAAACCATATGATCCACAGACTTATCCATTTGGCGCCGCCTCTACAAATAAATACACCTTTACATAGAAATATTCATTCATAAACACATCCATCTTCTTCAAAACTTAGAATGCTGGAGAAAACATGTGACAGCTAGGATTGATCGATTTGAACTTAGAAATGGTGGAATAATCTTGATCTAAACCTGGCTTATCCTCGATGACGGTTGCTGGGGTAGGTGCACTTGGTTTGCCTGGGCATTCATCGTTGTTGGCCCTGACACGGAACTCAAGCTCCTCTCCCTCGACAAGGTCTGGAACCACTGCAGACTCCTCCTTGGGAGACACCTCAAGACACTGTCGATATCAAACAAAGTTGGATTATGTTTAATACCCCTTGAGGAAAAGACCTGGGGGTGTTTCACAAAGATTCTAAGTCAAACTTAACTCTAAGTTGGACTTAAACATTATGGAGAGCCATATGTAGCCTTAAAATAAAATATATTCAAAAGCAAAAATTCAAGTAGTTTTAGACTTTTTATAAATTCCACATCGATAACATGAAATCTCCTTGATGATAGGAAATATAAATGATTTGAATCAACATTTTGTGCCTTTTAAAATAACTTTTACAAAATATTTTCAAAGATGCTAACAGCTTTCCATAATTGTTAAGTCCAACTTAAAGATAAGTTCAACTTAGGATCTTTGTGAAACACCCTCCTGCTTGAAAACACCTCATGATAAAAGTGGAATCATATATTTTATTCAAAAAATTTAAATCCTATCTCAAATTCTTGCAACGTTTACTTTGTGACAGTGTTTAACTCTGAGCTACAATGCATATCATACTACTTCTTAATCGTATGTTTGGCAGTACCCTTTTCTATTCTTATTTATCGTGTTTAAGTGCAGTCTTTGAACTCTGTACTTGTTATAGAATGATAACTTAGACTACCACAATGTTTGCAGTATATACAGTACACAATATACATGTGACAATAGTCGACTGTGGCAATCCAACGATTCTTCCATTAATGGATTAAAGCAGGTTAAGGGTTAAAGATGCTTTTGTTTGACTTTCTCTCTGCTGGACGAGTGTAACAGATCTTTATCTCTGAACAGAAATGAGATACTGAAAAACCACCGTTCAAAACAGAAGCCGTACTTTATAGTGCAAAAGTTGGTCTTTACGTCTTTAAGGGCTAGCTTGGTGCAGCTCCTGTATCCAGAGGTCTGTTTTTAACTTTTTACCTGCTTTGGACAACTAATGTATGTCAGTGGACTGCCAAACTTGACTTTTGTCACACAAACAGATTTCATAGCATCACAGTACTCCGAACATGACAGCATATAGATACAGTCAAACCCGTCTATAGCGACCGCCCAAGGGAAACACAAAAGGGGTCTTTGTAGACAGGTGCTTTCAGTACATGTTTCAATAAGAATCCATTTTCAAGGGAAACAAAAAATGTGGTCTTTGTAGACTGGTGGTCCTTGTAGACAGGTGGTCACTAAAGCACAATTCACTGCACATAGAGAGATGACTCAGGTCTACTTACAGGAGTCCAGTCTCCCTTGGGACCTGGACCAGCCTTCCTCTTCTCAATGGTGTATCCCTTGATAGGTGCTCCTCCGTCAGATACAGGCTTGGACCAGGAGATAGCAGCAGAGTCCTTGGTCACCTTCTCCAGGGTTGGTCTGCCTGGAGCATCAGCAGGAACTAGTCAAGAAAGAAAAAAAGAATGGAATACAGCGTCATTGAACATTAAGTCCTCAGGACCTTCAGATTACAGGAGCTGTATCCCATCTCCTCAGCTGGGGAAACACATGTAAAGATACCAAATTGCATATTATTTGCATTGTTATAGTAAACAATGCAAAACTTTCCAAACAGAATGAAAATGAAGAATTCCAATAGATCTTTTAATGAAAGCTTCTTCTTTTAATTTTGTAGCATGTTAGTGTAGGCAGGTTAGGGCCATTAAGGAAAACACAAAAGGATGTCTTCAAGCTATTTAATGTACTGGTACCTACATTTTGTATCAATCTTGTTCATTTCTTTTTAAACACCTTTTTATTAGGAAGAGCAAACAACTTGAAAGGTGTTTTTTTCTTCTTCAAATTAAATAATGCCTTGAATAGCAAACTGAATGTCATTGCCAATCCTAATAAACTTCTCTTACGGATTGGATCCTTGGCCACCACTGATTCAGATGAGCGGCTAGGCTTGCCCTCTCCTGCATCGTTGGCTGCGATGACCCTGAACTGGTACTCTGTGCCCTCCCTGAGGTTGGGCACGGTGTAGACTGTGTCCCTGATGGGGAAGGAGTTGGCACGCTGCCACTCCCTGGCATCTGTGGGGTGGAACTCCACCAGGTACCCGGTGACGGGGCTGCCACCATCGTGATCAGGAGGTGCCCAGGACAGGTCTGCACTGATGCGGCTCATGGCATCTATCTTTGGTGCAGATGGTGCATCGGGCTCATCTAAAGGGGGATATGAATAATGTATCATTAAAAAAAACAATAATGACAGGTACTTGTATAGTATAATCATAATCTACACTGCAGGATTTTATGTAAATTGAGCTGTAAGTGGAGCTGTATAGCTTCCATGGTTGTATATATCTACAAGCGTAGCAACCTAGGAGCAATAATAACTCATACAAAAATAACTGACTCGACCTAAAGGGAGTTGACAGCTGGTTTAGTGGTTCAATTTTAGATCTGCCCACATAATAACCCAAGTTTGAATTTAAGTTATATCTTTAAGATGGCGACATTCAAAGGGAGACCAAAGCCTTTTAACACTGATATCTGATTGTCTTTAGAAAATTTTGGAAAGGATCGGGGTAAAATCCTACATGCAGATTGCAAAAGTCAATGTTCGGTACAAGTTCTTACCGAACGGAAGCTTGACCTTAACCTGGCGTCCTTCGAGGGGCTCACTGGTACCGTACTGGTTGATGGCACAGATACGGAACACGTAGTCGTTCTGGTAGACCAGGTCCTTCACCACACAGCTTGTGGTGGGTGCATTGGATGTGACCCGGGTCCAGAAGTCCTTCTTGGGGTCACGGCGCTCCACGGAGTAGCCGGAGACGGAGCTGTTGCCGTCTTGCTCTGGAGCCTTCCAGGTGAGGCGGACAGATTCCTTGGTGAACTCGGAGTACTCGATGGGGCCTCCTGGTGCAGTGGGTCGGTCTGTTGTAGGGATAAGAAAGTGGGTGACATGACCAATCTTCAGAACAGTGAAAAATTATGAGCAGTATGATTATTTTTTATTGTAAAGTCCACATTAATACATGAATCGAAGGTTGTGAATTGAGGAACAGACAGCAAGAAAGATGATACAAGGATAAATTTCACGTAAAATAACTACCCAACAACACTCAAAGAACTATCAAGCAAATCATAATCATATGGTGCAGCAAAATAGAATAGTCCTTCTTTAGTCATATATGTACCTTGTTTTAAATGCCTGTTTCATAAAGTAACAAAGCTTATAGAAAGCATTCTATTCAATGTTACAATCCTTGGTCACCCCAAGACTTTGTACAGCTTGCACCATGTAATGTATTTCTTGTATTGCACTTCTAAACAAGAAGAGATTTCTTCAGTGACTAAAATTCATTGGGATGATATCATGTACTCTTCCAAAAGAAACAAACATCCCAACGTCAAATATCATCTTAATACTTACCCAAGACAAGTACATTGAGTGAATAGCTGTCTGATCCGCGGCTGTTGTCCAGCTTGATCATGTACGAGCCCTGATCACCGCGCTCGGCGAAGGAGCAGAGCAGGGTGGAGTTGCTCTCGGTGGTATCGACGGTGAAGCGATCCGATGGCTTCATCTCCTTGTTGTCCTTCACCCATTCCACCCCAGGAGCTGGGGCACCGACGAACGGGACGTTGATGTCGAAGCGAGCTCCTGCCTTAATACGGAGGTCTCCGAGGCCGAAGCCACTGGTGTCAATCTTTGGCGCCTCTGTAGGAAGGTTGAAGAAAAGTTTATTTCAATTATGAGTTGCATAAGTACATGTAGTTGAAACTACAAAGGGAGCAACAAAATGAATGTATCATCATTTTTATGACCTTACTCAAGAGTTTTTGTTTACTTCTGCTTTTTAAACTCATTAGAGCCATTTTAAGCTACATTCAAATTGCGCTTTAAATTGGTGTCACCCTAGCACAAAAACAGAGATGTTGTTAGATACCCAGAACCAGTGAGATAGAACATGGGTCTGACCCACATTGGCCCCCAATTTTTTTTAAACTCCGGACCGACATAAATTTAAGAAATCAAACGGGGGGACCATGCATACAAACCCTTAAAACAATCAGAAAGAACCTCCTGTGAAAATAAGTAACTGTTGAGCCTTATCATGTGCAAGTATATTGTTTAATTACTCCGCTCCTTGACAGCAGGTGCCCTAGATGAACAAAACATGAAAGGAGAGTGCATGACTAACCGAACTGTGCCTTGGCGACATGGTGATCAGACTCCGGGCTGGGGGTGCTGAGGCCAGCCCTGTTTTCGGCAAACACCCTGAAGAGGTACTCGCGGCCGGGGATCAGGTTGGTCACGGTGTAGGCCAGCGTCTTGACTGGCTCACGGGTGGCCTTCACCCAGCGACTGCTGCGAGACTCCCTCCTCTCAACGATGTATCCGCTGATCTTGTCTCCTCCATCAGATGATGATGCGGTCCATTCGAGGTCAGCGGTGGTCTTGTCGTAGGTCGGGATGCTGGGTTTTCCTGGAGAGCTTGCAGCCTCTGTAATTGTTCATTCATTTAAAAAAAATTGATTAGAACATATGGAGAATACGTGTATGAACAGTAAAAGGATTACAAAAACAGAGCGCAGAATTAAATGAAATGTTAAAGTCTATGAATAAAGAAGAGTGTGAAATATAGAGGTAATTATCATCATGTATAATGAGAAATCCCTCCTGCAATGTCTGTCATTTCTTTAATTTTGATCCCTTCTGTGCCATGTGCAGCGAATCTTGGCAAAGATCTTGCGTGTTTTAGTATAATTGTTTTTTTTTCCTAAAAAAGTAATATGTACCAGCACTGCAATCTTTTTCCCCTAAGAAAATCTCTTTATGCCACATCTTACAATGAAGCAAGCATTGCAAATTGATTCCTCTGAAAGATCATTTTGTGACATTTCTTCAAAACTAGGTAGCACAGGATGGGATAATATATACAGTATTTATCAATACAGCAATTGCAAAAGAATCCATTAGATCATTTACCAACAATAACTTGAAGCAAAAAATAAGGATGATATCCACCGACTTACCATAAGGATTCTTAGCCTTCACCATTTCAGATTCCAGGGGCTCACTGGTGAAGCCAGCTGAGTTCTCAGCACGCACCCTGAACTTGTAGTTAGTCCCCTGGTTGAGCTTGGTGGCTACTCCCTTAGGGTCCTGGCAGAAGCCAGTCACCTTGGACCAGTAGTCGTCGTCGCCCTCCGACTTCTCGATGATGTAGTTGAGGATATCGCTGCCTCCGTCGTCTTCGGGTGCCTGCCATGCCAGCGAGCATTTGTCAGCGAAGACGTCGGAGATCTCGATAGGTCCACGTGGAGGACTTGGGCGATCTGGAATGGGAAGGTAGACAACATTGAATGACTGAAGGAAGTGAAGAACACTTTTATTACAGCTTGCATTACACTAGTCTTTGCATTAAATATGGACACAAAGTTTCCATTCAACTTGAACTAAATAGGACTACAAACATGGTTGTTTGATCGATATTGGTAACTAACTTTATCCATGCCATGGGTGGTAAATTCCACTCAACACCCTAAAGAGTGTTCTACATGTACATGTACATGTTTAGGCTTATATGTTGTTAGTTGTATAAAGATAGTTTTCTTTAAATGACTAAATACTTACACATATGTAATAGCTTTTTCGTTTACAAGGGTTTATCCTTGAAACAGAATCAGAACTCCAACTTCAAACTCTTTAAAATTTATCCAGATAGTTATTAATCAACTTAATAAAGTAAACAGGGGCTTAGAAATGAAGATTATCTTGGACTAACAATTGAGTTACATGTAATGCCTTCACACCCAAACAAATCCCAGAGAGAAGTCTTATGATCTCACCCTGGACAATGACATTGCAGCTTGTCTTGACATCGCCAGAATCATTGGTCAGTTTTAGCTCGTAGGTTCCAGTGTCTGACTTGTCGGCCATCTTGACCTTGACCTCGGTCAGTTCCTCCTCGTTCTTGAGGCCCACATGGTCTGAACCAGTGACCTTATTACCATTGAGAGTCCAGCTGATCTCTGGGGCTGGGGCAGCCTCGAAAATAACGGAGAGGACAAATTCCTGGCCAGCCTTGATCTTGATGTCACGCAGCTTATCTCCCTTGAGTGTGGGGCGAGCTGAAAAGCACAAACACCATCAAGTACAGGAGAGGTTAGAGGGGGCTATTACCTAACTTTTCTACTGGGTTGCCAGCTAGGCAACCTACGTGATTGTTTAGGTTGCCAAACGCGACTTCTAATGTCTATCAACAGTGAGGGGCACACAATAAAATGGAATGATAACAGTGATATTCTTTTAATTCCTAGAAGGGCAACGAAACCAGGATGTTAAGAGTGTCTGGCAGAATAGTAATCAATCATTAGCACTCTGGTAATTGCAGATTTTGTGCCCAGGTTAGCAATCCTGTTAAACAGAGACTTTCATACTTTACATGTACATCACATTTTCAACAGCTATATTCTTGTGCTACAGAGTATAAGGACATGACATTCTATGTTATAGACGTTGGTGGAAGTTGGGCAGGGTCATCAGCATTTTGAGGATTCAAAAAAAGTCCCAAGAAACTCACCAAACTTTGGCTTTGTCTTCTGGGGTGCCGAGCACTCGCTGGGCTTGCCAGTACCAGCCTTGTTGACGGCCGCTACCCTGAACTCCAGTTCCTTGTTGACCGGGAGGTTGTCCACCTTGTACTTGGTGCCCTTGACGGGGCTAGTGGTGACCTCCTGCCAGCGGGTGCTACCTACCTCTCGCTTCTCGACGACGTAGCCCTCGATGGGTGCACCACCGTCCTTCTTGGGCTTGGCCCACTCGAGCTCGACGAAGTCCCTGTCAAAGTCAACGACTGCTGGTACGCCTGGTGAACCGGGCTCATCTGTGAAATAAACAATGTGCATCAAGTATGAGATGCAGAACTACAGAACTGTACAGAAGATGTAGAGCAAAGTTCTTACAGGGGACCAATCAACAAAAACGTGTTCCCTCTGTATAATTTAAAGTAGCATCCTGCATAAAAAATATCAGCTTCAATATTACTACAGTAACTGTAAAGAGGTATTGCAAGACAGTTTTATTACAAGAACTGCAGATATAGATATAGAGAAAAGCGACTTGTGAGAAAATGAGTCAACACATCCAAATAAAATTCTGAAAATTTGGAAAATGCATTAAATCATCTTATGACATCAAAATACTGATTTGACATACCATATGGGTTCTTGGCAACTACAGACTTGGAAGCTTCAAGCCATTTGCTGACTCCCTCTGAGTTCTCGGCTGCAACACGGAACATGTACTCAGTGCCTTCCACAAGACGGGTCACCTAATGAGGTTTTAAATACAAATTGTAGAATGGTGTATCATCTTCTGTTCATCTTCGGTTACAATAAATTCAGTGAAGTTCATTAATTGCTTTCCATTCAACTGAATTACAAAATCTACCGGTATTTAAAGCACTTGCTAATAATCTGGAAAATTATGTTTGAAGTTTTGGGAAACAAGGTGAATTAATAGTATGTCCAAAGAAAGGAGGAAATTATAGCTTTTTAAATGAGGTTAACAGCAAGAATGAAGTGTGTTGTAACTACAAGTATTTACAAATTATAACTATTCAGAATATAAATATATATATTCATATATGTTATTGCGAATGTTGTAGATATGTGAAATAAAGTTCCCTGAAAGGGTTAAAAAGAAAGGAAAACAAAAAAATTACTTTTCAGAAATATGTTACAAAAACAGTATTTTGTTTTCTTTGTTTTCAAAGGCTGCTATTTTATTGATCATGGCGATGTCTCCTTGTATAGTACTTGTATCTGCCACTGCCTAAGCCAAACTGAGCTAGTAATCATACTTGGTGATTACAAGCATATTACTGCCCATCAACACAAGTTACTTTGCAAAGGCTCTTTTTACCAATACATGTATTTTTGTAAAGGATTCTAGTCCAGGCCCATACCTTCATAGTGGTATCCTTGGTGGTGTCGTTGATGACAGACCATCCCGATCGGCGGACGTCACGTCTCTCCACGATGTAGTTGGAGAGAGGAAGTCCACCGTCATCTTCAGGTGCGTTCCAGGTGAGAGTGAGGTACTCTGAGAAGATATCAGTGATCTCAAGAGGAGCCTTAGGCGCAGATGACTTGTCTAGAGGAAAAAGAATTTTAAAATCAATGTTGAATTCCTATACTTGATCAAGAAAATAGGGATGATTGTCTAGAGGAAAAAGAATGTTAGAATCAATATCGGATTTTTATACTTGATCAAGAATAAGGGGATGATATCATTCTTTTTTAACAAGTTAGACATTGGTCAAAATCACCAAATTGACTGCACTTTATTACAGCCAGCATGTACACAACACTATAACTGAAATTAATTTCAAGCTAGATCCTGGTAAAAAGCAATTACTGGTTAGTCATCATTCCCATAATCATGAGAGTGTCTTGCAGAGGGGTCATTATTTTACATATCAAATATCTAGACGAAGCTTTCTTACCTATGACAGTGACTTGTGCGGTGGCAGTCTCTGTACCGTGAGCGTTTTGGACAGTGACAGTGTAGCCACCAGAATCTGCTCGGGCAGCTCCCCAGGTAGACATCTCCGACTCCACAGGGGTGCTTCGCATCTGAGAATAAAATGCATGAGTCGTTATTGAAACTTTTATTCTTCAATATTTGATCATCATCTACAGTGCTATTGAATATTAAACGTATGGTGTTAAGCACCGAAAGAGACCTAATGTACATCTGCATTGGGTATCATTTCTACCATGTAGTATGGTACTACTGTCCAAGTCCATCAATTGGAACTGGGGTAAATACAAGATTTTGAACCTGAAACACCCCTCTCCCCCCTCTCCCACCCACCCACCCTCCCTCAAGTTGTTCTAACCACAGATATATACGTGTACACCTTCTAAACACCAAACATTCCTGACTCTAAGATTTGGGTCTGCACAAACAAAATGTATGTCATCATAATGGAATACTTGTGAAAGAGAGTGCAAGAAATGCTTGTTACCACAGTCAAACCTACTTTAGCAATCCTACTGTATGGAAAAACGACATGTCTACAGATCGAGCCACTATATTGTTTCATTACCTTTGAAATAGTGTATCTCATTGGAATATGTGTTGAAAGAAGTCTGCACCTGCGTATAAAGATTATTTATTGAACATATCTCAACGATGGTCTTTCTATTCAGGTTTGCCTGGGCTGACAAATTCTTACATTCTTTTACAAACAGCAATGATTTCTAGACTGATATATTCTGGAAAGGGGATAATCAACCTATACATGTACAAGAGAAGTTCATGATTGCCATCTTACCTTGACCCTCTCATCGCCGACCAGTTCCTTGGAGCTGTGAGACCATTTGGCGGTTGGGTAGGGGGTTCCGGAGAACTTGAGGTTGAGCTTGAAGGTCTGTCCAGCCTTCACCGTCTGGTCTTTCATGTTCTTCAGCTCAAGCTTGGGTGGGACTGGTAAGAGAAACAAGTTTTAATTGAATTTGCAAGTCCACAAGAGGTATATGGTCTTGGAAACAAGGAGATACTACTAATTGACATTCATATCAAATGGTTTTTATTCACAAATCCTGTCCTTCAACCTGTGAAATAATTTTTCTATACCCTATTTTATCAAGTTAGTTACAAATGAAAGCTTTTGATATCAGCAATTGATATCCTTTCTAAATAATGATGGTGATTAATTCTCTTGTTAAAAAGAAAAACAACTTGTGGGGCTCCTTGTGATTTCTCATTCAACCAAACCTAAACACTGGCAACTCAGTATGCATGTTGCTGGTCAATGAAGAATAGCATAAGAAAGTAACCTGCAAGTCGCAAACACTCTCATGCTGTATGAATGTATCTGTTATCCACTGAAGCCCATAACTTACATTTTTCTATCATATTATAACTTTGATAACATAAGATTATATCATTAGATGATTATATGTAAAAGTAGGTTGTTGACAGGTACCAACTTTGGGTAGCCTTTTATGAAATATCACAAAAAAGGTCCCTGGTAAATCTGCAGTTAAAAAGCTTACTTTCAGGATCCTTGGCAGTGATTGCTCCCGTCTTGTTGGATGGCTGACTGGGACCGGCCTCGTTCTCGGCGATAACTCGGAGATCGTAATCTTGTCCTTCCTCAGCAGGAACCTATACAAAGAAAACGACGTAAAAAATTACAAAGCATGTCAAGAAAAGAAAATACGGGATGACATAGAAATTGGAAGTCAATTATACTACATAGTTGATGGATGATAAGTACAACAAGACAAAAGAGTTGACACTCTTCATATTTTCAGAACAACATCAAACTGAGGGGTATTTCTTGAAGGGACCACGGGATCGCTGTGTACAAGATTTGTACACCAATTAATGGTATCTTCACCAAGTCTAGTGCCAGCAAGTTATGACCTACCGCACATGTAAACTGACTACCATCTTCCTTTAAAGCGGGACTGCACTACTTGTAGCTACTCACGCCCTCTATATAGCCAACAATGCCTGAGCGGTAACATTGGTCCCCCATGATCCCCTTTTTCTTAAGTTCATTGAGAGCTGATTTGATAAGATAACCACCTGTCAGCTAGTAACCATGCAGGGAGGTATAATCCCTCCGGGCCAAACTAGTGCAGATATGCTTTAACAACTTCATCTATGGAAGTTCAAGGAATTCAGTATCAAGTAGACTCACAGTGAACTTGGTTCCCCTGATGGGCGACTTGTTGACCCTCTCCCACCTGTTGGTGTCTGGGTTGAGCTTCTCTACGTGGTAGCCCGAGATGGGGCTGCCTCCGTCCTGCTTGGGCTTGGTCCATTCCAAGGGGATCTTGTCCTTGGTGACGTCACCCACGACAATGTCTCCTGGTGCAGAAGCAGGGTCTGGAGTGGAAGACAAAAGAAAAGATGAGAATCATAAACTGACAGATACATGAAAGTAAAGCTGGTTAAAAACAGTAGGCTTACAGTTGCACCATGTGAGAAAGGGGGAGGATTGGGGAGTCCTGAAAAGGTTACTCTAAAGTATAACATGAGAGGTCTTTGCAGTCTGAAGATGAGGTTCAGACCGAAACTTACAAATGGATTCAGAGAAACAAGCTGTAGTGTGCAATTATACAGAAGACTGTGCACTGCTACGGAACTATTAATGCATAGCAATTTAATAAACATCAGAATCATATCTTATCACAACCATCCAACTGTGGAAGTCATTTCTCAAGCATCAAATGAGCGGTCCTTATGACAAACCGTGGTCTGAAACGCGTCAAAAAGCATCATATGACGCACATAAACCTAGGCTTGTCTACTAACCTCCTTTGTGAATTCGGGCCATTAAGTGTAAAATGAAGGGAGTTTGGAGCAGAACTTACCAATGGGTTCCCTGGCGAGAGCAGCATTGCTTGGTTTGCTAGGCTCGCTGGTTCCGACCTTATTGCTGGCTGATATCCTGAATTGGTATTCAGATCCCTGGGTAAGACCTAGAATGGAACAAATCAGGAAAAAGATATATCTTGACATCCTCGGAGAAGACCTGAAGCCGTCAGTCCTCTGGTTGCTTAAATACTAACAAGCATTTATGCTTACTTGGCAGTCCGACAGGTAAAATAACCACCACTACTACTATTATATTGGCTTTGTTTTGTAAGCTGTTTCTCATGAACAGTGCTGTCTTTACAGGATAGAAGAGTTCTGTTAATGATGGAAAACATTTTGTGAGCTTTCTTTTTCTTTTTTATTCATTCGCGGATGAATGTCATTGAAGCGATGTCATATGAAACCCTCGAATAGGACGTTGATTGGAGGCCCTGTGTAGTAGAAGAGAGTCACCACCTTTATAGGTCAAGAACCCACTGCACTATTCTTTTAAAAGAAGGGGAAAACCTGGTGTAGTCGTCCACCTGCACACCCTAATCAGTTATACAGGGAAGAGAGACTTGAGGGTTACAGTTCACTTTTCGCCTCCCAGGCACAGGTGATGCCGAATACTTAATAATAATAATAATAATAATATTTCAAATAAGATGAGAAATAGTTAGTTTTGACGCAAGTTTGATCGCATCAGGTTCACTTGTAACTTCTTTCTTTATAAAGTCAAGCCAATGGCAACTATGATCACTCACCAGTTACGGTGTGCTTGGTCTTGTTGATGTCCTCCTTGGTGGCCTTGGACCATCTGTTGCTGGAGGTTTCCTTCTTCTCCAACATGTATCCGGTGACGGGACGTCCTCCGTCGAATCCTGGTTTGGACCACTCCAGAGAGATGCAACCGTTGGCGGTGGCTATGACTTTGGGTGCGTCAGGAGCATCAGGGGGTTCTACATCCAAGAAGAAAATTAAGATTAAGTACCATCAATTCTTAAGTATAGCAATGGTAGGGAGATAAATAATCCATCAGGAGGGCGTTTTACAAAACTTGTCATCAGTGATAAATGACAGTTTTTGTTATAAGCTACTGAAATCCTTGTTTCTGATTTGTTATCATCAGAGTTGTTACTGATCTTTGTCATTTGTCAATGAAAAAAGGCTTTGTGAAATGTCCTCCTGTTCTTTTGGAGCTTGAAGATACCTAGTTCCAAACCAAGTCAATGAGCTTGAGGCATAAATGTACATGTATATATATTATCTTGTCATTCAATATAATCATTAGCAGCAGCAGCAGAAGTAGTAGGAGCACCATAATCATCATCATCACCGTATCGTCATCATCATCACTATATCATCATCGTCATTACCATCATTATTACCATCATCATCGTCATTTACTTATTCCCATCATCATCATAATCGTCATCATTAATTAGTATGTCCTCACTATTTCAACCACCACTTTTGCTATCATCAACTCCATAATCATCATCACTACCACCACCACCACCACCACCACCTCCATCACTACCTCCACCAAAACACCATCCCTACCACCATCACCATCACCACCACCACCACCACCACCACCACCACCACCACCACCACCACCACCACCACCACCACCATCACCACCAACACCACCAACCTTCACTATAAACACATAATCATGAGATAATCATAATCATAATTACCTGATGGTTCCTTGCACAGCTGAGGTTTGTCAGTCTGAGTTGGTTTGCTCGATCCCACAGCATTCACTGCAGAGACCTGGAAGAGGTACTCCTTACCCTCGGTGAGACCAGTGACTTGGTAGGTCTTGTCACGCACCCTGCTTTCAGCCACCTGTATTCAAACCAAGAGAACATGAGTAATTTTTTTAATGAACCTTGTGATCAGACATCAAATTCATTAAAAGTTTGTACACATTTGTGCCCCATTGTACATCAAAGTTCTTCACAATTAACTTCAGGAGTCAGATATGTGTGTGATCTGGATCATTTACGACAGAACAATGTTTTCGAAACAGACATCAAACGGATGTTCAAAGAAGACAATTCTTGCAGGATACAGTATCACTGCAAAGACCCCATACTTTTGCCCCGAGAGCAGATACAATGGTGAGTCAGCGAGAAGTGCATGGAGGACACATGGTCACCAGCTGTTCAGGATAGTGATTCACAAAGACTAAGATCAAGTTGAACTTAACTATGGCATGCAGTTCATAGTAGTTCCTCTAAAATATCCTGACATTGGTTTCTCAAGGGATGTACAAATCGTGGTCACAAATCTAAGTTTTTTGATAGTTCATTTTTGAAGGAGAAAATATTATCTAGGATCATAATTGAGAGACCAATGGTGCGAGCAACCGGTGGCATGAATGGCCTGCCATGGTTAAGTCCAACTTAAAGTCGATCTTAGTCTTTGTGAAACACCCCCCTGATTATACAGAATTACAGTGGACCAGGGGGGCATTTCACAAAACTTGTCATCAGTGATAAATGACAGTTTTTGTTATAAGCTACTGAAATCCTTGCTCCTGATTGGTTGTCAACAGATTTGTCTCTAATTTTTGTCATTTGTCATTGAAAAAAGGCTATGTGAAACGGGTCCTAGGTGATAACTTACCTCCCATTTGGTTGCCCTCTTCTCTTTGTACTCCACTTGGTAGTGAGAGACTGGAGAGTCGCCATCATCCGTGGGAGCCACCCAACTAAGGGTGACAGATTCCTCACTGTACGCTGTCACCTTGACATCACTAGGGGATCCAGGGAGATCTGCATGGCAAGGTCAAAAGTCAAAGGTCAAATACAGAAGGTCAAGGACAAAGGTCAAGGATAGTAGGTCTAGTATGAGAGGAAACATCACAATATACAACATGATTCTAATTGTCTGCAGAAGTTCTTTGACATTTATGTTTAATTTTTTCTCTCAGGGCCCAATGTTTGCCTACGGCTTGTACCGTGTAGAATCAATTAGTGTATTTACAGTGGATTCCTTCTATAACCACCTAATCAAAGGTTCTGGAAAAAAGTTACTTTTAATTTTCCGATAACTGTAATCTGGTTCATTCCTAGACTTATTATTCATAGAAGTTTTTTTGGTTTTTTAATGTAGGCAGATTAAATGCAATATCAAGGACGTTCTGCAGTACATTCATGTACACTTTAGCTGCACAGGGCCAGTTTATCAAGTATTTACTATGCACAATACCAGGAACTCTAGGCATTGTGCATGTTGAATACATAACCAGCTGGCCCTGCCCATCTAAGGTGCGCACAAACATCACTGCAGAATGTCCTTAAAAGCTTGAAAGAGCCAGAGAATCAGAGGAACGACCAACAAGCGAAAAAAGAGAAACATTTAGTATTTTCTAGAGAACTAGCTCACCAATGATCTTGACTTTGACGGAGGCCTTCTCGCTTCCATGCTTGTTGCTGATGCTGACAGTGTACTCCGAGGTGTCGCCCCTCGCACACTTCATGATCATCAAGGTGGCATCGTTGGGCGTGGACACGATCTGGATGCGGTCACTTTCGGAGACCTTGGTCGTGCCCTTGGTCCATTCCACGGTCGGGGCAGGGGAGCCGGAGATCTCGAGGTAGAGCTCAACCTGCTCACCGGCATTTGCGGTTACGTCCTTGAGGGTGTCAACCTTCAGGCCTGGCTTCTCTGTTAAGGGGAACAGAGAGCACATACCATCGATATTAGATAAGTCTCTGTCAAACCGCATTGATCAGCACAGTTTTGCAGCTGAGAAAGACTGGAATATCATGGTTGGAATTTCTTCAAGATTATACATAAATATACGATATAACTTTGTATTAATTCTCAAAATAACATCACAGTCACTTGCAAATGTTTAAGTTTTTGCCACTACTCATTAATCAGAGAGGCCAGTTGGTTTCAATCAAGGCCAATACATGTCAGAGAACCAGCCTGATAGACAGACTCAAACGAAGGAGCAACCAGGTCTGAGATTGAGGCAAAAGCCTACAAAAAACTGCCATCTCTTATTTTAATTCTATACTTTGATGCGAACTGCTTGATTAAAGGGCAACCTGTTATAACATGCATTTTGCAAGTTTTAAGAGCTAAAAAACACAAGGCATTTGATGTTAATCAAATTTTCATTTTTTTTAGAATAATGACTTCAATTGCACATTTCACAGAATAAGTCATATCATCTGTTAAATAAAAAATTTCAAAGTATGACTTCAATTATCTTCTATTTTAAACTGTAATCATTATAATTTGCTTGGACAATAGTTGTTTTACAGTAAGTTTTGTATCAAATTGAATTGTACCTAGCTTTATGTTATTGAGGTACTTTATTATCAAACATAAACAGAGGTGTTAATAATTTTTTTTTTTATATGTTTAAGTGTTATTGAATGAACAGTATTATGTGTTGCACTCTGCAACTATCAAAGTTTTTGTTCTTGTTTTACTTATTGAACAATCAGCTCATTGTAACAGATTAAACTTTCCAGCAAACAAAAGATTTCACTTGAAACGAGACAAGAAAACAGCATAAATGACACCCCAAAACGAGGAACTGCCAACAAATATGAATTAAAGGCGAAGCTTACCATTTAAAAAAACCTTACTTTTAAGAAACATAAAAAGCATTATAGGTACAGCACAAAACTAATTTGTTACATCAAGTATTAGATTGTCAGCAACAGCTGACAAAAGATGAAGCTATTAAGAACATAATAATGCCAGTCAATTACAGCCTAAACAGCACTGATCTATTGTCTTTTTTCATTTCATTTTCTTTTTTTGCAGTAACACGGCAGCACCTTCTTCAGTCCCATTCATTGAAGCTTGCCATAAGGAGCAGAATAATGCACCAAAAGCTGTAAGGATTTTCAGCTTTCAAGTAAGAACTACTGTTTTCCATAATTAATCAGCCTTAATGATGCCAAGAATGTCTTTTTTAATGTGTATTAAGACAGAAAAGGTTAGAGCTTTAGTGTTACGAGTCAGTCTGTTTAATCTGTTACTATTATAATGTTATTAAATTGTAAACATAAAATTAAAATCATTTACATCTCAAATCACCTAGTAGACTCAACACCATTAATTCTAATTTCATAGTGGAAAATATATAAAAGCATAAATCAAAAGCCCCAGATTTGTCAGGACCTTGGACTGCAATGCTCTTACAATGATCAATCATTTCCACAAATCAGAGAGCGCATTTGAGGTAACTTCTTTCCTCAATTAGAGATCTTTCTGCCTTTACAAATTATCATTCTAATGTCAACAACACAGAGCAAGTTTAAAGACATTACTTACTTTAAAAACTTAACATCATAACATCATTATCGTACACAGATACTATTCTGATAAGAAACAATTTGTAAAACATATACAACTTGGAACGGATGGTGTTAAAACCTGGTGAAAATGCTCCCAGATTTTGGTGCATTTTTCTACCTGGCATGTTGCGAGCCAAAAGGAATTCACAATCTAGCCCTACAAAAATGTAGACCAAGACCCAAGTACTGATACCTTGCTTAAAGATTTAGAGGTTCTTTCCAGTAGAACATTTATATTTCCCCCTTTTGTGAGCATATTAATGAAGAATCCGACAATGATAAACCAATACAGCAGTATCAATAGGCTACAAAATTTCAGAAACCTTATAAACCTTTTGTCTATGTATATTCAATAAAGTCACGTTTTATTGGGGTTTAATATAAATTCCATTATTCTCCAAAAATTAATTTATTCAAGGCGAATTTTCTGAGATGGATGTCAAAAAAATATATTTTTTAAAATAATTTTATAATTTTTTTCCTCTTGAAAATCACTTTCTTTCAAAAAAATTACTAATTGACTGAAAGCATTGTTTTTTTGCTGGTCATAATTGATTACGTGTACACAATTCCTGGGTCTTCTTCTACACCAGTAGGGTCATGTAAACTTTCTGTCGCCCAACACATCAAGCTTTAATGCACAACAAAATGAGCTCCCTTCCTAAAACTATATTCTACATGAGTTCTGGTATACAGGCTAACTTTGTTTTCTCTCCGAGTAAATCATAAACTATTCATAGGGAACACTTGCATCAGACTCTTATCTAGTGATTGGCCAACATATATGCCTCAAAAATTTCTCTTAATGAGATCTTTTTTTGAGATTAGACAGAGAAATGTCTCCTTTCTTTTTAAAGTCAATGAAAGCAGATATTTAAGCCCTTTCTGTTATTAAAAATGACAAAAACTTTCTCATTTTGTTAAAATCAGTTTAACTATTTAAATAGAGAAATGAAAAGAGTATAGGCTTAAGATGGGAAGTTCATTGAACGTGTGTGCCTCACACATTTGCAATGGGAATAGCTTATCAGAAATAGACCCTATTCCAACTTCTTAACTATTTAACTAACAGTTAAAAGACTTATACCACTTATCTGCATTCCAGATTATCTGCAATCTAGATAGAATACAGATTGCCTGAAACCCTTATGTAAGTTTACTATCAAAATTAACTTTTGGAATGTCTTAAGCTAACCATTAATTAAAACAACAATTCTATCAGATGTGAATTTCACATAAACATCTATTTGTGACTTTATATCATTTTTTTTGTCATCTCCTCCATTCTCCAATGGATTTATTGAGTTTACATTTTTAACTTTGTAGTGTTTCCTTAAATCAAAATATGAAAAACACATTTTTGGTAATCAAATATAAATGTTTTGTTTTAGCTTTTTTTAATATCCAGAATTACTCTAGTTTCATATGGTAGTAGTAAGTACATATTATGTTTTATGTAATATAACTTCTTTAAAAAAAGAAAATTAGTACAGTTATTTAGGTCATATAAATGAATAAAATATATAAAAAGTAAAATTTCAGCAAATGTCCAATCACTCAGCTTTTTCAGATTCTTAAGAATATTACACTCAGCAGCAAAAGTGATATTAGAGAATAAAAGACAACATTTTGTTAATCTGTGAACAGAAACGCTGAAAAGATGTCAAAACAAATTTTTGAAAAAAACAGCGAAAAATTGTATTCTTTGAATAAGACAGTACCAAAGACTTACCTGGTGCAGCTGAGGGTTTTTTTTTGGTTTGAAATATGAGTAATTAAGAGATATATGCATGTTAATTAGAAAAGATGAGAGCACAGCATTTTTTATCAAGTTCATAAGGATGTTTCATGAACCATGTTCAGAACCGATAGTATATAATGAAGTGGAAAACATGCATTAAAGAGACCAGTCACATTCAAATTATCAGTCTCGAGTTTAACTTCTATTTATAAGGAAAAATTACAAATAAGAATATTTCCTAAATGATGGTAAAAGCAATTTTTCGGTAGAATACTCAACTAAAAAGTATGAGCACTTCCACACAGAACCTAAGTCTAGTATATGTTTCTTGTGCAAGTTTTTTATGTTAAACTTTATTTTCTTCATACCGGTACTTATTAGCTTATTTATTTGCCAATCACCCATTGTATGCCATGTGACTTTTTTAGAATATTTTATTTTATTTTATTTTTATGGGGGGGGGGGGGGAGAAGGGGATTGATTTCAATCATACTTTATGATTTATCATTATTTCTAAAGTGATTGGTCCCCTTAAGATGATCAGCTTCAATGGGGAACCCTTTAAATTTGCTGCTTACAGCATTGAAAGGGTTAATATTTGAGAATAGAAGTAGTGTCTGAATTCATACATTCTGATCATCCACTGTCTACTAGATAAGGTTGTTCTCTCTCTAAAGGATTACAAAGTGTTTCTATCTACATGCCGCCATAAGGTATTAATAAGGGACTACCGGGAAAATATTTTTAAATTGTGCATAATAAATGATTCAGGCCAGCATTGTAAAAAGTGGACTAAGCCAAACTGGTTTATGACGTAGTCCTTCAAATAATGGAGCAACAAAGTCAAATATCAAACTTTTGTATGTTTTATGTATTCTTTTTTTTTTTTTAATAGCTAATTTTGCTTTTATATGGTTCAATAAATAAACAAAATAAAACTCTCCATTCTGTATAATAACTGAACTTCTAAAAGCAATCTTATCAAAGATGATAATTTTGTCTTAAAATACAAATGAGAAATCAATTCATGATTTGAGTTTTGTTTCAATTTATTCAGACACAGATCTATGTTTTAACTTTAATTTGAACTGGATGAAGAGGTTGACACGAGGTGCCTCATAATTTAGTGGACTATCAAACTCAACCAACTTTAATAGTCTGGTTTTAAATCTGGCTTTGAAGTAGTCTGCTTTCATCAATACTGGCCTTAGTGTCAAGTTACTCCAGGGGGGTCTTCACACAGATCCTAAGTTGAACTTATCTCCAAGTTGGACTTAACAATTATGGAAAGCCGTTAGCATCTATGAAAATATTTTGTAAAAGTTATTTTAAAAGGCATAAGATGTTGATTCAAATCATTCATATTTTCTATTATCAAGGAGATTTCATGTTCTTGATTTGGAATGTATAAAAAGTCTAAAATACTTGATTTTTCGCTTTTGAATATATTTTATTTTAAGGCTACATTTGGCTCTCCATAATTTTCAAGTCCAACTTAGAGTTAAGTTCGACTTAGGATCTTTGTGAAACACCCCCTAGATGGTGCATCTAGGACAATTCATTCTTCATGCAAGATAGTTATGTGGACCATTCCTACGTGCATTTCACTGTCACTGGATATATTCATAGGCTGAATGATAGTTGACAATTGATAATATACTAAAAACATGTACTGAACATGCATCATTTTTCAAGAATATACTGTGATATTAACTCCTTCATTTTCTTGAAACAAACCAAATACGAAAATTATACAGTCTACTCTCTCAAAGTGCTGACTAAGCTATGTCCAAATATTGTTAACTTTCTAATTTTGCATATCTTGAAATAGGTATGAAAAAAAAGAGAGATCAATCTACATTTTTACTTGTACAAGATGTAGAAAATGCACCATAGATTTTTGTTTCATACTAGACTACAGTACATTTTCTAGGTAGACATCATGCACTGGCAAAGGAATGGAATAAAGCATTCAAGGACGGAAAAGTTTGAAAGAAACTATCCATCTTAGATAATATGAAGTATAACATTTCTGGATTAAGGGCAATACATGTTTGATCATTTTCAAGATACAGTTAAATTTAGAAGATGGTGTTTTATTTTGCAGACCCATTCCGTGCTTTAAGAAGAAGAAAAAAGAGTCAGAAACTGTGCACCTACCTTGGATCTTGAGCGTTGAATAGGTGGCGTTGGCCTCGTCCATGGCGCAGGCATAGCGACCTTTGTCCTCCGGCTGGACATCGTGGATGACCAGCTTCCTGGTGTTGCCGTCGGAGATGACCTCAAACTTGTCTGAGGATTCCAGAGGGGCATTGTCCTTGAACCAGAAGACCTCGGCCTCTGGAGCAGTGACCTCGGTGACGAGTTCAAAGTCCTCACCAGCGAAGACCTCTGATTGAGGTGCTAGCTTGGCAGACATACTGGGTGCCTCTGTCAAGGGTCAAAGGACAAAGGTTATAAAAGGAAGATTATGTTTAAGATGCTGTTGGTTCATACTATTCATGCCCAACAAGTTTTCACATTGTGAAGCTACTATACATCAGAAAGGATTTGCAGAATGATGATTGACATCATTATTTGATAATATCAATAAAATTAAATATGTATAAAGCGCTATTAACATCTGATTCAAAGAGCTGGAAAAAGAAAAAGAAAACCAATAACAGAACCTTTTAGAGAAAAATACAGATACAATAAATTACATGAATTACATAATTCAAACAAATAACTTCTGCATCTTTCTCCAATGTTTTCAAATATTCAGAATAGCCTTTTCAAATACAATGCAGAGAAGAAAAGATTTTACAGATGACTTTGACAAACAGTTATCTTCTTTGAGGGAGAGGCTCATGTTTTATAAAAATATAAAAGGATAATTTGATGTGAATTTCGTATACTCACCGATGACAGCAACACTTCCTGTGGATTCCAGCTTGCCAAACTTGCATGTGTATTTGCCTGCATTTTCAGCTTCGGCCTTGTCGAAGATGAGTTTCCTCGTGCCCATCTCCACGTCGAGTCTGACATTATCGTTGCCGGTAAATGGCTTGCCATCCTTGGTCCATTCCACCTGGTCAACAAGAATATGATCAATGATGAGGAGAGAAGAAGAAAATTAAACTGACATTGCACAAACTTTTCATACCTGTCGACCTTTCACAGCAAATATCAGGAATCTATTCTCTCAAGGTGAAATTAGGAATAGTCTATTTGTTTACTTTTTCCACAGAAGATTTCAACAACAAAAAGACTTGAGGGTTCACAACATTAGTTTACAAGCCAAAGAATATTATGTATCCTTCCTTCAAAACAGGAATAGGAATGATTGGTAGCTATGGATATCTTTAAAAACTTTAAATGGTCCCACTTATTTTAAACTTTTCCCAGTCTGTTTCTCTCCCTCTCCCCCTATCTTTGCTTTTATATAAATAAACTTATAACAAAGGTTGGATCGCCCTCTCAGTACTTTACCTTAGCTTCTGTGTCGGTGATCTCACATTCCAGGACTCCAGTTCGTTTCTCAACAATGCTGATATCCTTCAACTCTTGCAGGAACTTAGGCTTAGCTGGAAAAAAATAAACATTTTCATTTTGATAACTTTGTACGCATGAATCAAAACGGACGGTGATTAATATAGGGTCGCACAAGGTCGAAAAACATACAAAAAGACGTGTAGATATCAGGAATTTATCTGCTCATCCACCGTCACCAAATATAAAGCACTTTTAAAGAAGGTAACCTGGAAAAGAGAATTCTTAAACAAGATCTCTCCTCTAGTAATAAATATTGCATTCACCATTTCAAGCATCTTCTAGTCTCTCTCTTTCTCTCTCTCTCTCCCCCTCCCCTCTCCCTCCATTCAATCTTCCTTTTATTTGCCTTTCTCTTTCCCTTCCTGCCCATCTGTATATCCACATCTATCCCCTCTCTTCCCCTTCTTGTGTTCTATTTTTCGTCCAACTATGCAGTATGTTATGCTCTTGCAAATTCAAAACATAAGTGAATCAATAGTTTTGACATAAGAGACTGCAATGTGCAGTACTTTTGATTTATCATTGTAATGTATTATCTCTCATTTATCATTTTACAATGGATAATGTATAATAATAATAATAATAATAGCTCACATTTATAAAGCGCCTAATACTTTGTTTCTAGGCGCAGCACATTTTATTACACCGGTCATCAAATTCAGGCTTATCCAAACACAATAAATGCGCATTTTCCACTCCCTGGGGAGCATTCCAGCATAACTGGCACAAGTTATTACTATGTGTTAAAGTGACCCTCTCATCCTGAGATGCTGGTCACTCTTTATACGCCAAATAAATAAAAAATAAGATAAAAACATAAACCTTTCATGGATACCCACCCTTGACTAGCAGGCCAGCGCAGCACTCCTGCCTGTCGACCTTGAGAACGACCTCTCCCTGGTCCTCGGCTGTCACCTTCTTGACAACGAGGGAGTGCTTGCGGCCGAGCTTCTTGATCTCAAACTTGGGGATGTCCTTGGAGGTGATCTTCTTGCCGTCCTTGAACCATGTGATCTCAAACTTGTCGCCGCTGAGTTCGGCGGTGTACTTGGCATCCGCACCCTCATCCACCTCAACGGTCTTGATCAAGGTGATGAAGTCGATCTTCGGCTTGGAAGCTGTGGACAAAAGCAATGGTGGTGTGTGTGGAAATAGGAACCAGTTGGATTTAGAACCTCAGACGCAAATGAGGCTTGTGGTTCAGAATATCCTTGATGTAATTTTTCTTTAAGCTGACTTTTTTTTTCTATCTTTCTTTCCTTTGAAGCTTATATCAAACAATTAACAAGCTGAAAATCAAATTTACTATTCAAAGTTTCCAAATCCTAGCTAATATTTTAAAACAATAATCTAAACAGAGAGATACATCTTCCATAGATATAAATATACAAGCATTTAAGACAATATCAACAAAATGCTAAAGTAACCTTTTTTTCAAAATAAGGACTATTTAGATTGTGCCAAAAAAGAATGAAATCATTTTTTATTATGTTTTTCACTAAGTATTATGATTTCTGTAAATCATCATTTACTGAAGATGTGAAAGTATCATCATAAAAACATTATTTCACTGTAGGAATGCTCATTACCTGTCGACGATAACCTCATACGTGATCATTTCCATTGCGAGATGCTATAAAATTTCATTGCTTTTCCATGCTAAATATGTATCTTAAGCAAAGCATAGTGCAGAAGCTCATTACATACATTTACCTGTTGGTAAGTACCTCACATTTGTAATAGCAGTTTGCTGCAGCAATAATCTAGTTGCATCAAAATTTGTCATAAGCACATATTACATTTCCTTGCAATTAGCACTTGGAAGCAAGTGAAGACATTGCACGATGCTGTGTTCATTATATTCTTTGTTAAAGTTTCATCCATGCATTATTCCTTTTGGTAGCAATTTTATATTATTTAATACATTGTAATATAAACCTGTTGTTTTCTATCCAATGCCAAGTATCTTTAAAATCTAGTTTTAAGTTTCATGAAGAAGAAAAAATGTACAGGATACCAGAGAGAATCTCTTTAACAACATCACTATTTTTACAATCAGGTTTAATGAATTAAACTTGGTATTAAAAGCAGGAGCCGTTTTTGTATTATATATTTGATGAAAAATTCTTTAAACATTTTCACCAATATAATTCAACCTCATTCATGTACCAAGATACCCTATATATTCTTGTTTTGGAAATGCAGATTGGCTAATTAGACCTAATGTTCATGAACTTGTGTACCAAAAAGGCTGGGTTTTTTTTCTCCTTCGGTTAACCCTAATCTAAATTCACATTTAATGGGATATCTTGGACCCTATTCACAAACCCATGGACGAAAAATGTGGATTAAAAAAGAGACTTACTTTTTAAAAAACATGTATCAACCCCTTAGTATTTTTGTTTGACATAGTAGAAAATATCTGAGAGAAGAAGACTCCCTAAGAAGCATCATAGATAAATCTCTCATTTCCACATATAAATTACCACACCTTGGATCTACATCCACCAAAGCAGAACTTGATCCTTAATATTCTTATGAAGTCTATAACAAACTTTCGCCCAGAACCTGTTCAAGTGCACCTATATCTAGTGTGCTTCTTGCTTCTCATTTCACTTGTAAATGCAACTTGCAAAATTCCTCTTCCTCTATTCAATCTTTGGTGTACTTGTCTTGCAGATTTTTGTTGTGCTGTAAAGGTAACGGTGTATCCAAGGAGATATTTTGTGCAAAAAAAAAATTCTTGTAGAATAAAATGTGAAAAAGGAATTGGGGACATACACACATGTACCATTTTAAGATCGAATTGGGGACATGTACATTCCAGGAACATATTGCATAACCAGGAATACCTTCTTGCATGACCCATGCACAGTGCATTCAGGTTGGAGTGGTGACAATTACATATACCGGTACACATTTAGCATTGCAAAAGGGGAGCATACTGACTGGTGGGAGATTTGAATGACTGAGAATTGCATGATGGGAGAGTTACATGTTTTCACCCTCTGACTGCTGAACACACTGCATGAAATGAATTTCAAGAAATTTTCGATTTTTGTACGAGTAAAACAACTGCAATTAAAAAACGAAAGTCACATTTTTTTTCTTCAAATGGAACCAGTTTATTGATTTCCAATTCGTTCAAAAGGGCATCGTTAAACTTTGGATAGTTTGTTCAGCAACAGATAGGTTTAAACTTGGTGTCTCCTAACCAAGTCAACTCTCAGTATAGAAAGGCTTAATGACACATACCTTGTTTGATTACTTCTATGGCAATTTTTTTAAATAATTTTGTTATTGACAGAATTTAAACATTTACCTTGCATTGAGAGGATAAACTGAATACTGTAAATATTATGAACATGATCAAACCAGACAAGAAATTGAAAGGGAAAAAAAAAATCTGAATTACCATATTAAAGTAGGACAAACAGAGCATGTGTCACAACCCTTTCAGCCACTGCCCACCTTACGATCCGACTCAGAACAGATTTTGGAAGAAAAGGCAATTACGACTGAACGTATAATTGTCAATATATAAAATGTCTCTGAATGATGCTCTATGGAACAGGTAGGAAGGGTGTTTGCATCTTTAAAGATGAAGAAAAGTCTGAAGAATTTCAATTTTTTTTTTTACTATTCATACATCAAACAGATAATGCATCTGGAATTTTGTGATTGCAAATGTGGGGCATCTAGCCAGCCGTAAGTGCAACTTTCTTCCAATATCTGTACATTGTCTGATTGTAGGGCGGGCGGTGGCATTCATTCAGTCCCATATCATGGTTTTAGGTGTATTGTTTTGTAGCCTACCATCCTGCGGCATGATTCCTTGCTTCTGCAGTTTCCTGTACTCCGGCTCACTCATCTGTGCCAAACACACATGCTCTGAATAGGTTCAGGCGGAATAAAGACAAATGAGGACTGGAAAGGGGTGATGGGGTAGGGGTAGGCCAGCCAGGGTCCCACTTGGTGGGGACTGTGGCTGGGTGAGGGGGTATTAAGTCAGAGGGAGGGGCGTGTTATAAGAGGGTACAACAGGTGTCACCATTTGGCACACAGTCAGAACTGTACAGAATCAATTACCAAATTGTAGAACATATCCAATTAAAACAGACTTTGAGCTGTATCTCAACAAGTGGTTTGAATCAACAAATAATAAATGAGCCCTAACTGAAGGAGTTGAGAGTTTTGAAATACTGTAGTGAAAATCAATATTAAAAGATTCTTTTGAACAGAGAATATTAGAAGATTCTCGTGTTATATTATTATCTGTTTTCAGGAATTTTTTTTATCACAGTAGGGGGGAAAAGGTTTATACAGTTCATTTGTTTCAACCTACTTTTTGAGCAATGAAATAGAATCAAACAAAGTGACTTCAACAAAAACATTGTCACTTTGTAGTAAATTTGATATAAAGTCTCGGTTTATATCCCCTTTTTAATATGCATTGAGGACTATGCAAATTACTTTCAATATTAATTTAGAGCTCTAATATTTCCTTAGCTTTCTGTTTCTTCTCAGAAAATATTGAGTGATACTTTGTATCCATAATTTTTTTTATGGACAAATGGTAAGGCCTGGTGCCCCTCATACAACAGATGTATCCCTCTAACTTAATAGAATAAATTGAATAGGTAGAATGATATATGAAATTATGAATTATCGTTAAATAGTGATGTGATTCACATGCAGTCGTGCTAGAGAGGATATGTGATATTGTTATTACCATGCCTGTATACTCATTAATAATCTTTGTAACAAATGCAGAGTAAGATAAGTTATTGTGTAGCTGTTGTTACAAAAACACATCCCCACCCCCTAAAGAGAAAATTTGAAATAATATTGGTATTATGTGAAATAAATATTTGTATACAAATCTTCTCCACACATTCAAAGAGAACAATATTTGTTATGCTTCCTGAATTCCCTGCTTGTGGACTTGATAAGGAAGCAAAAGTCTTTAATGTATTGCTTAGACTGTATGAATCTAATTATTGAGGAAATTCACTCGACTCGAATCATACTGTATAATATTTTTTTAAATGTCTGGACTACATCAGACTTTCCAAAAGAAACCATTTCAACCAAAGATAAATTGAAATCCGACACTAGTCCAACTGTTATCACTGATATCCTTTCCCTACAATAAGTCCCAACAAAACACTGTGTTCCCTCTGTAATTTTTTTTGGATGAACATTTTAAATTGCTCTAGGCCTTAGTCTGTGTTGAATTATTAGATTAGTATGTACTGGTTTGGTTAATAGATGACACAAAGATATAGAGTGACAGGTTCGCAGACATGCTTCTGATACTAAAACACATGACAGACTACATGTAGACTACTACTATACAATATTTGATGGAATCTAAATGTGCACTGCTTAATGACTTGAATACATACTTTGATGTATGTGTACTAATGTACTAGGCTGTGAGTAAGAATGATACAGTTTGGCATGAGATGAATTTCGATTCTAGAAAATAATTCAAAATGTGAAGTAACTTGTAAAATAAAAATAAAGGATATGTTTTTGAATAATATTTGATCAAAGAATTGATTCTATTTCAACATGCATGCTAATGATAGGTTATAAGTATCAAAATAAGCTTTAAAAAAAACTACTAAGCAATGGTTGTTATTAATTGATTTAAAAAAAAAAACCTGTATCTCAATGGCTACGCATACTTCAATTACTGCTACTTAATGTAGTATATATTTATCTAATCAAACTACTTCTACATTTGCACACTTTCTTTTTCTGGAGCAAAGAGTGGATATTGGTGAAGAATATTAATGATGTCATAAAGAAAGTGAACATATGCTTTAGAAATTGTAAGCTTTAGAAGTGATTATTCATACATATGAAGAAAAAAAAGAGCTGTTAAAAATTAGGAGAAAAATATATCATTCAATTAAAGAAATATATTATTTGAAAATATATTATTCAACTTTTAAAAGGAAACGATTATCTTTAGAAGTTATTAATCAAATAAGGATCAATTATCTTTAGAAGTTATTAATGAAATAAGGATCAATTATCTTTAGAAGTTATTAATAAAATAAGGAATCAATTATCTTTAGAAGTTATTAATAAAATAAGGATCAATTATCTTTAGAAGTTATTAATAAAATAAGGAATCAATTATCTTTAGAAGTTATCAATAAAATATATTATTACAAAAGTAAAGGAAAATATTCAAAAAGTCATAAAAAACAGTTCAAAATCAGTTTGCATTAAAAGAAATTATCTCTTCATAACAAGCATGAGACAAGATGACCAGCAACATTGGTAATAATAAGTCACCCTGTCTAAATATCAGAAATAAATAAATAAATAAATAATTGACAAACTACTAATCTTAATCAAATCTATCGCTTAGAATGTACTGTGAACTTAAGCTGCCTATTCGCCCGAAAAACATAAATAAATGTTCAATTAAACAAACTGTAGGAATGAATATGTATAATGTATCATTGTTCTTCCAATTAAAATGCAGTTGAATTGGCAACATGTATGAAAATATCACAATCAACATCAAAACAATAGTACCATATTGAATGAGCATATTGCATTCCTCTTGCAAACTCTTAGGTAGGCAAGGCGGTAAATGAAAGACAAGAGGAATAAAAGCATTCCAGGATGACGACCTAAACCGGAAATCCCTCTATAATCCCAGGCTGTAGTTTTCTTCTCGATGGTGTAGTTGGAATTAATAGATGTGTTTTTATATGATTCAGATTGCATTTTGCTGTGTGCTCTGGAATGTAAAATAAATTCAAGCCCTTTCGAGCTTTGAGCATGCCCAAAACCCGATAAAAAATTCAAGAAAATTGAATCAATAGTTCATTATTCAGTTGCAGCTCATGAAAAATTTGGAGTTCTCCCCACACAAGTGAAGATTTGTTTGTTATTTCTTTGGACCGTTACCAAGTGAAGCTCTCCTTAGATCGGAGTAAGGAAACTGAGGTCAACTGTGAAAGAAGTAATTTTTTTTTGTAACTCAATTCCCTCGTAGTGACCATGGAACTGGTATGATGTCCCACTGAGGTTGCGTTGTATTAAAGCCAAATTCACAATTTGACTCGAAAGTATACTTAAAGTGTGAGTGTACTGAGCGTGAGGGTCCAGCCATTGAAACTTAGACAAAACTTAGACGGTAGAGAGAGAAATTTGGATGGCCAAACCCCAGAGCAATGCACTCATACTTACTATCGATCGTCACTTTGCATTTGGATTCGGTCCCGTCGTCGAACTTGACCTTGTACTCTCCCTTGTCGCCTGGTCCGATGTCGAAGACGGTCAGCTCGATCTCCCCCTTGGCTGCCTTCATGCGGCACTTCTTGCCCGGGGCAATCTCCTTGCCGTCTTTGAACCACTTGGGTTTGCTGCCCTCAAACTTGGCCTCGCACGTGAGCTTCATACGACCTTCCTTCTCGTTGACCTTGACATCCTTCAAGGGCATGATGATCTGGACAGCCTGTAGGATGAAGACGAGAAATACAAATTTAAATAAAATAATTAATGAATGAATGATAATGAAAATGGCACCCTTGGGTTCTAATTGTGTTTTTCATGGTGCTAGCTGACAAACCTAAACAAATAGTTAGGAACAATTAAGTTTGTTCTATGTATGACACAGCTCCAGCCAAAATGGCTCTGTGGTCCATTTCCTACATTATACAGCTTCAATTTAAATTTATTTATGTTTCCAACAAAACATTACAAATCAATTATAAACATTTACAGCAATTTAGGAATACATATTGGAAACAGAGGGGTCCACTTAAATGCAAAGCTTGTACAAGTGTGGACACTTCAAATGATAGTTAGGAATAATGAGTAATTACAAAAGGAACTACAAAATAGGAGAAAAGCTTACACCACCCACCCCCTATGGCCAATAATGTGTCTATCATTGGTCAGTTTGGGGGCAACTCTGGCAGCATGGATGAAGTATTAAGGTGTACAGGTGTGGTTTAAAGTACCGATAATTTATTGACCATACAGGGATAAGAAGGTGTTTACCTTAGCTTTCATTCCAGGAGTTTCTTTCAAGTCACCCCAGTCAGGTTCCACCATCTTGGATTCCCTCCTGTCCACCTCCCTACAGAATGTCAGATCAAAGAAAGAAGTATTATATATCTAAATTTAAAAATGTGCACACATATCCATTAGAAGGCATGCCCATGTCTACCAAAGTAAATAACTAGACATGTATACCTGTATGGGAAAAAAATAAAAATAAAAAATTACCTAAAAAAAAATTATTGAACCTTGAAAACATATTTTTGTGCAATGCTATGTACCTGTATATATTACTACAAGTACAAATCAATCAAAATATTCCAATACGAGATATTTTTAAAATCATTTAGAAGAACCCAGAAGAGTTTTGAGCAACAAGATTTTTAAATTGATTGAAGATGAAATTATCCAACTACAATAATGGCACTATGAGCTTTAAGATTATGATGATACGCAGTTTGTTAGAATAAACAAAATACCACAGAAAGTATACAAATGTGTATGTACACAGATCAAAAGAACAAAATGAGTGAGAAAAAAAATATGCTCCAAAGAAACAGGTATATAACCAACACCCCTACCCCTGCTGTAATATATTTTCACTTGCACCATCTTTTGGTGACAGCATAAATAGAGCCATTTCCGGTTCCTGTACCCAAGCATCATCACCTGCACGAACTGATTGCGATGCATTGTGGGTCATAGCTGTCGAGACATTGGGACATTGTGAGGAGCAGATGGCAGTAAACGTAAATCTGAAGTATAGTCGGTAGAATACCGTGCCTGTAAGTCTTGCTCACATAACGAAGAAGGTGAGCTGTTGCAATCAGTCAAAATCAAGTGCGGGCTTGTCTGCGAGCGTGAATAAGCTGGCAATTTGGTTAACATGAACATTTAAAATAAACAACTTTCTTTTCAAATAGCTATTTGATGACTATTCACTAACCGGGAAAATAAATGGATGCAATGAGTTGGCGATCGTCAAAATTGTCAGAACTAGTATATAATTTTGTTATTGTAGTTGTTGTTGTTTTTGTTTATCCTCACCTGTGCTTGAGAAGGGCCCTGAAGTCAAGTTCATCACTCTGTGCTTTCTCTGTAAAGTGGAAAATTGGAATTCACAAAATGTAAGTTTCAATTTTATTGCATGTGTGCACACAAACAAAGATTGAAACAAAGAAAAAATGTAGAACGGACACTCTAACATAATATAAGATCACAGAAGTAAAATACTAAAAATTGGTAAGACCAAGGTATGTCTCCCATGTTACTGAGTATCATTGAGTTGTATCATTGAAATGTGAACATAGAATTTTTTAAAATATTTTGTTTGATTCAAGCTTTGGTAAGAGCTATCGGCTTGATACAGTCATCAGATATACTGAAATCTTAGGTGAAGTCGGTAATGCATGGGTCAAAATAGCTTGGCCTTGCCCAGATAGAGAAATGTACATATAACCAAAAGAAAAACAATGTTGAAGCTATCTCTCTTTTTGTAATTAACTCAACACCTAAAAAACAAGTTACATGTTGATAAATCCAAAACTTAGTTTGGTTATATTTGATTAAACAGTACACATAAAAAAACATATTCATAAAGCTTTTTTTCCCAAACAAGTTATGATTGTTTTTTTCTTCTAGTTTTGGTATGGTTAAGGTAAGAGAGTTGTATCGCGTTGTGGGTTAGAGGTCAAATCTACAAGGGACCAACTTATATTGCACAGAGAAAATGGAGAGCATTTGAAAGCATTGAGGCTATTTTAAAAGCTGGCACCATAAGTAGTATACAGCGAATATTAGACGTGTACGTACTTTTGAAAACACAGACTGAATTTGTTAAATGTAGCTCATTTTTTATAAGATTCTTGCAAGTGTTTGATTTAACCACTATTGGTGTCACCATTTAGTTGCCATACTTTCTTAACTGATGTAATTAAGTTACTGTAGCTATTTCAAATGTTATAAAAGATAAAGGTTTGTTATTTTGCTATTTGTTAATCACATAAAGATGACAACAATATTGTGGGCTATATACAAGCCTAACATTATTTGTATTATTATTTTTATTTACTGGTATCCCTAAATTCTGATATATATGATTTTTCTTTTTCAGTAGGATCAAGTTCCTGTTGGGAGGAATGTTTCTTGCATTTCTCAAACTATTTTCATGCGTAGTCACTTGATTCTTATAGGAAGATCACACATGTCTAGATGGAGCAAGTCTTCTTTTTCATCATTACTTGCACTATTGACACTTACTTAGCAATAAGTTAACACTATTTGAGTATGACTGAATAGACATTTTTTCACCCCCACTTCTACTTCACATATAACAAGGTGTTCAAATTCCCATCCAACATGAGAGGGGTAAAGAATTAAACCGATAAAAATGTTGATGGTTCAAAACTGACATGAACTATCCAATATCAGTTTTTTATCAACAAATATTCCAGAAATTGTGAAATATCAAAACACATGCTAGAATATATTTCAAACATTTTCATTAGTCCTTAGTGGAAATCCCATTATATATTTAGAAATATATGTTTCTGAACATGCTATATTTGAAAGACACTCGATATAAAATCATGTTTGGGTTTAAAAGAGTTTGTGTGATATTTTCAGCACTATCTGAACATGTCATTGTATATGAAATTATTCTTATTAACATTTAATACATGTACTATTGGTGAAGAATGTTGCCCTAGATATAATTATATATATATATATATATATATATATTTTTTTTTTTTTTTTTTTTTTTTTTTTTTTTGGGGGGGGGGGGGGATAATAATGCAAACATTGTTTACTTAGGACTTGGTAATATATATCTTAATTTGTCAAACCCCTAATGTATGTTTAGATGCTTATCCATCAGCAATGAATTCAATTATGTTGTCTAGGCTATAAGAAGTTTTAAAATATATATTGTAAATCCTACGAGTATTCAAGAAATTTCAATATAATAAATGAAAATGGAAAATACAAATTTCATCCTGTTATAGTGACCCTCTGAAAGGAATTGAAGTAGCCTATTTTAAAACAAATAAAGGAATTAGGATTTATGTTCGAAATGAATGAATTGTGATTGTGATAGGGTTGAAAGTGTAACATTATCTCTCAGCACACATTTCTAGGTCAGGGAAACTTCTCAAAACACTGTTCTGTGATATACATTTTGCAAAAAAAAAGGGGAAATTTTGTTTTTTCTCTATGCCAATAGCGGCATGTGTGCATATTACTTTTGATATGTAAGACAATATGCTGATACTGACAAGATATTGAGTAATCATGTCTGTATGTTATTAAGTAATGCATATCTAACAAAAAAAATATATAAATGCATATATTCTTTCTAAGATATATAGTTCATCAAGAGGATGACTGATTCCATTCACTTCAATCTCTATTGTAAACACACTCAACAGTCCAACTCATTCTAGCATCAATTTGCATAACTTAATTTGCAAGAAGATTATGACTAGAACAAAATTAATTGAAAAAGCATTTTAAAGTGAAAACCCGAGCAAAACTTGCATTTCCCAAAGACGCCAAAGTCAAATGAGGGGAAAAGGGAGATGGGGAAAGTAAAATTTTAATTATCAGCCCAAAATTTTCAGTGCAAAAGTGCCACTTGAGTGCTTTCAAAGACGGAAAATTCATCCTGTTTTTCAGCTGGGTTGAGCATGCTTAAAATAGTCATTGAAGCAAGGGAAAAATCATCAGGTAGCTCAGCAAAATTTGGAGACATGTAAAAAAAACGGCTTTTTAACAAAGAGATGCATTTGGCCCTTTAATATGCCTCTTTTCACTATCTTCAAACTTTTCAACTATGGTAGATGCAACGGAAATTATCCTTATGCAGCGAACTCGATCCACGATGATTGGAAGTCAAGACATGTTAATCGACCAGATGCAATTTTTTTGGATAAAAAGCCATGGTTTGACCTGCCTCTCCCATTTGATAAGCCACCAACATTTAACTCTTGTATCATGAAGCATATAAACTTTCTTGATAAGGAAAGGTTTCAAAATAAAAAAGGAAAAATTTCCAATTCGTGAAGGATAACGGTCACTATTATTCATACTAGCAGAAATAGCTAAAAATTGAGGGTTGGTAAATTCAAGATCATTGTTTTGAACATACACAGGCACATTTTCAGTAGTTTTTATTGTCTTTGAGCAAGGTGCAATACTTTTAATAATACCCAAACTTACACTCTTGGACTTAAATAGATTTATTGAAATATCGTTGGACATGTATTCATAGTTCCTTTATAATACTTCAAAATTGTTTTCAAGATACAAAAATGATGATCCAAAATGTAAATATTGTATCTCAAGTCACAACCTTATAAATTTAGGAAAATTGAGAAGCAACATATCAAATTTTGAAACTGTGACTTAAATATATTAAACGCAATCAGAAATATATAGCTCATTATGAAATGAATTATATTACAAAATAAATTCAGCAAATTTATATTGGGTCTATTAACCTAATTCCACCCAGACTTATTTCATGTTTGTCATATATGGAAATAAAATCAAGATATTTCTTACATTGCTCCTTGCCTCGAATAAAATAATAACTACTGAAAAGTGCAAATAGATCATCAACTGGCAAAGAACACCCTACTGAGGGTGCTGTTGTGATCCAAGACAACAATCCATATACCTCTGCTTTTGCCTGCAGGCAGGGTGGTGGTGGTGGTGGTTAAGTGTTGGGTGGATCGATGCATCAAAGGGCGGAGTAAGGGCGGAGTAAGGGCGGGGCCAGTATTGGGGAAGGGGGTGGTGGAGAGAAAGAGAAAGAGACAGGAACTCGGCGGTCAGTCGGCTTGCACTTTATAGAGGGGGGAAAGTGAGACTTGAAGAAAAGAGGTCATCAAGAATAAAAATCTTGAAATTTTGATTTTTTCTTTTTCTTTTTTTTCTTGGTGCGAGTGAAAGTGAAGTAAGAGTGCAGGGATGAAGATGGGTGGAGGGTTTAGCCACAATCCAAAGTAGAATTGTTCAGAAGAAATTGAGATGAGTTGGATGGAGAGAGGAAGGTGAAATGGGTTGGATGGGAAGAGAAGTGAATCCTATCTGATAATGCCATTGCCCAGTTTCTGAATTATCGTTGAGTCTATTCTAAAATGATCTTTTCAAAACAATCTTAATCTTAATGGTCCTTATCAAATTCTTACTCATTTCTAGATTTCTCTTATATTATTAACAAAAGGCATTTGAAAGAGGCACTGACACCTAAAGTTATCATTTTGAGTTGCATGATAAAGAAAATTATCATCACAAAAAAATCTACAAAAATATAGTTATCTTTTTTTCCTGCAAAAGTTTATAATTAAGATAAAGAACTACAAAAGTTTCTATAAAGTCTAAGAAAATAGAATTTTCAAAATTTCTGTTCATACTTTTCTACCAACAACTAATTCCTTAAAATGTCTTTAAATTATAATCGTTCCAACTTTGTTACTAAGCAATGGATGTAAAGTCATGGATTTAATTACTATTGTATCTTCTCTTAATAGAAATTTAGGAACTATTAACTTTACCTACAATATCAGATGACCCTAACTTTATTTGGGTAATGTAATATGGTCTTAAATTCGTTTGTAAAGTAACAACATACTAACACCAGTCAGACTTAAGTTTAGGACATTTATGGTTTTAAAAAGATGACTTCAAAAACAAAAGTTAAAATATCCAAGTGTTTGCATGGATCTTCTCATAAAGTTACCTATGAAGTCATGTGAAATAGCTCTGATTTGCTGAAGGTATCCTGAAGTGTTAAACTACTTGCTTGCCAGTGGAAATGTTTATCACTATTCTATTTGAATATTCTGAGCCTTCATAATAAAGGATTCGTAACACATAAAGTGCAATGAAAGGAGTGATGAAGTAGTCATGAAATAGAAGACAAGAAATTGAAGTTTAACAAGGAAAGAGTAAGGAGAAAATGTATGTGTTTATGTGCTGGTGCAAAAACTACTCTACTTTTCTTTGTTACTTGAAGAGTAAAATATCAAACTAAATAAACAATAATTGAACTTAAAATAATCTGAACGTACGATGATCTTATATTGATCAAAC